CATTTTGCACCTTTCACAAAAAAGCACACGCAGTAATAACGTCACTAATGCGCTCTCATTGAGAATAAGGGCTGACTCGCTCATTGCTTGGCTCCAATTACTTTGAGAACTCCTGTTCCTGTACTGTAATTAACTGTTGCTCGTTACATTGGTGTTCAAAGCCCTTAAATCACTGAGGCAGTAGCTTTTGGACAGAACAAAAACTATGCTCGTGGGAATGGCCTGAACGGTAAAAAATCGGAATACTGTTTATTTTTCTGGCCCAATTTACATAGAAATCCTTCAGCCTTTTAAGTATTACACAGTTGACGTTAAATCATTCACTGGAAGTCATTCCCAGTTTTTCCACAAACGATCAGAAAATCATAGACAATGTGCACAATCGATAGGTTCAAGGTTCAAGTAGCTGGTTGTTGGCACCATGAAGTCTTTGTGCTCCCTTCACACCCACAGGATGTCAGAGCTGTGTGGTGTTATAAAGGAATTGGCTGCCAGAGCCAAAGTCAGGCTCTATAAACCTGCTGATGAACCCAGTAAATCCAGGAGAGGAGCCAGAGCCAGGCTGCTAAAGGTTGTTAGCTACTAATTGCTACATTTCTCGAGCCTATTCAAGTTATCAAACCCTGATGGCAGAGTCCGGGGATGCTCGGCTAATTAGGCTGACACTGACACTCTTGTCCTGAAATGTTCCCAGGATAGCGATGCCTTCAATGCATTCACGTTCTGTACGGCAACATGTATCAGTAGCCTTATTTTAGTCCTCTCATCACAGCGATGGCTGTCAAAAAGTTGGTTTAGAGTGTTCCGCAAACAAGTTGCATTAGTGCAGGGCCTTTAAAAGAATAGATTTATTATTTGTGGGAATTTACCCTCCTGTTGGCAAACTGAAATGCCCACGAATCCTCAACCGGTTGAGACGACACAGAGCAAAAACCTTAATGGCTAATGAGCAATGGGAAGCGCTCCAGCGCTCTTCTGGTCTTTAATTTCCACCTCAATACTGAGCATAGCACGCCCCAGTCATTCTCCCAGCTTCATTAACATGGGCATTCTCTCTATTCAAAAAAGCCGAAGTAGTTCCTTCGGCCAGGTGCTTCCCTCTTTATCCGCAGCAACGGTGCAGATGATCCAGTCTCCATCTCAGCCCAGAGGAATTAGTGGTGAGTCATGGTGAGGATGGAGTAAGCCCAGGACAGAAAAAAAACTCACCGCTTTCAACTGATGGGCAAAAAACAGCATGCCCAAACGACGATTTATTCTACTAATGGTAATAACAATAGTGTAATGTGTGATGTATGTTCATATTTTACATTGATAAGGACCTCTAATGTCATTTAATCCCTTGAAATCAATGTTCCTGATAAAACTTGATGAGAATAAATTAGCATTTTTTTCCCCCCTACATTTCATTAAAGAAATTCAGAAGAATTTAACAGCCTAAATGATTCAATTTTGAGTGTTAGAGGGAGACAAGCCTCAGATGACACAGCATCCTGTGGCACCTGACACCCTCATATTTACTTCACTAAAAACTACAAAAGTTTTGTAACAACAAAAGAAGAACTACTGTTAAAAAAAGATTTCAACATTTTCCACCAGTGAATACCATGTTCTATATTTTCACCTCTGCTTTAATAAAGCCTGGATAGAGTAGTCCGTTCAGCACCCCTCCTTTGGTTCTCTTAAATTTATTCCCTGTCTTTCCTTTTCTGACTGACAGTTTCTCCCGTCTGCAACAAGCTTGAATGATTTCCACAGCATTTTTCAGTGGGGTGTGAGATTTTCTTCCAAGAGTTTCCTTCCAAGTCAAACACCCCGAAGAACTTGGAAAACTCTTGCATCAAACAGGAACATGTTGCACACCAGGAAGGGAAACTGGTAAATGCAACACACCCCGGGTGTGAGAGCGGCGGAGTGACACCACGGCGGCCCCTCAAAACCTCCTACGGGTGAGTTTGCTGACACCACCTGGAAGCTGCACAAGCTTTTGATGCCATGAGCCGCACACACCCAAACTCCAACAGTTCATCCTTCAAGCAGCGATGACAAAATGAAGCACAAAATCGACCTTTTCGCATCGCGGCGTGCCAAAAAAAGGCCATTTTGAGACGAAACAGAAGGGAAGAGAATAAACAGAAAACAAGCTTGGATGTGAACTGTGCTATTTCAAGTAGCTTTCATCTGCTAATTGAATTAGACTGTTATACACTACCCAGAATGTGCTGTTGCAATTGATCATGAAGCCGTTTTTTGGGCGTGCCCGTGCAGCTCTGTCTAATTAGCCGCCTATGACCGATGACCCAGGACAGGATATGATGCGTACCTGCCCCTGGAGCTTTTGTAAACACTTGGGTGTGTTTTTCCTCTCGATCATTTGCTGCTTTGCCATAGGTCAAAAGGAAAACATGGTGTCGCCCTGCTTTTTTTGCTCCCCGAAAGGACTTTACTTTTGTGTCGCCGAGTGACTGTTTCACCAGGCTATTAATAGTCACGTCCAAGATAAAGCGAGTCGCTATCGTGCATGTGCAGGTCTATATTTAGATTATCCTGGTGTCAGATATTATTCGGACCAGTCATCTTGATTTCGATCTCTGTGGTTTGACTAACAAATACTTTCCGACGGGCGTCCAGTAAGTTTACAACCTGCTTGATTCTGATAACAAACTTCAGGAATGAATACCTGAGAACTTAGTGTTTGTGTTCAAGTGTGTGATTGTGTACTCTGTGTGCTCCCAGGGCAGGACGCGCTTCTTAGCGTAACTGATATCCGATTAGCGCTTTCTGTTGGCTACTGACAGCCTAGAATTTCATCACATCACTCTACCAAAAAAGAGCATTCAGCCTCTTTTCTGTCCTTTGATTCCATCCTAAATGCTTTGCTAAATGTTTGCCTCTAGGGCAGTATTTATTCAATCTTTTGCTTAATTTCTGTTCAAGGTAAACACACAAAACCCTCCTATTTTCCATATATGTTTAGAATTTTTTTCTATCTTCCTTCAACCACATCCAAGTCTCTAATCCTTTAAACCCTCCATCCATCTAAGTCAGCCTTTTCTCGCTCTCTTCCCTCAGCTGTTCCATGCCCCTGCTCCACTGGGATTGATACAATATTTTCCAGCCTCAATTAGCAGAGAGCCTGTTGACTAATTCCGACTGTTTTTGCACCTGAGAGGGAGCTGGGAGCGGAGGCTGGAAAAACTGAGTGGGGTGGAGGTTGGGGTCGGGGCTTGGGTGTAGCAGGCAGAGCTGTCGGGGCAATATAGCTGTGTCGACAAGTGTGTCAGGGCAACGCAGAGGACAGGCTCCCGGCCAGGGCTGTTCAAGCTGAGAAACGCTAGAACTCGCAACAGGATATTACAGAGCAGTGTGTGTTTTTGTTTGTGCGCGATTCCATTTTTCTGGCTGATAGCGTCTACGTTTTATTAACAGTTTTCACTTGTGGTCAACAGAAGAAAGCATTTCTAGGGACCTCTAAGTTATTCTACCCTCCTTCCCATTTCAGACCTTCCTTTCTGGTCTCTCTGTCACTTCCCTTTTCATTAAATATGTAGATCCCCTGTACCATCCAGCCACTCTAATTTATAGCAGGCCAAACTCTCCAGGTTATGTGACAAAGTCTGACTGAAAGCCTCCCAACGTGTTTTACACAGAAACAGAGACCACAAACCAGACCCATTGTAACCCAAACCCTCCAACCCACCGCAGCCTCACCACAACATGCATTTAGTTCGACTCAAGGCAAAGCCTACATGACCACTTGTTTGGCACCGGGCTGAGCTCAGGGTGCAGCTACACACCCTCACGCTGTGGGAGCCCTGAAGAGAATCGTTCTTTCCTGCAAAGGAAATGAGAGGATGGTGGCTAAAGTGCAGAAGGACATTACTTTAGAGGGCTGCACTTTCTCACAGAAGGCTACTGTAACTTTATAAATAAAAATGACATTTTTTAATCAAGATAATTACAATCTTCCCATTTTCCAGCAAGGGATCTGTCTTTGTAACTATAAGAGACAGGCAATATATAGGCAGAATATGTCATCATAGTAACTGGTGTAATTCTTCAGTGACAGAAACCCACAGGTTCCACTTAACACAGCAGTTCTTCACCCGAGCTTAAACCTACACTGACGTGTGTGGCTTTTAAAGATTTTTTTTGCCAAGTGAAAGATCCCGACAGGTTAACAGACTGACGGGCTTGTTAGCCGGGCTCAGCAGCTGCTCTTCCCCCCAGTAGCTGTGTGGAAAAACTCTGACTCAACCACTTGTGTAAAAAGGCATCAACGACCAAATACATAAATATTACCGTCAGAGGCAAAAACGTCTCTGGGGGCTATCCGGTCAGTTAGTCAGCCGGTGACTAACGGAGAGGGGGGTCAGGTCACGGCCAGTATCAGTTGATCCGGCGTGGTCGAGGAGGACGGCGAAAGAAGCACAGCTTCCGTGGGATCCCGCTCTTTTTGGGGGTGTCCCCAAACCACGGGGTGCGTACAGACTACGGTCACTGAAAGCTGCATTCGGAGCGAGATATTTGCTTTAAAATTGGGAGTGTTTGCTGGGAGATGCAGGCAAAAACCATAAAGGGGAACCTTCCAAAGAACTGTCCACACCTATGTGAACACACTCATATCAACACGTGTCATGGAAAGTATCTGAATGATTACGCAATTATTTCAACTTTCACCTGTTGCTCAGAACCAGTGCTTGGTCACCACAGATTAGATTTTTTTTTTTTTTTTTAAATGTGCACCACTAAATGATGCTCAGTGTCTTTTCGCTTTCCCATGAGCCTGCGTCCACGCCGGGGTATTCCCTTCCTACCTAGCAACCCTTTTTCTCAGGCTCTAAACATAAAAACAGATTGCTCAGCAGTGATATGACCACAGGATATTCCCATGAACCGCTCTAAAGGTGAACAGATAGCAAAGTTCAGCCATAAAAAATCAGAGTGGGAATATGACAGGGCATCCTGACACACATTTGAGATATCGAACCTCTACTCACTGTCGGCGTAGTTCTTTCGCCGGGTGCCGTCCACTTTTCCCGTCTTGTCGATGCAGAGGAAGAACTTGTTGGCGGAGTACAGCCGCCGGAGTCTGACGTCACCCTCCAAGTGATTGTAACTGCGCGTGTGCCTCTCCAGCGTCCAGGAGCAGTTGGAGCTGCCGGCCAGCACCTGGAGGGGCTGGTGTCCGGCCCTGGGCGGGCAGGCCCCCGCGGCGGGGCCGGCGCTGACCACCAGCAGGGCCAAGCATGCCAGGGTGAGGGAGGCGGGCGGGGGGGCGCTCACAGCCGCGTCAGGACAGAGATGAGCTGCGGACGCCGTCCATCCGCACATGGTGGGTCAGGCTCCCAAGGTGCACCGTGTGCAGGCTGCAGGCATGCTGGTGATCAAGAGAGGTGTCCCCGTGGAGGGTGGGGGTCCCGGTGAAAAGGGAGGAGAATGGCGCACGGCTGCGGATCCTCTGGATGTCACTGATAAGCCAATCTCCACCTCGGACCGACAGCAGGCCTCCCCTCTCACAACAGCGACCTCTCTTCTGTTGTCATCTTCGGATCTGGATTTCGGTTTGACGACTTTCCCGGAAAGTCCACCTCTCAGAGTCCCTGCTGTGTCTCTGGGTTGCTCCCTCCTGCTGTCCTCCTCCCTGGACTGAAGTCTTCCTCACCGGTCCACAAATAAACTCCCGGGATGTCCGAGGATGCACACGTGTGAGTGTTTGTCTGAGTGAGTCTAAGTGGATAAGTGTGTGTCTTTATATATGTGTGTGTGTGTGAGTGTGTGTGAGTGTGTGTGTGCACCTTGCGGTGCTCTGCTCTTCCCCGGCTGGATAGGAACAAGTTGCTTGTCTGAGCTGCTGACCCGTGGCTGCGAGGGAGTTGAATGTGGATTGGCGACTGACTCTGTGTGCGCGCGTGTGTGTGCGTGCGTGTGTGTGTGTGTGAGAGAGAGTCTGTGATACTGAGAGAAAGAGGAGAGAGGGAGTGAGTGAGTGAGTGAGAAAGGGAGGGAGGGAGAGGCAGAGTGTGTTGGCGACAGAGAGAGAGAAGCAGTGAGAGTGTGTGCGTGTGTGTAACGGGGCGAGCGGCAGAGAGTGTGTGTGTGTGGGAGTCCGCACGGGACGGCCGAGAAGTGAGCGAACGTCAGTCAGTCAGTCAGTCAGCCCTCTGCTCTGTGCAGGCACCGGCTGTGCTGCCCCATTTTATCCTGGGCAGGGCCAATATCTGGGGGGGTTTGAATGAAGAAGGGAGGGGGGAAGGGCCCACCGCACTCATTTATGCCAATTTCAGACCAATAAAGTTTGCATCAAGCGGCCGGCCTTTTTTCTGGTCTCACTTGGATCCGATGGCTGTGTGAAAAACAAGTGTTTTGCCTTTTTGCCTTTTGGACACCTGGAAAAACTTACATCCCCTTTCCACCCCGTGACCTCCTCTGCCCCCCCCCCCTTGATGTGAAGCTTTTTTGTAACACGCTCAAATCAGCTCCATTACAAACCACTGAACCAGCGAGGAGGCCATTTTTTTTTGACACCTTCACGCTCATTTCTTCTCCGGGGGCCACATGGGGCAAATTAAGGGGAAGCCTTTCCTCTTTTTTTTTTTTTTTTTTTGTTTTATTTAACAGCTGCTGGTTTGAATCACGGAGCAGGCAAAAAAAAAACACAGAGCAGGTTGTGGGAGTGTTGGCAGAGTTTGTCCAGAAAAAGGCACGAGACTTTTTGATCACCTGTGCTAATATTTCAATGGAACACCCTCTCTGATCTTTGCCTTTTTAATTTGGCAGAGCAGGGCGGAAATGAAGAACACCTTTTTTGCGACTTCCCACACTCTTGTCTGTTTTTTACAAGCTGTGTAATGAGCCTGATTAGGACAGGGCACTATGGCATAGCTGGCCCTCTGATTGATACCACGTTTTCATATGTGCAAGCTATAAAACCATAGCATATAAAGACAGGAGAGTTCACCAAGTCAGTCCTGGATTATCAAGTATCTGTGAGAAAAAGCTGTGAAAAATCTCCAGTGAGTTTCTTTTGTTTTAATAAAGTCCTTGGTTCAATTAAAAGTCCCACCCTGGGGCTCCCCTTATCCACTACTGGAAGTTTGTTTGAGGACTTCATGTTTAGACAGTGTGACAGTAACTTCACACTCTTTTTAGCTTTTTAACCCCCCCCCCCCCCCACCCCCACCCCTACCCCAGCTACAACTCCCACCTCAGTTGCTGACATGCAATTTGATCTAAATCTCTCTTTCCCTAAAACCTTATATTTCTATATTTCTTTCATGCAAACGCTTGTTAAAATGGACAAAATACAAATTTTCTGTCCAGGTTTCGCTCAAACGAGCTTGCATGAAATAGTCACCAGACTGTTCAATTTCTTCCCGAGACCTGAAGTATGATTTCTGCTCTGCTGAAATAAAATAAACACAGCAGAAAAAAAGGAAAAAGGAATCTGCATAACAAAGTCCTGGTCCCTTTCCTCTTTGCAGATGGAGACATCATTTGTTGCACATGTTGGCTTGTCGGATGACTTGCGGCTAATAGCTGCATTGACGTAATGAATTTATTTAGGAGTCATTTGTGACGGGAAAAATGACCGAATAAAGAAGCGTATTAGCATGAGAACAATGTTTTTACTTCATTATCTTTGTACCAACATTTAAAGGCTCTTATGCATGTTCACATATTTTTCTTTACAAATCCCTTAAATGATTTATAATCTGATCTTTACTGTGTACTTCCTCCAAAATTGGTGCTTAAAATATATTGTGGATTGATTTCAGTCATAATTTGTAAAGACGCTGTAATAATCAGAGTTACAGCTAAAATTAGTTTTGCTTTGTTAGGATAAAAACTTCATTATTATCCAAAAGTCAGAATTTAGTAATGATACACAGTGGTAACTAATGGCACATTTCACATTTTAACCGTTGTAGGTTCATTTAGGAGGAAAAAACAAACAGGGAATAATATCACAAATTGCCCAATTTTTAACACATTTTTGTAAGTGAATTCATATCTGACCAATAGAGTTCACAACTTTTCCAAACTTGTTTGTATTTGTATGTTTTTCTTTTATTTTTGGAAGGATGTTAGCTTTAGAAGTCTCTTTCGCCATGGCTTTGGTTTTGATTCACCATACCAAACATAAATAGCGTATAATATAAAGGAAGTTATATCAACGAATACGTTTTTAAAAAGTCATTGTTTCATACACAGAGATACTCAGGTTTAAGCTTTCATGGCCCGCTTTACTGCTTTGTGTTTGCTGAACTCCAGACCGTTGATTTTCAGAGAATGCTCGCATGCGACTCCACGTTAATTTGTCCTGCTCCTGGTAGGCTGCTCTGGTCATGACAGCAAAGTGCATGGTTATGTTTGTGGTTGAACATCGGTGCATTTCTGGAATCATCCAGAGCTGAGTAATCCCATCAGCACTGTTTATGGGTTTGTAATCAACTTATGTGGTTTTGTAAATCAGGGATATGAAATTTGAATGTCAGAGCTGGTATTACTGCACTGAAAATGCAATGCTAATATTTTTTTCAAACCATACATGATTAACTTTGTTTGGTCAGCAAATGTGTAAAACAAACCAAAAATTGTCCAAAATTAAGGTAATTAATTGACGTTTGCTCATCGTTTTTCTGTTCTGAGTCTCTGAGATCTTCAATGCTGATTATAAAGAATTGGTGTCACTATTTCTCTGAAGTTTTTTCCACAAAAAGGCTTCTTTAGGCCAAATTCAAATACTCATTAAACAGAACACAGGACCGGAGGAAGAGAAAGTGTGAGAGAAAAAGAACAGGACCCCCCCAGGAATGCCCAGTTGTTCCTCCTTAGTGAAATTTCCTGTAATTAAAATCATACAATCATTCTATATACTGAAGAGTCCTTTAAAGTCAGCGTGCCTTCTGAGGTCAACAACAAAGCTCAGGCTTCATTCGAATGTCAGATGTGGCAGCAGATTGCTTTGTGGTGTCTTAGAAGTTAATGTTTGGGCCCTGAGCTCAAGCTAGGAGTAGGAACAGGCACAATGTGTCTCTTTTTGTCTCAATGTCTTGACATGCAATATCTTGCTGTTTTACAATATGAGTGTATGATACAGTGAATGACTCAAATTCATGGTGGAAGCATATATTGAGAATTAAGAATATGGCTTCCTTACTTTAGAGTCCAGTCGCTAGCAAATTGCATTTGAATTGGCAAGTGATTGGTGATTAAAAAACAAAGGCCCGTGGTTACACCCCTGCTGTACCCTTTAGATGCTTACACACTGTGAAAACCCAATTTTGCCACCATTTTAAGTAATAATAGTTTGTTGATTGTTGAAAGTAAAAAACAAAGAACTTCAAATTTTGCATGAATTTTTGCAGATTATGAAGTGGTTATAACCCAACTTTCTTAACATGAGGCTACTGGTGTAGATGTTCTGTTTGTGAAATTGGAAATAAAAGGTCATTAGTCTAATCATTAAACCCCATTACGCTTGAAATTTATATAATTCTCATTTACATGGAAGCAGACTGACCACCGTTGAATAAAAAAGCATTTCGGCCTTTTGGGAGTTTGCCACCGCTGTTTGAACAGCCAAAACGGTCCTCCTGAGTTTGGATCCAGCTTCCCATTCCGCCGTGCACATCCTGCTGTGAGACGCCACACAGAGTTGTTTACCTCTGGTACTCGCCTGCATACACAAGTTTAGGCACACGGTCACGTTGAACTAACTGACGATTAATCTTCGTTTAGTGTTTTGGCGTGCTGACATTTCACAACACAAACCGAAGCTGAGAGCAAACACTGTGTACAAACCTGCTGACGGACCAGCTGGAACCTGATCACAGTTGGACTCAGTAGCCAAAATGAACAGATAGTTGATGTGGTAAAAAAAAAAATTGCCACAAAAGCTGAGCTACCGACACCTTACTGCTGCAGCTGACCAACATCACACCAGATTTTAATGCATGTTTTGCTGAGAACTGCTTAAAGGATGTTTACCTGAGGTGAAAAATGGGCAGCATGCTGAACGTCCAGGAAAAGCTGCAGCTGATGGGGCAATCTGTCAACACTGGAGCTAAATTTGAGGCCGTACTTCACACACCAAAAGGCTTCAATCTGGAGGCACAGCTTTTCCCTCAAAGCTGCTAATGACTTATAGCTCCGATTTAGTGGCTGAAATCACTGAGGCTTTGACAGAAGAACATTTTGGGGCAAGGCAAGACAGATTAAAGAATGATGAAGAGAGATTAATGTGATTTTTCCTCAAGAATCCACATCTTTCTCAAGATTTTGAATAAAACTATCAGGGTTTATTCCCAGATAAGATCCAGAAATCCATGTAAGAGTAATTTATTCAATACTTCAATACTAGTTCATACTGTGACTAACAAAACACACGGTGACACAATGCACAACAAACGAAAAAGGGACTATAATTGCTTTATAAAAAGGTTAAAGTAGTCATAACAGATCTGAAATGGAGCAACAGTATCTGTGCAAAATGTGGCGATCCCTCACGCAGCGACATGTGACACCACACAACCTCTTTGTCGGTCTCATTGTCGTGGATGCAGGTGTTACTCCTGAGCTAACGTGTAACGCATAGTTCTCTTTGTCTTGGTCAGGTTTTTAGACCTTGAGACAATCCGCTGAGGAAGATACGAATGAATCTGCGTCTGTATCCTTTTGGTGAGCAGAGCTTTGTTGCGTTGAACTGAATTGCGTTGACCTGCTGTGTGGGTGTGCCCTGAACTGAGAACAGCACTCTGAGAGTCGGGCACCCAAGAAGGATGTTCTCAAGTGGAGGAACCTAATCTTTCCCAGCAGGGATCGAAGCAGCTCTGTAAGTGTATGAATAGAGATAATATCTCTATAATGAGGCCTGTTTTGTACCATCAAAGTCTTCAAAAGGGTCAGAAACCTGACCTCCCTCCTAGCACTGACAATCCCTCGGTAATAGCTCCCTATTATTAATTGTCTTGCCTCCATGCTAAATTCTTGCCTTGCCTTTTTTTTTCTCTTTGAGACATGTTTCATGATTCACCCTGGCCGAGTCCTTTTCAGTGTGCCCTGATTTGGACAGTCTGTAACTCAATTTAACCCCCTTGTTTCAGATAAATCTTTATCCACCCAAAGTGGTTGTTATTATTTGTCGAACTAAGTCGAACGCTCTGATGAGGAAACAACCTTGTTCACATAGATCAAATGCATTAAATTCTCATAGCGTTTGAGGTAATTGTGTTTGTTGCCTCAGTGTGTGCGATGCTGCCTGACTGCTGGTTCAGACCCAGTGCAGCGTGGCTGCTATCTTTGAGCTGTGGTCGCCTGATAAACATCCGGATGCTGTTAAAGGAACTGACCAGACCACCACAACTCGGCCCCAATGGGAAGATTTGCATATCCTGCTTCATGACCATTGTCCATTGTGAGCAGCATTATGATAAAGTGGGTTTTTTATCTGATGGTGTGGAGAGTTCTGAGAGATGCAGTTCTTTTCATGACAGCGAGCACAGATCCAAGCCGCTGATAGAGAGAGATCAAAAAATTTGGGTCGTCTGGAATGATTACACATCTGTGTTCGGCCAATCTGATAAACCAGACGCACATAGAAGTGGACAAAGATGGAAGAGGATGTAGCTGCGCTATTCCTTAATATAACTACGGTTGTGCTGTTGTCCAGAGATAATGCAGTTTTGCTGGATTTGAGGTGGGCCTTTCGTCCTGTGGCAAAAACGATTGAGACATTTTATCCGAGTGACCACTTGAGTCCATTATAAACTACACATGTGGGGAATGTGTTAGTCACACTAATTTAACTCAAGGCAAAAAAAAACAACTAAGGGTATTAGTTAGAGCCACATTTAGTTATTTTTTTAAAGATTATTTGCAAATTTGCCACCAGACGTGGGTCTCTGAGGAGTCTTGGGGGGGAAATTCCATCAGTCGTCTCCAACACGAGGTGCCCCTGAGTGATGCAAGATACATGTGCACAAACAACGGGCTCACACGCACCGACAAACACATGCCAAAGGCATTTGGCTGTACATGGAGCTCCCAGAAAAAAAAGCATCTCCATCAGGTTTCCTTGGCCAGGTGAAGCGGTTTCCAAAACAGCCCACTCCCCATCTGTTAAACAAATAAGGAGCCCCTACAAAGGTGTGCAAAAGAATCTTCGTGATCAAAGTGTACGAGAATGGCAGCCTTGTCCTGGCCGGGCCATTATCTGGCCCCATGAATGCCTGTCTTCTCCTCTTTTGTCGGCCGGGGCATTGACAGTCACTCACCCGGCAATGACTGTCACACCAGCGCAAAGAGCCGGCCGCCGACAGGGGCCGACCACATCAAACGAGGCTGTCAAGGGGCCCCGCTCGTGAACCGTGGCAACAAACACCTCCTGATCCTCACCTACAGCTCAGCGGCAGACACCCACCGCTGTGCTTTCAGCCTCTGCCTCCACTGAGAAAAGATGTACTGCCCGGACCTCATTTCCTTCCCTGTCCGCCCCCCTCTCCCCCCCCCCAGGTCTCTCCTTCTCTCTGTCAAGTAGCGCTTGTGTTAACCTCCAGCCTGCCGAGACACAAAGGGCCGCTAAAGTGTTTAAGAATGCTTTATGGACGCATGACAAGGGGTGGCTGGCACTGCTGGGGGTCAAAAAGTGTACAGGATGTGAATAAGATAGATTTGGGTTTTTTTTGCTTTCAATTTGGACCTGAGTCACACTCGATTTAAGGTGTTTGAAGTTTGAACTTCAAAAGTTGGCAATAAAGAGAAGACAATATATTAAAAGGGTCTGTATAAGTGCCTAGACGTGTGTTAAAGCCAGATTCAGTTTGAAACAGTGATAAATGAAACTTAGGTTGGGATTTATTTGGGTTTATAGAGGTTTGGAGAAAACTGCCACTGCAGCTGCGTTAATATGGGGTTAATATGCTACAAGCCCTATGAAAACACACACACTTTAAGGATTTTACTTAGTTTTCAAATATAAGCATGAACTATTTTTATTCCCAAATTTCATTGTAATTTTCTCTAACATTTGTCATTGCATTTACTTTTGGACTGGAAAAGTTAATTCAGCAATATTAAGGCAAAACATATAGATATATGCCTACATCTAATGTGTGTTAATTAATTAATATTAAAGTGATGATGATTATGATCAGGAAAAACACAACACGTTAAAACGTAATTATAAAAAAAATTAATTAGTAGAGGTTCATTCTTGTTCTTGCTTGTCGTCTAGTTCTGGTTTTATTAACCGAGGGGAGACCGCCACCTATAGGCCAAATATAACTAACTTTTGTTTCAAGCCATTCTTTATAAATGTGTAAAACCTCTGAGTGGACGTAAATATTTGGAAATCGTTCTGCTGTAAGTCTATCTGATGCAGTCACGTCCCAGAAATAAGAGCAAGAACAGACCGGATGAGGCTCCGGTTCAAAGCTAAATAATTCAGTTTATGTTGTTTTAATCATTCAAATAGCTGTATTTAATATCCAAACCCACAGCAATTTATATATATTATTCTAATAGGAAATATTACGAAGTCCCTCCAAATTTCCATCAGTTTATCTGCGCTCTACTCCTCAGGCCTGATTCTCAACTGATCGCTCCTCGCGACTGGTCCAGTCTGATCTAAGATGGCGGCGTAGGGCTCTGAGGTAACGCGGTTATTCCAAGTCAACATGTCTCTCCTCAGAGTGTGTTCCCTGGCCAAACGTGTCAGCCGCCGCAGCCTGTTTGAAAAATGCGCTGTTCGCGTGTCTTTTGCGGACTGCTGCCGGATGTGTGGGACGGGCAGAAACGGCGCCCTCAGACGGACACCAGGTGAGTGGAAGCTGGGGGGGCACTGTCCGGTGCAGCTTCACTGGGATGCTAAAGTTTTCAGTTAGGCTTCGCATCTCGGTTTGGTAGTTTTTTCAGTAGCAATAGTAGTTTAGACGAGTTTCTCCTGCTCCATAAAGCGAGTGTCATCAGGAGTGTAGCCGCTTAGCTCGGCTGGCTCTTAAAGTAAGTCGGTGGATGTGTTTTGCTGTTAGCCTCCACCTGTGTGTCAAATATCAAAACAGAGACAGGCAGCATCATTTTCTGGCCGGCTGAACTGCCTTTCCCTCGGCCATAGTCCTGCCTGTCACCCACACTGGGGCTCAGGTTGATAATTGGGTTAGCAAACATGGATAGTTTGATGCCAGTTGCCTCTTCGCCCTTGAGAAGCAAACGACACCTTCAAACTGACTTCGTGTTCCGGTGTGAGATTATAAAAACGGGTTGTCAGATATCTGGGGTGACCCGGATGACCCAACGCTCACAGGTGTTTTTAATTAGCGCGTGAGTGTTTTTGTTTGTTAGCATTAGCCTTTAGCAGCAGGGCTTCAGGTTCGTGTCTGAGCCGTTACTCCAAAGTGTCTGGGTCTTATCTAACAAACCCAAACTGAATTTGTCCTACTGGAATTTGTCCTATACTTTTTAACTACCACTACATGAGGAGTTCCTGTCACTGGCGAGTAGCACGTTTGTGTCTGCCGACCCCTTAATCTTTAATATATCCTTTATTAGGTGACTGGTGATATAACCTATGAATGACCTTTGCCAAGAAAACCACTAATCCTTCTCTCTGTTCGGGTTTCACATCATGACATTTTCTTCTCTGTGCTTCAAAATGCCTGAAATGTAGGTGTTTGTGTGTTAGCCGTTTTTTTCTTTAGATATTTTTATGTTAGCAATGCTTTTTTTCTTCTCCTGCGTCAAGATCTTTTCTTCTTTTTATAGGCAGTTTTTTAAGTTTGGTAAAAAGTCTTGTAAGGTGTTGAATCGTCCTGGAAAACTAATGAGCTGAAATGCATTGCTATAATGTTGTTAGTTTAGCAACTTTAGCTCAGAATGAAAGTCAGACTGCATTAATCACCAGTTGAGAATTTCAGTTATTCCAAAAGATGCTTATAAACCAGAAGTAATGGATAAAAAAATAATTGTTATTCTTTTTTTTTTTTTTAAGCAAAACAGACTGTGTGTTTCGCACCTGAAATCTGTCTGGAAAAAACCTCAATCTGAATCAGTATTTTCTTTTTTTTCCAGGAACACTTTTATACTTTCCGATCAGAAATATTTCATCAATAATCCCAAAGTCGGAGGAAGCAAAGAAGCGTGTACTTGAACAATCTCAATTATTAGATGGTATGTATGTTGTTGGATTCATTCCAGTATTTGCTGGATCACTGCTTTTAATACTTGACATGTTTTGCTACTTGTAGCTTTTCACTGTGATAAAGCGCTGTCAGTACTTTAACATCAGATTTCTCCCCAATTCAGTGTTAGAGGCCAGAATCCAGCAACTCCAAACTGATGTCGTTCTAGATGTCCAGCATTCAAAAGTGCAGTTTATTAAAAGTCCTTCCTATGGAAGAGGTGCCTCGTCTGGCAGGGCTCCCAGAGGCCCACCTCAGGAGAAAGCTGACATTCCTAAATCTGGACAAACTGCCAAAGGAGGGTCTAAGTCCCAAGCCAGTCGATGGATGGAAAAGTTGACTCAGGAGAAGAAAAATAAACTAAAGAAACAGCAGCATCTCGAGCAGAAAATACAAAAAGGCGCCAAGGAGAAGGTGCCGGCCAAGTCTAAAGGTGCCAAGAAAAGCGTAATGCCCCCTGGAACCACACATAAAACTATATCTGCTCCTAAAACGAGCCGAGGGGGCAAGAAGGTGTCGGAGGAAATCCCTGCTGCCGTTTCCTCAGCGGCCACCGTTGCCACAGCGGGGAAAGCAGCTGCTCCGCACAAGCCCTCCAAACAGAAGGGAAGGAACTCCAAAAACAAGGATCCCGGTGAAGGAGGGGTGGCGCAGGGCCGGGCGGAGGAGCTGGCCAAGGTGGAGGAGCTGGAGAAGAGGCTCAATCAGCAGGTCAGCCACTGGACGTCCTCCAGCTGCCCGGAGCGGCCGCAGGAGGGCGGCCGCACCACCGCCTGCGGGGAAATGCTGCTCAGCATCCACTCCTACCTGGAGGCCTGCGTGTTCGGCGGGGACATCGAGCGGGCCCACCGCTTCCTCCTGAGTCAGCACCGGGTCATGAGCCGCCGCAAAGTCCTGAACACCGACGTCTACAACATCATGATGAGGGTCTGGGCCAAGAAGGTTCGTCCCGAAAACCAAAAGGCTTTTTAGAGAGCTTTAACAGAACCATCAGGCCGGAGCCATTTCACTATTTCATTCTTATCTATGATTCCCCTTTGTGTTGCTCTTCACAGGGCACATTAAATCAGATCGGCCGCATCTTTATTCTACTAGAAGAAGCTGGTCTGAAGCCCAATTTGGGATCGTACTGTGCTGCTCTGGAGTCTATGGGCCGCAATCCGAACTGCTCCCCAAAGGTCATCTCCAGGTTCGTACGCAATCACACAGTCAAGGATGGAGAATAATTGTCCTTAATTTTAATATCAGTTACAGCTGCCATGCAAAGACTCACCAGCAGGGCTCGCACTTTGTTCACGTTTGAGCATTTACATAGGAGACCACGACTCACCTGATTTTATCTTATTAATCTGAGGATTATCAAGGTTTTTTAAACCCCGGCACTGGTCGACCGCCCTTTGTTCTGCTGTTGTGACTGTCTGATGCAGCCATGCAAATCAGTTCCTACAGGCTTTGTGCATCCCAGTGTTATGAGTTTTATGTACAAACACATTTGATATGTTCCAGATCAGTGTTTACGCGGTGTGGCAGACATTCTGGGACTCCATTACAGCCACACAATCTTTACTTTGTGGTCAGGGACTCTTGACTAAATCATCTTCTCTCTTCACTCAGACTCTTAAAGCCGGCGTGTTTTTGTTGTACTGTGCAGTTCCCGTAACCGTCATCAGTGTAATGAGATCAGTGTTTTTACAATTCATATAGTCGGCGTGCTGAACCAGTCTCAGAGCGGTGCGGATGGTGAAAAAACGAAGGAAAAAAAAACAAATGTCACCATTAACATCAAGGGAATCCAACTGGAAGCCGCCCCAATAAAGATGTGGCCAGTTGTTTATAGAGCAAATACCTCCCTGTCTTTAGAGAGTTTGGGGTTTAAAAAATAATGTCATGCACAAAACTGTACCATGTGTTGTGGTGTATCTTGTTTTCTAACTTTGATCAAAATCAGCGAAGCAATCTTTGAAAATGAGTTGCTGATTTTCTTTATTTATTGGACACGACTTCAGGCGAAGACTGGATGGGTCAGAAATTGTGTTTTTTTTTCTGGTAGCTGATACAAAACGCAATCTGCTGCTGCTCAGGGTGACAGACAGCTTTTCCGTTGCTTTTGTCCAAGGGGACTCATATTTATATGGAATGATTATTTGTTATAGGAAACGATGAGGGAACCCTCAGTTTTAATATAAAGACCAGGCTTTGCATGTGCCATTTATTTAGCACTGCATATCACTGATTTATGGCCTCTGAAAAACCAAAACAGACGGGCCTATGTTTTCAGGAACTGAGTTCAGGGCTGGTTTAAACGTTTGACATAAAATATCCTCATCAGAGAGAGAAACGGGGCCCTTGGAGGCCTCCCGGTGTTGGAGAAGGAGATAGTTTGGCTCCCTATTGGCTTTACAGGTTGTTTTCAGGCCCAGCTTTGTGGTGTGGAGTGCAGTTGCAGGAAGCTCCCCGGCAGAGCAGCTCTCTGTTTGCACCCCGGGGACATCACCCTATGCGGTGGGATCCAATAGTGGGCCAGGTGGCAGGGCTGTGGGCATCTGGTTGGTCCATCGATCAGTGTAAGCCGATGCTTATTTGACATTGTTGCTCTGCAGCTGTCTGCTCTGTCTTTCTTTTCTGTTTCCTCCTATTTCTCTGGCACTCGGATCTCTTTCTCCAGTGAGATCCCGCTCGCCTTTTAAGTCACCTCTGCCGCCTCCCAGCTCTGGGTGCGCTCCTGCGCTTCCTGCTTCTCTTTTTCTTTCTCTCACGCGCAGAGATCGTGTCACACAGCCTCACCCCCCCCCCCCGACATTTTCCCTTTGTAGGCTGTGTCCTCCGGAGCTGGGAGCTCCTCAGAGTGCAGCCGAACCGTCCCCAGGCCTGTTACTGGCCATCCCCTCTGCCCCTCTCTCTTTGTACCTCCGGACCACACCGCCAGCTCCCCAACTAATTCAGCCGCTGTCCAAACTGCACTTTTCATCACCAGAGACTCCATAAGCGAAATCGATTCACAAAGAGGGACCTGGCTGTTTTCATTTGGTAGTTTTAAACAGGAGTTGTTATGTTGCTCTTTTGCTTGCCTCAGTGATGTGCAAATCCCTGTTTACTTCTGATTAGATTTAATAGGTGGAAGCTGCTGAGCCAGGGTTTTCTCCAGATACTAATTAGCGGGCTGTTATTTATAATTGTCTTGAGTAAAAGGTGTGCAGTGCGAAGCAGAGCTCTGTGGACAATGATAAATGGATTTTCCCTGCTCCTGTCCCCTGGCTTTGCTGTGTCATTATGGCGTTGACACCTAGGGGGCAGTGCAACCAAAAAGAAATGCAGAAAAGCAACTACAGTTATATTGTATATTGTTGCTGTTTTTCCAAACAAACAGCATTAAATCTGTCTTCTGGTGAAGACGTTGCTTTTCTTTGTAGACTTTGTAAAGATTTAAGTTCACATATAATTTAGAAAACTGTATGAAGACTACTGACAAAAAGAAATGGGAATATTTTTCTTTGTCATGATGTGTAACTTCAACCCGTTAACCCCTTTAATCACAGAGGAGCGAAGATTCATTAGACCGAAAATATTCATTCATACATCAAAGCGAGTTAAGGAATAATCATTTGGTTAAACGTCTCATTTGTATTCCACCAAGGAATTTCTCACTGACATTATTTGCATTCTGCAGTCCAGTCATGAAAACTCTGCTCTCTCTGGGAGATCCTCAGGAGGTTTTATTCAAATAAACATTTCACTGGTGTCGTCTTTGGCCATCTGCCTGCGTGTTAAACTGACACTTTGAGTTTGACAGACGGCCGGCGGATGCAAATTTGTGAATTGATATTCAGTTGCTGTAAATCGGGTTAATTGGCACGATACAACAAAAATCCCAAAGTTGTCTTTGTCTTTGGTATTTTAAAGCTGCATCAAACAGAAGCTCAGCGAGGTCTGATCATCTATAGGAATGGGAGGGGGGTCAGATGGACACGAGCTGGGATCAGACTCTAAACTCTGATCCTTCATAATAACCGTAATCTCCCACACAGAAGAAACCCTGCCTCCCGCTATGCTGATGAAAAGTGCTGATGTTCTAACTGCTCTCGGCCCAAAATGCTGATTTTATTCTGCACACCTTTCCTTAATTGGTATTCAAAAACACTTCTGTTATCATTTTCTGCAAAAAAAACCCCACAAAAACAAAACAGAACAAACTGCTTTGTCAAAAACGACCACAGTTTAATTAATGTGTGCATCATGTGTTGTTGACAAGTTCTTAGAAAGGATGGAAAAACAAAGGGTGAAAACTGCAGCCCGTGTTATGGGTTGTTCCAGCATTTTTAAGCTAAAAGCTGGACTCCAGGAGCAGGCAGAGTCTTCCCAGAGGCTGCGGGGTCTGGGAGGAGCTCCCCTTAACGCCGGCGTTGTGTCTGACGTCCAGGTGCCTGAACCAGATGGAGGAGGACGGCCTGTCTGTGGACAGCCTGTTCAGCAGCTGCGTGTTCCGGCAGGACGAGAGGGACATGGTGCTGAAAGCCATCCGCGCCGTGCACCCCGACTACCAGCCCCGCCCGGCTCCGCACGCCAGCCACAGCTCCTCGCCGTTGGTTCACGACTTCTACACACAGGTACCGTTTGGCTAGTACTTAACAATTTCTGTTTGATAAAAATGTGACTTTACGAGAAACGAACGTTTTTCCGAGACTGACTGTGAAATTTCTTAAGCCCTTCGAGGCACCAGGGAGCTGAGAAAGCTGTCAGAAGGCCCCCGCATGACTTCGAAAGATTTGACTGTCACCACTTCCCAGCCAAACAGGCCCAGGGCTGTTTATAGTCGGCCAACTCTGCTTTTTAATGGGCCCCTTTTGCTTGCGTTGCCCGTCTGCCTCTCACCTCTCATCCTTTTCTCCACCCCCCGTCTCCCTGTGATCCTCATATGATTCATTAACAGCTTTTTGTACAGTCATAGTATTTTTAGCTTCAGTCCGTGCACAGTTCACTTTAGTTCTCATGACATGTTTTTGCTCTTTTCAGACTTTTTTCTTGTCTGTTTGCTGGCTGTGAAAGGGCTGTGTATATTTGTGGGTGAAGCAGTGCTGTTTTATGGAAAACAGGGTGCACCTGACTGTTTAATGCCCCTATGCTCTCAGTGCATTTTTATAGGTATTTGGTTGTCTGACCATGACTTTAAGTTTTTGGCAGGCCACAGTGGATTGAGGCCGTCTAAATAAGTGGTTCACTAGATAACAGAGAGGCAGGCGGGGCGGTCTCTGGAGGATTTTCATTCCGTGTTTGCAGCCGAGGCTCGGTCTAATTAGAACATTGTTTGTTGGTGTGAAATGGGGAATTTAGACGAAGCTGAAGATCGTGCAAAATGCAGTTTGATCTAGTTTCAGCTAGTCATCAGAGATTGTCTGCTTTTCTCTCTTGTTTTCCTCTCATCCCGAAGCTGCGCAATCATTTCCCTCTTAGCCCTCGTCTGCTTACCTCTCAGTTCCCTGTTTGTTTAACTGATATCACTCAGATTAAGAGAATAATCTGCTCAGTTTCGGAACGATTGCCCCTAAATCACAAATCTTACCATGAGTCAGCATCATTGTGTTTTGCTGGTCTGTGGCCGTCAGAGAGTCATTCTACTGGCACCCTGATTTATCTGCATTAAAGTGTTCATACTTTATCATTTTTGTGTTTTAGAGGGAACACCACACCTACCCTAAACTGGACTTCACCCGTGAGCAGCTGCAGGAGCGTTTTAAGCGTCAGCTCCACGTGGAGCAGGCCTGCACCGTCACCCTCGACTCGGTGGAGGGCATCAAGCCCGTCACCGAGAACATGGCAAAAATGGTAAACGAACCGGCTGACTGCTTGTTTTCAGCCTCCTCCTCCAGCCGGAGTGCGACGTGTGGCCCACAAACGGCGCCTGGCTCTCGCTTTAACGTACCGGAGGAACATTCTAGGCTTTTCTGTTGCTGTTTTTTGTGTCTTAAAGTCAGGAGGCACACAGGTGACGATCCATTTTGCACATCGTGGACTCCACTCGGGACTGTTCTTGTATGAAATGTCCTATTCTTGTGCTGTGCCTTTTTTTCCCCCCAACTTTGGCATTTACACTCGAGCCCGGGCTGTCTGCCTCTGCAGATGGGCTATGTGGGAAGCGAGCGGGCTCGGAGTCCCTGGTGGTCAGGCAGCATTTACCGACCGCCAGGGCTGAATAATAATGTATTGTGATAGAGGCCTCTGGGGAGAGTGTAGAGCCACCTATCTACAGTCCATACTGCCTCTCTTCTTCAGTTAAAGCTCTCTTTCTATCGAGGAGAGAATCCTAAACTTTGGAGCTGTTAAAACTAAAAAAATAACAAAGGTTTTTGTACCAGGTTGAAAAATGTGCCTCAGTCGTCAGTACGGCTGGGGCACACTGTTTGTTTTTTTCTCAGGGGCATTGTCTGTCATTTTTATTCCAATTCCCATTTTTTTCGGTGCATCTGAAAGTATCAAAGCCAAACTAGCCCAATCTTCAAATAGAATTTATAGCAATGTTACAGACTGACTTCAATCCACTGAGAGCACCCTGTCCACTGGCCCTCCATTTGGATTATTCATTGTTTAATTTAAAAACTGTGGGATTGTTCATTTTGTCACTGCCGCTTCAGCCTTTGTGTTATTTCCTTTGTCATTTATGAGATGGATGACTTCCAGTGCATTGTCTTTCAGAGGGGGCTGCTGGCAGAGCAGCGAGCACAGTGGCAGAAGATCCTCCTTCAAGCCCTGAGGGAGAGCAAAATGATCCTGGCCAACACCAACAGCAAGGACTACAGGCTTAACCTTTATCCCTACCTCTGCCTGCTGGAGGATCGGGAGTATGTTGACATTATGATCCAGGTAGAAAGCTACCCACCACTCAGCAAAATGCCAGACTAAGATGTCCTTTCTGTGTTTGGATTAAGGATAATGGAGGGACAGCAGGTTTAGTGTGTAGTGGTGTCACTGCTTATTGTTTTTTTTTCTTCTGATTTCTCCACATTGCTTTTATGTAATTTGATAGAACCACTCTGGGAAAGCATAAAACACAAATCAGAGGGCTGACAGGGACAACAGCTGGCAAAGCATCAGGTTTTGACAGCAAAGCAGAACACGCTTTGATCAGATTCCTTTGCCTTGTGTGATGTTCATTATGAGAAGGCCATATCCACCATGCTCCCCAAATAACAGAGGGCTTATTTTTGATTAGACAGACGGGGCAAATGCCTGCTTTTTTGTTATTCACGTGTCTGAGTCTTTGAACTGTGCTTTTTTTCTTTGTTCAGAGTGTTGCCAACCTGCCTCCAAGTGGCGAGTCTCTGAAGATTTTAGCTCGAGATCTGGGGAACAGAGTCTACACCAAGTACTGTGTGCAACAGAAGCACCAGAATCACACCGTGGACAAGCTGGAGAGAATTTATAACGCTTTCACTGACCTACTGGCCAAAGATACCCAGGTAAAAACAACCCTACTGAACAGAGCATCCTCCTGATTGGCTGTAGCTCCACAATGGCTCTTTAAGGCAGCACAGCATTCAGCAAACAGGATTTCTGATGACCTCATGAGTTGGTGCTGTGTTACTAATTTATATACTATCAATTTGGACTTACCCAATTTGCAGTCAGATGTACAAGTGAGGAAAAAGTAGGAGTAGTATTCACAGTAGTGGCCAAAAGCTGCAAAGCTTTCCAAGAATGTTATAACGGATCCACGATTTCTTCTTAAGTGGATACACCACCATATTTAAAATGGTGTCCTGCATTCACACACAGACCTTAAGTGAAAAGGCAGCTTACACAGTATTCCTCACAGTATTTAAACACAGCTGAGCTCATTTGGGTCAGCGTCCGGTCCAAAGAGGCTTTAACGTGGGGACTCACAGCGGCTGAATCACCAGCCTTCTAGTCGGGAGATGGAAGATGACATCTCACCCAGAGCTGCCTTTTTAGGAATGTGCCTTCAGCAGTTTACTGAATAATGTATCTGAATCGGCTTTTAGAGCTTTTCCGGCAGCATGTTTGGTTCTCTTATGCAGGAATGCCTTTTGTCTGGTTCGGCGTGTCTGCTGTTGTGTAACATTGCTCCAAACTGAGAGGGAGAATTAACTTGAAGTGAGATTGCTTCCGTTTAAATCGAGTGCCACTGAGTCTTTGTTCTTCTCCCATCAGCAGAACAGTGAGCTGTGCTTTCAGATTTTACAGGCGGTGTCACTGACTCGGTGTTTCGATGGCTGCAGCACTCTGGGGGAAAGGCTAATATGATCCAGATCATAATGAGGAGCAGCTTGTTAAACTGCAGCTGTTAGTTCAACTAGAAGCCATCTCAGGTGTTTTATGGAAGGTGCTTTATATGCAGCCTTTGTAGTTAAAATGATGCCACTCACGATGCTTTTCCTCTGAATTCTCACTTCATGTTCACATTTTTATGCATCAGTTTTAAAACTAGACATGAAAAAAATATGACCAAACTCTCTCTCACTTAAGGTCAATCTTGTATCTGTGGATAGTTCTAACCATCTTAAATTGCGAAGCTTAATCTAAGCAGTTGTTTGATGTCGTCTTCTTTAGGTGTATAATGTCCTCCCAAGTGAGCAGTGGTGTAACCTGGAGATGGAGCAAAGCTCCGGCCCCACGCTGCAGGGGGGCGAAACAAGCTGGCCATACATGGTAACTCTGGAGCTGGGCACGTATTTGGTGGATTTGATGGTGAAGAACCTCAAAATCAACAGCGATATCCTGAACCCGGCCCCCGACAGGAAACTCATCCCCATCCTCTACCACATGTACACCTTTCGCAGCACCCGGCAGGTACAGTACGCCCACCGCTGAGTCCCACCGGCTCACTACAGGAACACAGGGTCGCTCAGGGTCTCTGTATCCACTTGGTCTTTGCGATAAAACCATCCAGATCCCTTTATGATTGATTCCGAATACATCTTTTGGCCTAGAAACAGGATTTCTGAGCATCAGCCTAGACCAAAGAAAATCCTTTCAACTCAGCTTTGTGTGGAAAAAATGCTCAGGGGCTGTAGTTCAAAAGATCTTCTGTCAACTAATATTATGTGTATTTCAAAGGATTAAATGTGGAGAAATAAAACCACATAAATGTTCCTTTTAAGGACACAGCATTAGAAAAATCAATTCATGGTCATTGTGCCTTTTATTTAAAGTTGGTCTAAGTGGAATTAATCGAAATAACTGAGCGTGTTAAGTTTAAGCATCTGTACTTTTGACCCTTCCTTTAATATTTGAAAGTCTTTCGAACAGTGGGAACAAAAGGACTCCTGACCTTCACTTTGGTCACAAAGATTGTTCTCAAGCTTTCTGCCCCGAACGCTCCAGTGTCCTTTTATCCTGTGTGAAACTGTGATTTCTAAAACCCCTTTTCCCCTGGCGTGAATTGGCAGTGGTAACAGTTGAGTAAGACGAATAGGTTCCCGGCTAATCCCTTTTTTAGTGTCCCCTTAATTGGTTTGCTGATCTACTGCCATGGGAGCCTCCAGGAGGGTGAGGGGAGAAATGGGCAAAAAGACACAGAAATTTCAAATTGTTGGAGCATGATGTGCTCAAAGAAAGAGGTGCACTGTAGCAGAGGTTAATTCATGGGAAGTTTTATCTTTATGTAATTCCTCTCATTTTCAAAAGTCCTCCTGTACGTGGAGGTTGGCCCATCGGGGGGGATTCTAATGATTTTACAGCACAGCATGAAGGTCTGCCTTATTGCAGTGACGCTGAGGTGTTTCTGGCAGCTTTCCGTCAACAAACGATGGACCGGTTTAAACCAAAAAACAACCCTGAACTGCAAATGCTTATCTCCATCCCCCACAGTTAGGCTTCAGCATGAGCAGGATGCTAACTGTTACACAATGGTTGATCTTTCAGGTCGGCTTCATCAAGCCCCACCCCATCCTGACGCAGATGCAGCAGGAAGCTATGGAGGCCAAGCTGACCTTCGACTCCTACGTGATGCCCATGCTGTGCCCGCCGGTGCCCTGGACCTCAGTCCGCTTCGGAGCCTACCTGCTGACCCCGGCCAAGCTGATGCGCACCGTGGAAGGGGCCACCCAGCACGAGCAGCTGCTGGAGAAGTGCCAGGATCTCCACGCCGTCTTCGACTCGCTGAACCAGCTGGGGAACTGCGCCTGGAGGATTAATAAGCCCCTGCTGGATATCATCATCTCAATCTTCAACGACCGCGGCAGCGAAAAGCTGGACATCCCCCCACCCATGTCGGAGGCCCCCAGAATACCCCACTTCAACCAGCACGACCCCGCCTACACTGCTACCGAACGGGCCCACATGAAAAGAGAGGTGATCAACGCCAAAAAGAAGAGCAGCGAGATGCACAGCCTGCGAATGGACGCCCTCTATAAGCTCTCCATTGCTAACCACATTCGGGACGAGGTCTTCTGGTTCCCTCACAACATGGACTTCAGGGGACGCACTTATCCATGCCCCCCCTACTTCAATCACCTGGGAAGTGACGTTACCAGGGCAACGCTTGTGTTTGCAGAGGGGAAGCCCCTTGGTCCCAAAGGCCTGGACTGGCTAAAGATCCACTTAGTCAATCTGACGGGGTTAAAGAAGAGAAGCTCATTACAGGGACGGCTGGAGTACGCCGACACCATCATGGAGGACATTCTGGATTCTGCCGACAACCCTCTTAATGTGAGTCTGCCTTTAGCCACAGCTCCACAGAACACTCTCTGTAGCTTTAGTTTAGATGGAAATAGGAAAATACATCCAAAATGTTTAAACAGGAAGATGACCGAGCTTCTCTGTTTGTCTCTTTCAGGGGAAGAAGTGGTGGATGAACGCGGACGAGCCGTGGCAGGCGCTGGCCTGCTGCATGGAGATAGCCAACGCAGTGAGGTCACCCGATCCAACGCGGTTCATCTCTCATTTTCCTGTTCACCAGGTATCACAAAAGACACGATGAACAATCGATTGGGGAAGATTTGCATAACATCCTCTCAGCATGCCAGCAGCATGCTACAGAGAATCACTTCTAACTCCGAAAGAAAGCCCAAGGTCATTTATAAGAAGCCGTCCTTTGGACTCGGCTGATCTGACCGCTGTTATATTTCAGGTTAACAGCCTTCTGGAAATAAAACGTGCTCTTGTATGTTTTTTTGTGCTATTTTTGAGGGAAAATCCAAGTTAACAAGCATTCCCAGCCATCTGGGTCCCTGTGTTGCCATCAGGCATAAACTCACAGCCCCTGTCTTGTAGACACTTTGACATTTTCTGCACCAAGCTCTGACTTTTGACACATTATTGGAGGCATGCAATGCATCTACAAAGTGATCTACTATCCTCTCTTGCCAGATATCCTGGCATTGATATAATTTTAAGGCTACGTAGTTCTTTCTGTGTGGAATGTATGTTAAAACATACCCGAGAATTCCCATAGCGTGTCATAACGATGATGATGGTGAAAGGTTATTCTTATTCTAGCTCAGTCAGTGTCTACTGAATGTTTGTCGTTCTGCAGTTACAGGCTTCCTTTTTCTCCCCGTCTCCCTCAGGACGGCTCCTGTAATGGCCTCCAGCACTATGCGGCTCTGGGCAGAGATGTTATCGGTGCCACATCAGTCAACCTCATGCCCTGTGAAGTGCCCCAGGACGTGTACAGCGGGGTGGCACAGCAGGTGGCTGCCTCTTGCTTTTTTCTGGTGTTTTATTCCCATCTTTGAATTTGGCAGCCTAATCATGGAAGCCTTCAGCTGCAAAGCAGCTGTTAGTATTCACACAGCTCACCGACTCCCACGGCCAGCGACAGGCGGAGCACAGACGGTATATTTTAGGTTTTTCAGTTTAGGTCTTGCATCCTTTACTCTGCTCTAAACGGATGAGAGAAAAGATGGCTTCTTAAATGCTCAAAGAGTATGTGCATGTAAAGGACCCAGTTTACAGACTGACTGAAGCCGTGATATTCTGATTTTTTTAGTAGAAGAGGAGTGAAATGAAGATGAGAGTCAGCTTTTTGCCTCCAGGGACAGAGACAGTGGGCACTGTCACAGCAGAGTGGGTTCACTTCAGGACTCTTTATCCCTGTGGTTTGTTTACCTCTGAGCATCACAGTTATTATTAGATGATACCGTAGATCGGGCCTTTTGCGAGTAAGGCTACCTCAGCAGATAAATCACCAGGGTTCGCTGGACGTTCAGTCCCTCTGACAAAAGCTGTGTTATTTGAGCCTTAAACTAGAGCCAAAGCTATCAGGTTCTAAATGCATTGACCGAGCCGTCTGCCTTGAATTGATCTGACGCGTGGCATTTGTTCACACGCTGGTGTTGGCGTGCGTTCCAGGTGGAGGAGCTGCGGGCTCGAGACGCTGAGAATGGCCTGAAAATCGCCCAGGTGCTGGAGGGCTTCATCAGCAGGAAGGTGGTCAAGCAGACGGTGATGACGGTGGTGTACGGGGTCACGCGCTACGGGGGCCGCCTCCAGATAGAGAAAAGGCTGAAGGAGATCGATGATTTCCCGAAGGTACAGCGTGCCGTGGGGCTCCTGGTGGCAGCGCAGGGGCGTGTCCGCCCCCCCCCCCACCACACACACATTTTGCACTGGTATTTTTAGCTTGAAACCAGCGCTGAGTGACAGACTCCCCGTTTTGCACATATGGCCCTTAGACATTCAAACACATGCATGGAGCTCAGAGTCATGTCGCGTTGGATGTTTCAGCTCCAGGTGTTTCAGTAACACTGAGCTCAAAAATGAGCCTCACAGAGTAGAAAGAGACAACGTTTCCTTCATTAACATCAGCTCCATTGGTGAGTGAAATAGAATATTGCATGATTTTTCTCAGAGAGGGTATGAGTGGATTTCAACAATAGGTTTATTTTTAAGGTCTTCCGTGCAGCCACTCTCAATCTATTTGTAATTCAAAATCTCTCCGGTTTGATTTTTACTGGAAATAGCAGGTTCTTTTAGAGCAAATTTGAAGAACATCAGGGCAAAAAACACAACCTGATATTTAGAAAATAAATCTCATGATCTCTAAAGCTGGCATCAGCATTTTCCTGCTTTACTGTCCTGCTTTCCAGATCCACAACAGTATTTTCAATGAGTGCTGCCTAATTTTTCTAATAGTTGACACAAGGATTCAGGTGGCAGGGTAATATTGACCCGCTGCACAAGGAGTGGATCAGAGGAATGAGATATTACCTACCGTGGAGGAGGTTATGATACGATAATGAAAAGGAAAAGCTCACACTCAGTGCTGCAAGTTATGAAGCTTATTTTGACTTTAATTTTCATCTTCAGTAACAGTCGAATAAAGCTGAGTAAAACCCTCTGTAATATTGATCTAAACTCTATTAAGAAATGAGCAAAAGTGTAAAAGAATAACCGGTTATATAACTGTAATGTTTTCCAGGACCATATTTGGGATGCATCTCATTATCTGGTGCGTCTGGTGTTCAGCGGCTTAAAGGAGATGTTTACTGGGACCAGAGAGATTCAGGTGAGAGCATCAATCGAATTCTCCCATTCAGCTGCCCAAACAAACTAAATACACAAAGTAGCACTGATTTTACTGAAACTATTACTGTTCTAACTTTTTAACTATTTAGGGGTTCGTAGCTGCCTCATGATCTTTAAGATCAGTGGTTCCTTTCTTCATTATTCGATTTTGAGACACTACTTTTTCTTTTCTGTTACTGATTCCTTTGGTACAAAATGGGACAAAATTTCATATTCAGTATTTTTCGATTTGTATAAAGTGTCCCCAGTAATTAATTCTTAATTACAGGCTTCTGTCCAGCGAGCACCTCAGGAAATGACACATCTGTGAGGTAGTCTCACACCACTGAGTGACTGCTGCAGATGGAAAATGATGTATTTTTATTAATGACTCGTATGCTTTACCACCACCCCGGTAACAGCTCTCATTCATCACAAATCTATTCATAGATTTAGGACCTGCACCTGGTGGCAGATTGTACATTATACCCACAGGTGGAGTCTGGCGAGCTGATAGCAGCACCACCCACCACCGGTGTGTTTCTGTGTGTCCTTTGGGGAGTGGGGACGACCCAGTGAGAGAAAAATCCCTTTCCCATCATATCCGATGCGCTGTGTGCATGTATGTGTGTTTGCACCCGCTGCTTTTATATAGGTCACGTCCTCTGGCATTTCATTGGGGAGAGGTGAAGTATGAGTGAGGGAGAGGGAGCTAATCAATCCCCGGTGCTGTCATCTCTGACCTCTGGAGCCTTCTCCCAACAAACGCCCCTCTATTCTCTGCCTTTCTTTCCCTCCATTCCATCGGCCCAGCCTTCTCTGTCAGTGAACATCCGTTATTCTCTGGACAGATCTGTCCATCTCTCCAGCCTCTCATCTTCCTGATCTCTTAGGAAATAAGGAAGCGGGTGCTGATTTATGGAGCCGCTTTGGGTGCAAATGCTCCCACTGCTTTCTGGGACATATTCATTTTACCTGCACGTGGAACATGAACGGGGCGCCTGCTCTGGGAAAAGTGGGCCAGGCACATTTCCAACAGCCGCCGTTTCAGTTTCTGAGCGAGCAACAGCTCCTCACCTGTTCCTCAGCAGCCCTGCAACAGTTTGGCAGACTGAACCTGGGTGGTGGAAGGAACTGTGTTCTGGAGGTCCCCGTGGACAGCTTGATTTTTCCAAAGAGGTTTGCTTTGTGTGCATTTTGGGGAGTAGCTGAATACAGCATCACAGGACGGATTTGTCTGACTTTGGACGATCTAAAACCGTTCACATGCAGGACGGCCCCAAAATACGACTGTATGGCAGCAATGCAGGGAGAAAATCCTCCCCACAGGCCGTCGAGACTTCTGTTTTTTGTTGTTATAAAAACAGAATACGCCGGTATTTCATGCAGCGCCGCAGCTCCTCAGGACGCTCATCGGTGCACGCCCCCCTCTTTATATTTTGGCTCCTGTCTGTTGCAGGACTGGCTGACGGAGAGCGCCAGGCTCATCTCCAAGTCTGGCCACACTGTGGAGTGGGTGACACCCCTGGGCTTACCCGTCATCCAGCCATACCACCGAGCGCGCAACCAAGTGGTAAGTCTGGCCCGGGTCAGGTGAGGCGTCTGTGCGGTCTTAGTCTCTGTCATCAGAGCCGAGGTGTGTTCACTCAGGCCTTCAGGACTTCACACAACATTGTCTCTTTTTCTTAATGTTTTCATAATGTTGTTAAATGTTTTGGACCGACAGCATCCTTTCAGCACATATTTATCTTTATGATTTTTATTATGTTTTTCATCAGCCTGATGATAGATCAAGGTCTCAGGTCAGTTCTGGACATTCAGTGTTGTTGTGGAGGATGTCCACATCCTTCACACCCCGATGCAAAGCTCAGTCAGTGAAGGCCGAGGCTTCAAAGCGGCCTCCGAGTTTCAAATGGGTTTACGTCTGCGTCCCGCCGCTGATGGTGTCCAGTGATTACCATGAGTGGCCGGAGTCTCACAAAGCGAAACAACATTGTTAGTGTTGTCTGTCGCCATGGAGATATGGCTGAAACCCAGTTCAGAGATAAGGCGTTGGCCGTGTGCCAGCACGTCTGCAGATAATGGCCTTCATGTGCAAAAACGGCAAAGCTCAGCCTGTTTCCAGTGACAGAAAATCCACTTTAATCTCTGCACTCCTCAAACTTTAATGAAGTGAAAGGTGGCGACAGACATGGGCAGGTACTATCAGAGCGCCGGCTCAAGACTGGCCCGGTATGCAGCCCGCTCTCTTAGTGTGACACGGAGCATAAGGCTGGTTAGGAGGGGAAGTGACACCTCAAGCAGGTGCAGGAGAGTGAGGGTGGCAGATGGTGGATCCCCTGAGGGTGCGTCTCCCCTCTCTGTGGAAGCGGTAGGGCACACTTCCCCGATTTGACCCGCTTCTATTGAAGTCCTGCCGAGCCTAGAAATATGATTAGCATGGCTTTTTTTATTGCCTAAATATTAAAAAAAGAGAGAACGAATGAGGATAATTCAAATGAGGGTTTAGCGTATGCTTGGCAGATAACTTTCTTGATCCTCTGCAATATTTCTGTAATCCAGTTGCATCACTGAGCCACACAAATAAAACCAACTGGCAGAAAGGTCACCTTTTCCCAAGCATAGCTGGATTAAATTCAATCTCCCCGTCTCCTCTCTTCCTCTTAAATCCAAGGCCACCGAGTTTTTGAGGGTTGTTAGTAATTAGACCCGAATCTGTGGAAAGATCAAGACCGACATAGTTTAGAAAAAAAGCAGTGGGGCCAAAGCAGCTCAAGCAGCCTCACAGCAGAAGTGTTTGCGTGCACGCGTGTGCACGGACAGAGGGGGTGCGGATGCCGACCTGTGTAAGCACAGATTTTCTACGGAGGGTGAAGAAAAGGACTGGATGGAGTGGCTGAAGGGCGCGCGAGCGTACATCCGGGAGGCCGTCTAACAGGATTGGGTCACGCTAATCCAGTCGGAGGTCGCTGCCTCAGATTTGCTGTTTATTTATTTGTGCTCGGCGCAGTGAAATCTCACTCTCGGCGGATGGTGGCATGTGGGAATCATCTGCTGGATTTGAGTGGATTAGCGGGTTTCGAGGGTGACTAAAAGCCTGTGATCTAATGTCCTCTGTGTGAGCAGAGGCTTGCTCTGGATTTCACTGACAATATGGGCACTCTGCATAACTTTAAATACACTCTGCAAATTAAGGAAGTGCTTTGGATAATTCAATAAGACCTCAAGAGTTAATAAAAGTTGAACAAAACTCTTGCTAATCTCAGATTAGATGTAGTATCCTGTCTTGCTGATGGTCCTGCTGCTCTGATCTTTTGACACTTTCATTTATTTACCTTCTTCTATGAACAAAAGATTATCTCCCGTTGTCCAGCCCACGCTTCCCTTTTAGTGGCTCTCTGTTTATATTCTGGAGCAAACCTTTCCCACCCAAATGTCGACACCATGGTCTCTTTTTGCATTGTGACTCTCACGAGCTGCTCGCACAGCATCCCAACGTTTTGTCCGACTTTTGGCATTTCAGGCTGCGGTCTGAGTTTTCTCGGTTTTTACTCAGCCCGGGAAAAATTAACAACTTCCAGTTTTGAGGGAGAAAAGGTCAGTGGGAGTGTTTGGAGGTGCAGTGGTGTGTTTGAGTCCCTGTAGAAAAGCACATTATGCACCATAGTCTTTCAAATTCAAATGCATTTGGTCACATTTAGTTGTTGGGGATCCTCCAGTCGATTCGTGTCTTACGACGCCCGTGTCCGACCTTCTGCTCTGCAGCTACCAGGTGATTTCCTGTCGGAGCAAAGCCTTGGAGGCCAGGGTCTCAACCATCTCAGGCTCTGTGTTTTCTTTAACAGATCTTACGGGTTTACAGTTAATGAGCAGGGTTCGAGTGCTCTGCAGTGACCTGATCTCCAGCATGGTGATTCAGAGCTCACATCAAAGGACGCCGCCACCTCTAGTCATTAGCCGCTGGCTTGTAGCATGGCTGCTACGCTTTGGTCGAAAGGGAAACACCTCAGCTGCCACCTCAGCAGTTTTGGGAGACACAAAGGCCGAAACTGGTCAAGAGTTTGAGGCAAAAAAGTAACTGCTTACAAAAAAGTAGCTGAAATAGTTTTCCACCTTGTTTGATCCCCATGCAGACGTTCAGCTGCATGCAAACAAAAAAGCTGTGAAGCCCCCACTGATAAACACTATTCTATGACTTTTGGCATTTCGATTTACTCTCTTTGAACATTCACAGCTAATATAACAACATATTGTGAATTCAGAACACAGATTGCACATTTGGAGTCAAATTCAGGCCCCTAAATACGATGATGTCATGAGACCAGGTAAAGCGATAGCTTCTGCTGAAGCATTTTGAGCCAATTCTAAATGAAAAGATTCCAGCCTTTGACAGGGTGTTGTGTGCTCCAATTAGCTGTAATTCCTAAATCCTTCCATCAATTTGCATGTGAAAATTCTCAAATTAGAGCCGTGAGAGCCATTTAGGCACATTATTCACTTAGTAAATGCATCATGAAAATGTGAGTAAACGGCTTATAGAGCAAAACAGGTTTTTATTGAGTATAGTTTGTTCAGAGGGCATAGTTTGAAAAACTGCACTCACTGTGAAAGATGTGAGAGCTAAAACAGACTAAAAACCGTAAAAAGATTCTGAACCTAAAAGAAGACTTTCATTCTTTTGATTACTGGCATTAATCACCCTATTTAAATAACTATAGATTTTCTGAGTTTATTATCACAGTAATTGGTTCAGTATCACATGATACTGAACATTTTCTAAAAGCCTCCTCTGGTGTCATATAGGAGGATGTATTGATGTCCAATTTGGATCTTTTTCTTGGTGCTGGCTATATTGGAATCAATATGTAGATTCAGAAAAAAAGCAGCAGTCTGCCTCTGGGGAGGGATGTATTTCCCCCTTTAAAGGTCCCATCCATGGTCTACAAGCCATTTCACTTGTGTTAAAAAGCCTTTACAGCAAGAGAGCCTGTGTGTGTTTTGGAGATCCTCTGAAGAGGGTTTTTAAAGGCTCGTCAGAATGGCAGCGTCATGGTTTGGTCTTTGGGGCCATCCCATGCAAACAGGGCCTATTAAAACCCGATGCAGAGGGATTCCACACCGACCCACCATCTGCTTAATCTGACTGATTTATTATCCTCTTTAGCCTGTTTGAGCTGGACTTTTTCCAAAATCAGCCCCAGAATCAAGGAAATGGGCGCAAATTAGTCCTTAATCACCGGGAACAAACACTTTTTCTGTCCATTCATAATGTTGGGACTTAATCTCATTCTAAGCTGTGATAATGATGTCTGAAAGCACTGTGATTATTCACAGCGCAGACGGATGTGTCGGCAGCACTCTAAATTCAATTTCATCTGACATTTCGGCATTAAAGATCCCTCCGCCGGTGGAAAAAAGCAAACGTGCCCAGGCAGAGTAACAGATGTGGAGCCGCTCGGGTACATTAGCCAAAGCTCGATGCGAGGTGAACACCATAATGGAATGTGCTTAAATTGACGAGGAGTGAGCGGCCGGCTTCCAGTCATATCTGTGTTGATAGTAGCCTGTCGTTAGCACCTTGGCTGGGTTCCAGGGGTCGGAGGAGGATTGTTCCCTCTCCACATTCTTGATACAGCTGATTGCACGGACCCTTAAGGCCTCTCTCTGTCAGGAGTAGCTGAGTGCTGGTCTTGGGAGGTGTGTAATGACGCCGCCTGAAACTCCTTTTTTCACGTACTGGCTGAGAGGCTGCAGCATTTCATTTATTTTTCCTTCACCTCTGGTGATTTGCTACAAATACCAAGTGGGCACTTGGTCCTCTACAGGCCACTTCCAGTAGCTCTGACGCTCTAATGGTCTGGGGTTGCATTGGTGAAAAGTGTTTGACAAACGCAACAAAAAAAACATATTTATGACTTCCAAAGGAAGAAAAGAAATCACAAAAGTTGAGCTTACTAAGATGGATCGTACAGATGTCAGGGTAGCAATTTTACCTCTTTTTTTAATTTACTTTATGTGTCCTAATTCATGTTAATAAAGACAATTTTGGGGCTATTTGGTTTAGTTTTGTTGCCTTAAATTAAACCAATTAAAAACTTGAATTGAATACAATCACAATGCTTTCCAATCTTATATTGTAAGATAGAAAACAAGAATGAATTATCAATCAATAGTAATTAAAGTCCAACTTCTTTGAGGCTGCCGTCTTAAATGTTTCCTGGGTTTAGTTATGTCATAATGCTGTAATTCTGTAACAGGACTCTGACAGTAACATTGCTGACACTGTTTATGCTCAGTGGCAGAATCGTACCTTCTTCAGGTCACTAACGGGCATCCTTCTCTGTCATTGTTCTGCCTCTCCTCCAGCTGAAGAGCTCCATGCAACACATAAACCTCCAGATCAACCACGACGCTACAGAGTAAGTCCTCCTGCAGATGCTGTCTGTTGTTTTATTCATCATTTGCCAGCGTCGGTCCAGAGAAGGTGCTACGGCTTTCTCCTCTCGTGGCACTTACTGACATTCTCAGCCAAATGTCACCCGTTAGTCTGCCGGCAGTGACCCGGAAGAAGGTCACAGGATGCCGAGTGAAAGAAACGGCGCTTACTGGCGGTCATTTTTTATGTCATCGATTTTGGGCGGAATTTGTAGCCATGAGTTTTCAAAAGTCTAGGTTTTTTTTAATTAAGGGTAGATGGATGGGAAAGTAAAGCTTAAGGCTCTTGGCTTTCAGTTCCAAGATTTTCAGCTGCACAAAAACCTCAGTCTCCTGTGGGTACTCCAACTAATTGCCTGCACAGACTCTGAAGTAGCTTAACATTTATCACAAAGTCAGAAATACCAGGACAAGTTTTGAAAACTATCCATTGAATATATAGTTGGTTATTCATTTAACATGCCAACTTTGGCATGTTAACGGCTGCACTGAAGTTAAAATCCTGGCACATCCTTAATGGAAATATTTTTTTCACAGCTTAGTGTTTTCCAGAGATTACTGGATTCATCTTGTTTTTTTTCTACACCTAAGATATGGATACTATAAATATCTGCTGTATCAGGCGTGTATGCTTAGAATGGAGGACGGGAGGGATGGTGTCATTAAATGCATCAACGGCTGAGCGTGTCTGCAAATACAAACTCAAGACTCCTGTTTTTGCTCAGCTCGATCCCAGAACAGCCCAAGTAAAAGCACTCCCATAAAAGTCTTAACATTTTCAAGCCCAAAATAAACCAGACAGACGGAAAGGAAGTGACAGACAGGCACGGCGTGTTCCTGCGTGTTTGTGTTGTAGCTTTGGGTGTAGCTCAGTCTCTCTCTGTGCATTTCCATTAGAGGAATGTTCCGGTCTATGGCAGCCCAAAGGATTTGAATGGTGCTGGCTAAGGGTAATAGGGACAGGTGGAGGGGTGCAGATCGGCAGGGAAGTTCTCTTCCTTTTTTCATGCCAATTCCAGCACAATTCGCAGCAGTTTTCATTTTCATAGACACAACTGGCCAGATGTTTTAGTCCCCCTTAACTGAGTAAACACAAATGAGCAGCATCTGTTTAATTAGAATAGTTTATATAAAAAATGATCTATCAGCTGAAACCTAAATAAAGCTGATTCAGAAATAAATCTATCAAAGTCTTACTGTTTTTTAATACAGATCATTTGTTTTTAATCTGTTAAATTAGTTAAATTAGCACAAAAATTTAGGGGGCATTTCAGAATGACGCGTCCTACCCAGCTTTCAGCTCTCTCAGCTGGACGAGTGACCAACATCCAGTCCAGAATTTCAATAAAGACCGTCGGAGAGATGAATTCTCCTCATAAGTTGAGGACACTGGTTATGTGCCTTCACATGGCTCAGACATCTCCTCGTGTCAGGGCCATCACAGAAGGGACTGATGGTGTTTCTGCTGCTGCTCTTCCAGGAGGCCCGACACGGTCAAACAGAAGAACGCCTTCCCCCCCAACTTCATCCACTCTCTGGACTCCACACACATGATGCTCACCTCTCTCTACTGCTACAGGTACAATGAAGCTAAAGCTAAACGTTGTCCTTTTTGCTCTGCGAAGCCTGTTTCCTGCTGATGGCCGGTGGTGGTACTGACAGCCTCCAGCTGTAAGAGAGCTCATTCTCAGCCTAACTTTTTCAAATCGCCCTGGACTTCATGCAGGTGTGATCATTCCTGCTAAGCCAGCTGTAGCCAGGTTTTTATAGCTGTGTTTGATTCACATTTGGAAGATTCATTCAATGGTCCGCATCGCTTATTCCTAGTCGGGGTCACATAGGGGGCCGGGGCCTATCCCCATTTGGAAGTAGTTCATAAAAAAAAGGGATTTAAAAAAAAAAAAGTTTAAAAGGTAGACATTTGCTTGAAGTTGAAGCTTAACAGAGTTTGGAAACAGCTTTTTCCAATTTCCATCCGACCTGGAAAAGATCAAAATTATACGAATTGTCACCTGCAAATGGTAAAACTGGCCGACTGGCTTCTTCTTAGGCTGGATTTAATGTCCCAGATATTCTCACAGATGAAAGCCTCTCCTGGAGAGGAACCCTTCACATTATGCGCCACAGTTGCTGTTTTCCTGCAGCAGAGCCACTAAATCAACCCAATCACCGGAACAAGTCGAGGAAAACAGGCTGACTAAATGAATGGACTTTTGCAGAGTTATAAACAGTGTTTTTTTGTTTTTTTCAAAGCCTTCCGGCGGGTTATGATTCTCATCCTCCCTCTCTTCCTCTCCTCCCTCTCTTAGTGCCGGCCTGACATTCGTCTCAGTTCATGACTGTTTCTGGACCCACGCCCTCACCGTGGACACCATGAATAAGGTATCACGTTCTCCCTTTCCCTCCCCAGTCCCCTCCCTCCTCCCTCTGTCTTTAGGTTTTGTTTTTACCTGAGGCACGGGTCATCTCAGCTCTGCCTTATGTCGATCTGCTTGTCGGAGGAGTGATGGAGGCGCTGGGAAACTGAGCTGGATGCAGTACTGAAATTAAGAGAGCGGATCAATTTAGGCCGCGTCTGTGATTGGTGCTTTGTGGCGACGGAGGCTGCAGCTCCCGCTGCCTCCCGCCTCCCCGGGCTGCAGGTATCAGGCAGCTCCTGTCGAGCTGAATAAATCACACAGCGGCTCCTCTTTTTTTCAAAGCAACCCATCCCGCCCAGACTGAGACACTGCGCTGAATAAAATGGGTCAAATTACCACAAATCCCCGGTCGTCTGCAGACGCCGCCTCGAAGCACAGTCTCAGTCTCCTGCCCCATCTCAGAGCTGTTACGGCCAATGAAAGTTTCTCGCTACATTTACTCACGCTGCTATGCGCCCCCCCTTGATGAGCGAGCGTGCGCCGCCCTCATTACGCAGGTAATTGAGCACAGCAGCCGAGGAGAGGGGGCGTCAGACGTCTCACTCCACATCCGAGCGCACGGGAAGGGAGCCGGGTTTTAATGGCAAGCGATCCGTCCCCCCCCCTCCCCCAGCACTTCTCTGCAGCCTGTCCAGAGTTCGATCAGGAAGGGGCTTTGCTGGGAGACGCGCAAGCAAATCAGAGCCATTCAGAGTTTAGGAGGAGATTTGATTTGAGCTGCATAAATCTTTAAAGCAATGCATGGAAAACGGGGGTCTGATGTGGTCCCAGCTGTGGACGCTGATTCACTGGTGGGTGAATTTGCAAAACGGCCGCCCGAGTGTTTATTCTGCAATGATTGATGTCAGGGGGTTATTTTTATTTTATTTTTTCACCAATCTCACCTCTGTACAACATCTCTCAGGATTGTTGGATTCATAGAGATTTTCCTCAAAACTTTTGCATAAAAACACCAGCAATCTGTTTGTTTTGGGCTGAAAACTAAAGTTTAGATTTGGTATCCTTCGGTGATCTGAGCAGTTTATCTTAAGTTTGTCTGACCTGACTCAAAGAGAAAATGATCATAATCAGAAGGACAGGCGTTGAGGACTGTGGTGGTCCTCTCTACGTCCCCGCTCTCCTCTCTATTCCCGTCCGTCTCCCCTCCAACCACCCTGAGGCTCAACAGGTCGCGGGCAGCTGGTGGCTCACCTGTTTGGATCTGAGTAACCTCCCTCCGCCCTCTCCTGTCCTCCTCCTGTCAGGTCTGCCGGGAGCAGTTTGTGGCCCTGCACAGTCAGCCGATCCTGCAGGAGCTGTCCGACTTCCTGCTGATGAAATACTGCACCCCCATCCCGTGAGTAGTCCGCGCCCCTACACATGCAACCACAACAAAGAAAACGCCCCTTTACTCAGCATTTTTAACCTGTAAAAGGGCAGAACGCCGTCGGCCTGCTGTAGTCTGAGCACCTCCTCTGGAAGCTCGTTAGGTTTCTGTCCTCCTCAGTTCAGACTCAGACACTCTGCCCAGGCTTAAGTTCCCCTCTCTCACCCAGAGAGAGCGCAAACCTCCCCTGCAGTGGCTCAGGGAGTTCAGTTTTCTTCCACTTTGTGCTTTGAGGCACACAAAAGTTCCTGAAGTCGTAACTTTTTGTTCTCCTCCTCTGCGGCAGGACCGAAGCCAGGGGCAAGAAATACCAGGAGTACAGGAGGCTGCTGCTGTTGCTGTCCAAAGTGCCCCAGACAGGTGGGTGTGTGTGTTTGTGCGTGTGTGTGTGTGTGTGTGTGTGTGTGAGGATGGCCCCTCTGGGGTTTATGTGTTAGAGGGAAGGTGGGAGAAAGCGGGCCCCAGATCCCTTAATGAGAATGTAGAAGTTAACATTTTGCCCTGGAGACGTCTTTGAGGCCAACAGCCTGTCTGAAAATTGAATGGTTTAGTTTCTACAAAGGCTACCTGGTGCCTCCCCAAGCGTGTCCCTGAATGCCCACTTGCTTTCAGGTTTTTTTTATCTTACAGCACAGGATCTTGAATCCAACACCGAGGTGTAATCCAGAATATCTACTGACTAGAAATAAATGTTGTGTAGTTTTAATCAGACTTTGTTGACAAAATAGCAAACGGGAAAGGCTTAAAGTCTTTGAGACAAAGCAGAGGAAATCCACTTGTTCAGGGACAGGTTGGTCCTCTGTCCTCCTCCAGGTGTGTGAGTGCAGTACAACGCAGCAAAAAGACGGAGATGTCAGAGAGGCTTCTGTTTGGGTCTTCCTGTGTGGAAGCCGAATCCCTGGGCTGTCAGCGCGTCCCGCTTGTGTGTGGTGTTGAGTGATGAGACGTGAATGCGTGCAGCTCGGGGGTCTTTGTGCCGTCCGCGGGGCTGATGTCAGCACTTTGCTGCCCCTTTCAGCTTTCCTCCCCTTAATAATTCACACCGGGGCCCCGGCTGCTGAACACAGCTGTCAGAGAGTGCAGAGGGGGGACAGGGCGGCCAATCAGACGCTGCGTTCAGGACCAGAAAACGGGTTCTGTGCCCCCTGAAACCGAAAGCCAGCCTCTCACGATAAAGGAGGAATTCTACAACTAAACCCGGTCATAACGCACATCAGTGGCAGCAGATTCAGTCACTTGTATGAATCCCAGAGGAAGAGACGCCTCTGGGGAAAAGTTGTCACATTTGCTGTTTGTAATATCTGTTCTGAGGTGGGCCTTTTTGCCTGCTCAGTGCTGGTAGTTGCGGGGGAAGTGGGCGGCCTGTGCTCCTCAGACCCAAACTCGCTCTGACACCCCATCTCTCGCCCCTCCAGGTGATTTTGATCTCCGGCGGGTGAAAGAATCCACCTACTTCTTCAGCTGAGGCTCCTGCGGGCGAGCCAGCAGAACCAGATGAGAGGAATTGACAGCGGGCAGCAGGAGGGCTGCCGGCCGCAGCGTCCCGTCGGCTCCGGCCTCCCACAGACTCCAGGACATTGATCCAGCCGCGCCACCCCCCCCCGCCTCCCGGCCCCGAACGGCTGGAGCTGCCGGGGGCGCCGGCACAGAATGGGCCGGACTGAGCCCGATAAGGGACTGAGGGAGAGCAGGCGGGGGTGCTCAACCAGCCGAATCAGGAAGGGAATCGGCATCAGCAGCTCCTGTTAGCGATGCTGTGAGCAGGTTCTGGTCTGAGAGTGTGTTTGGGTGTGTGTGTGTGTGTGTGTTTGTGTGTGGGTGTGTGCCTTAATGAATCATGTGTGAACCGCGTTGATCCGTCCATCACCGATTTACATTTCTGCTGCTCAAACAAACAGACTTTTTACACGTCTGCTCTCACAAACTGTGATGTGAACGACTGACCTCCAGGCAGCCATGCCTCCCCCCACCCCACCGGTCCAATCAACTACCACACACTTCAGCTTTTTCTGGAGAACTGCAATAAAAGAGGATTGTGAGAGGAAATTAAAGACATGCTTAAGTGAACAGGCAGTATTCTCTTTTGAACTCTGAGAATGAAACACTGAGTGATGACTCGAGGTTTTCTCAGAGGGGTGCTCATGATTTTACTGTTTTCAAGCAGCTCAGCACTTGACTATGACCTGTTAATAAACACGTTTTGTTAAAACATTTCCATATTCATCTGGGTCAAAAGAAAAATGATATTATTGGAGTGCTTAAATGTGATGAATGAGTCCTATCTGCATATTTAAATCCTATTGTGTTTTTGAGATGAAGGCCTCCTTTTTAGAGGCACAACAAAGGATTTGCAGGCTTCACTAATCGACTCGGATCTTATGTTTCTGGGCCGGTGCCACATCTGGAGGTAAAAATAGCAGAAGTGCTATCTGATCAGTTCTGGAAACGTTACAGTAGCTTCAGACAAAAGGCGTCGTCGGTGTTCAAAGGCGAGCCGGGCCCCCGTAAACAAAGCTGGCTGAGCGAAGATGTAATGAAATGGAAATAATCTTTGAGGGGGCATAAATAGCGTACTGATTAGCCTGCAGGATTCCAAATCATTTGCATGCCGACGTGCACGTGGAGGGCTCTTCGTATTTTATGATGTGCACCCTGATCAGTTATTTAGTTCTTAGTATCAGCACCTGGCTTCCTTTGACTGTGAAATCTGCCCTGAGGTGAGTTGTTAATGCTAGTTTTTCCTTTTTATAAACGTCAGCTTCAAATTATAGGCACTCTCAGACTAAAAATGGGTCTGATGCAACACAAATGACACGGTTTGAGGTCCAGATGACATGTCAGATGTGCTTTGGTAAAAATATCCCCGTGGCAGGACAGCCAGCCCCTTTTCACCCCGTGTGCTCGCCCTCTTTCAGATAAACGGCTTAATGGGACGACGTCAGCTTGGCGCTTGACTCCCCTCCACCTTCCTCAGCCGCTGCCTCGAATCCATGGAAATGAAAACGTGGGCACGAATGAACCGGCCGTGGAACATGCAGGTAACAGTCTGAAATCCTCTGAACCCCAAAAACTAAACCCACACCTGTGCAAAGACTAAAAATGGTTAGAAACTGGTTTAGTTTTTACCAGAATGGTAAAAAATAGAACTTAAGCTTCACTCAGTCCTTCAGATTTCATGGACTTATTTGACACTTTGTGTTCACCACCTCATGCGAAGTGGAAAATATCTGGATGTGCTAATTCCTCCTTCGAGATGAACCAAACCAAGGCCTTGTTTCTTCTTTTGAGGAGCTGTTAGGGATGGAGTTTTCTCCCATGGGAGGGACATTGCATGACTCAGCACAAAGGGGATCTCCTGGGTGGATGCTGCTGGCCTAAGTGGTTCAGTCAGAGCTGAGAGAGACTTACTGCCACTCCTTAAAAGTTCACGTGGAGGTGATGCGTGGACAGGAGCTCCCTGATGACCAACTCCCACAAACCCAGAATCTGCTGTTTGAGGAAATCATTGAGCAGAAAATAGGATTGAAATAGGCTTACGTCACCTTGATTGTCTTTATTGAGCTAACGGAGTATTAATTGTGTTCTGCCCAGATTACTTTGGGGTGGAAATACGATAATAATATATAATACTAATGTCCTGTTTATTCTGGCATTTTGTTTTTTGGACGCAGAGGGATTAAACAGACCTGTCTACCAGAAGAGAACAAAACCCAGAGGAACCAGATTCTGCCGCGTCTCCTGAATGTGTCTGGAGAAAAAAACTATTAAGGCTGCAGTTTTCTTCATATCTTACACTGTTTCATACTTTCAAATCGTAACTGGATGAAGACTGAAGATGCTTCAATTGCCATTTGCTTTTTTTTCTTCTTCTTCAGCCTTTCTGAAATGGTTCTGGATACAGAAAATCATCAGCCAGTCCAGCTTTTCTTTAGAAATATGGAGCGTGGCTTTTTTTGCCACGACTCAGTGGAGCCTCTAAACTGGTCACACTTAAGAGTGACTATCTTCCTTCGCGGTGTGATAAGGTGAGGGCCCGTCGGGGGGGTGTTTCCCTGTCTCGCTCTCAAAGCATGCTGGGAATATTCCAGACAACCGCCGCCTGAAATAGAATGAGGAGGACAAAGCAATTAACAAACGCTTTATGAAGGGCTGGTTTAAACCACAGGGCCTTCACTGGCATGCGGACAGATGTGTGACACACACAATTCCACATTTGTGTGTGTGTGTGTGTGTGTGTGTGTGTGTGTGTATATGTGTGACATCACTGATTTACTTCTCTCTATTTTGCCAGGGGCAGAACCAAAAGGAAGTGTTGCTCTCTATCTGCCAGACATGCCTGAGCTGGAGGGCACTTTTTTCGATAACCGTGCCACTCACTCGGAAACCGAGGGGCGCTTTGATTTCCCTGCCAGGATCCGGGGCTTTCCTGGCATATCTCCTGAGCGGTGGTGTCCTGAGAGCCTGGCACTCAGCAGCCAGAGCAGGGGAGCACAGAGTACAGACAGACCTGGAGACAGCAAATGGGGCCAGAGGTCTCTGACAGCAGGAGAGAGGAAGCAGGAGGCAGCCCAGTGGGGAGGAAAAGAGAGAGAGAGAGAGAGAGAGAGAGGTGATGCAGTGTTGTCAGGGGTGTGTGTTTGTGTGTGTTTGTGTGTGTGCGGCATGTCAGTGTGAGCCGTTCTGACCTTTATCCTGACTGACAGGTAGGGATGTCTTGATTAACAACTATCGAACACACACACACACACACACACACAGCTGGAACCCTATAACGGGATTTTTCCACGGCCCACCACAGCAGAAGGATGCTCTTTTATAAAAGCACTGCAAAAAAAAACAAAAAAAAAAACATCGGGGATGGGATTTTACAGTGAGAGAAAGCGTTTAGCCTGCTGCAGCCTTTTTAATCGGCTGCAGGAGGGGCTCCGAGCTGCACGTTTTTCCCCTTTGGAGGGACCTTCAGTCTCATCTGTGCAGCAAAAAGAAACCCCAGAAAAACAAAAACCTGTCAGTCAAAATGTCTCCAGAAACGGAATGTTTTAATTAAGATGTGTGAGCTGTCAAATCCCCGAGCAAAAAAATGTAATCATATGTTTATTTCTAGCTATTTTTACAATTAATAGCAGAATCATCATACAATAAAACAGTTTATAGTTTGTGTTTTTTTAAATTAATTAATTAATTTTTATCTAACGCCCATGGAGCATTCAGAAATCATAATTTCCATATTTTAAACTCAGAATTATTTGGTCTGTCCAACATGATTACCCAAAAACTTTCTCCTAAACAGGAAGCGGTGGAACCATTCCTTATTCAAATACAATTTATTGGTTTTCCTTTGTACAGGTATTGCAGTGGGATATAAGTGACAGTGATGTTTGTTTTGTGACGAGCTTGCATCTCTATAGCCGCACACACAAAGAATATAGAGCATGTATGTGGAGGCCAAAGCGAGGCACTGGGTATGCACAGGATATGTGACGGGGGGGTGACAGCTGTAGAAAAGTCCAATAAAATAAAATCAGGTCCGTGACACAGAAACATATGGACTGCGCTGTTATGGTCTGATTTCCCAGAGGAGTGCTGCCTGAGATCTTCTGAGTGCTTCTGGGGAGTTCATGACAGGGAGTTCGGCGTCCATTAGCCAGCCAAGCCTGGAGTCTGGAGTGTTAAGAAAAGAGTTGGGTTTGGTACCGATTTCCAAAATCTGCGAGTTATGTCATCTTAATTATGGTCGCTTGAGTTAACAAGTCTGGGATTTTAGAGAAAAAGCAAGAGCGATAAAAGAAAACCCATAAATTAGGTTTAATATCCCATCTTATTGTACTGCTTCCAGAAATGAAGAGATAAAGCAAAAAAAACGCATGATGCAATCATAAGATGTCACCGTTTTGTAGACAAGAAAAGAGTTCTGAAATCTCCTTGATGTCAGATAACAAATCATATCCTCCTGAATGCAAAACAGCCCTTGTAGGTAAATATATCCAGCAGTCCATACTCTGCACAACTCCCCCTCAATCCACCCAAACACATGAACGGGCAAAAACTGGGCTTCCACCTGGTGAAGCTAAAGCACTGAAATAAAAGGGGAAAAGGCTCGAAAGGGGGAGGGGAAAAGGCATTTTGAAATCGAAAAAGCACACAGCTCGGTGAATACAGATGCTCCAGCCGTGCGCGCGCGCGCGTGCACGTGTGTCGTCTTTGTCAAAGCCTTGAGGGGGTGTTCTGTCGGAGCCCAACAGCTGAGCTGTCGTAGCATTTGCATAACACAAACAAACATGTTTGCAAAGTTGCAGGAACAGTGGGAACGACTTTCTCCGAGCGCCGCCTCGCCGCTGGAGGCAAAGAAGAGAACAGACCTGGGAACAGTGAGGTTCGCTTTTCAACCGGACTGGTGTGCAAACAGAGGTAAACAAAAGTAAATCACACACAGAAGGAAGAAGCATGCAGGCCTCACGACAACCGGCTGAGGAGTATTTACAAAGTGTGGGTGGTCTGATGAGCAATGGTAGGAAAAGAAGTCCTGCAACTTCTGTCATGGAAACTGATGTCTTCTGCTCTAATTATCATGTTCAAGTAATACCAGACGATAATATGCATTATGTCAGCTTAAAAAGAGATTCCTTATAATAACATTTCCATTGAACTAGGCTACATAAACTAGTCCAGTTAACAAGATGCACACTATGTTGACAGATAGAAATAACCACACGAGTCAAAGGTATTTTTTCGGAGAAGATTGTGGTTCAAATCTCAACATCTGCTTGTAAAAAGAGAGACGCGAAACAAATTCCCAGCTATATTTGGAAGGTCTTAAACGTTGCATCTCCACCTCAAGAGTACAAGAGAACAGCCTCTGCATAAAGTCACAGCTCACTGTTTGTCAACCTGTTATTGCTTTTCATGCCCGAGCGCCACATTGTGACAGCATAACTGGAGGGGTTTTATAGGCTGACATCTGATTTTTGTCAGTCAATTCCACTGAAATTAAAGCAGGCTTTGAAACTTTGGTCTTACTCTTAGTCTTTAAGAAACACTCTCGTCTCATATCGAGATACTCCTCGGTGTGTTCGAGGCTCAGGATTGAGATCCGGGGCTCATAAATTGGGCCTTATACCAAAACACAACTGATCTCCCAAACCCTTCAAAAATACTTAGAAACTATCGACTCTGTCCACCATTAAACTTTCAAGGTGGATAAAAATACAGAAACCAAACAAAAAGGAAACCGCAAAACGATCATATCAGAGGATCTCATTATTGGCACTGTATAATGAAATCCAGCCCAAAGAGAATAATAACGGTCCAAAACAGGCCCAAGGGAGTCCAATTTCCTCTCTCATTACCCAGTAATGGTTCAGGCATTAGTGAGATGAGGTGAGCAGAATGTCAGGTCCAGGAGAACAGGGTCCCCTCCCTAATGCTTTTGGACACAAATCAGTGGCATTCTTATGGAGGCATCAATGACAGAGGCACACTGCAATACACATACTGCTAAGTATCTGCACCGTCCTTGGCTGGGCTGAGTGACTTTGGAATAGAGTCACATTGTCCAACAACTGCTGCGGAGGAAAAGTCAAACTAGAAAAGAGTGAATATACCTTTTGACGACGGGAGTCTGAGTTTATGATTACACCGTTATAAAAATCCGTGTGTCAGCTGGCAGTGAATTGCAATTCATAAAAGAATACGATGAGAATATTTTCACAAAGCAGGGGGGCTGGTCACCGCTTTCAAACTCCTGACGATCCGTTAGAAATCAGCAGGGAAGACGAGGCGTTTACGGGAGAATCTTAAAGCTGCGGGGGTCATTTCTTGGCCTCGAGACGTCAGAAGTCCAGCAGAGTAAACTTCTTAGTTGTGCCTGATCTAACTGTTTGGTTTGATATCTTCTTAGATGTTGCTGGTTTTTCACAGGCAGACACGAGCAACACGGGTCATTCTCTGGCCAGTCTGACCAAAACACGAGCTCATTAGATGAAATGGTCGACTTTAGTTATCTGCTTTCGTCTTGATCATCTATAGTAACGTTGTTGAAAGGCTTATTTGGCCATAATAAGTAACACAGAAAGTGTTCAAAAGAGATACAGAGTTCTTCAGGTTAATTCAGCTCAAAATAAAAGAACCAAAGTCCAACGCTGGAATTCCTGCGCCAGAAACTCATATATTGGCCATTAAAACATAATTAGTCATAATCATTAGTCTAATACCAGTACAAAAATATTAGAGGCCGACAGATTTTTCAGGGTATGAACTACCAAAGGTAGGGAAGACTTAAAGAAATAATTTCGTTTTCAGGGTAACCATCCATCATAATAATTTTTCGGGGAAAATATGGCTTTATATACTTTGGAAAGGTAAGTCAAAGGAGTCATTCTTGTCACAAATATATCATATTATCTCCTGTTTAATTTGTTCTGGATCGATGAAAAGCCATTACTGGGAAACAAACAAACAACAAAAACAACCCATCCCTGTTAATAAAACCTTTAAAACCACCATTTTCTTTTATGAGAGGATGATTTTTTGCAGCCAGCGCATTACGGGATGCAATAATTGAATTCTCTTAAAGTGCCAACCGCTGATATCTGAAGCAGGTCCCTGAACGTGGTTTAGTCCTGTCCGACCCCACGTTGGCATGAGGTGAATGCGAGGTGAATGCGGGGTTCATGAAGCGTACGCGGTCGACTAGCGCTGAGAGGAGCTACTTCAGCTTGCTGTTTTGTGCAACTACACGTGTGAGTAGAAACATCGGATATCACCCCACGGACTGCGATGTCTCTTCTTACTCCCCCGCTCAATCAACATTCTTACATTCGGATAGTCAAACCGGGGAAGAGAGAACATCAACATGTCGCCGTGGTCGTTCTCCCCTCTGGGTCATCCTCTCGGAAAAGTCTAAGATCACAAGTTTGAGGAAAGCCTGGACCTGACCTTGATGTGGTCTGTCTCTGGAAGGCTCGCGATAGAGTCCTTTTTAGGGAGTCCCGAGTCCCCCTGACCCTTCCCCCCCACCGCCAGCCCCATCCCGGCGGCGAAACTATGCACCGAGCCTGGCAGTGACGCTACGGGGAAGGCCCCCACCGACATCTGGTGGGGGAGGACCACCCTCTGCGGAACGGCGCTCCGGACGCCCGCGATGCCCGACGGGGTGTGAGGGGGTCCGATGGAGGTGGAGGAGACCCGGGTGGACTGGGGCGGGCTGGGGGCGCCGGCCTGCGCCCCGTCGTGAGGCAGCGAGGGCTGGGAGGCGGACAGGGCCCTGGCGTCTTGGCTCAGGCTGCTCATCTGCAGGGAGTGGGTGCTCTTGTGCATGCTGGGCCGGTGCGCGGGGCTGACCGTCTGCTGCTGGGCCAGAGAGCTCTGGGATCCCGAGGCGGGACCGGCCAGGGCGCCGGACCCGTACTGGAACGATCGTCCTCCGGCCGCCAAGGGGCTCTGCACGGGAGGGCTGGCCAAGACTGGAGCGAAGGCACCGGAAGCGAGAAACTGGGACTGCAGCGGGGGGGCCGAGGCGGGGCTGGACACGCTCTGCAGGACCTGGAACCTCCTCACCATCCGGGGGGACTGCAGGGGTCCTGCTCCCACCGGGTTCCCTTGCAGGGGGGCGCAGAAGTTCATGGCTACGGCCTGCTGCAAAGTGGCAATGGCCGAATCCCGGGAGTGGCCGGAGGACGGCGGGGGGGGGTAGAGCCCGCCGGGCAGGGGGGGCGTCATGGACATGGCCCGCGGCCGCGGCACCTCCACCTGCTGGACCATCTCCCGGTCGTATTTGACTATTTCCTGGATCATCTCGTTCTCGCGATTGTTGAAAACGCCCGAGTTGAGATCGTGCTGGACTTTGTGCATCAGGATTGAGTTCTTCTTGCCTGTAATGACAGGGAAACAGAAAAGCTGTATCAAAGCCTACCCTCTGGTCAAAGCTTTTCCTTCTTACTTGTGTGGTTTATGTGCTGCAATATGTGTCCGTGATTGGCTGAGTTCACCTCAGAGAAGGGCATCAGTTGACTCACAGATCTACCAACAATCTCTACTGATGGCTTCATATTATAAATGTATACTGCCAACTGGTGGAATAGAGCCAAAGCATCTTCTGGCTGCTCTTAGTTGGGATAGTGCTGTTGTTGATCCTTTAAAATGACAGGAGTTTGCTTTGTGACTGAAACCGATAATAGAGGGTATTAAATTGACTTCAAGTACCCATTTGTTTGATGCCACATTGTATTATCAGATTTAGTCTACTTACGGGAATTATTACCGATTCTTACATTTTTCTTTGATGACTCATGGGAGCCATCTGTAAAAAGGGATAAAGTAATGGGCACATTTTTTCAGAATCAGCCTTCCAATCATGACTGTAACAGACAATCTGAGTTCCCTTGGACCCGAATGCGGGTAATCATGGTGTGGTCCTACGAGGTCCTGGCAAAGCTGTCTCTGAGGCAGACTAATTCTCTGAAAGCAGGTGTGCGTTTGAGCAAAGGGGCCACTGGGGTGGAGAAACAGCTGTAAAGATCAAGACTATGTCACCGCACAAGCTGACACTAACAGCCGCCAGGTCACCCAGACGAGCGCGCCAGAGCTAACTCGTCTGTTTTCTCTTATCTAAAAAGCACGTAGGCAGATAGATGAGGCAAAATGAGCCCTCTGTCTCCTTATAATGAGGAGCCCAGCTCCTTCTGACCAGTGGCATAACTGTAATGATGAAATGTGGCAGACAAATCCTTAATGTGACAGCCGTTACAGTCATCAAATGTTCCTGACAGAATTGGTTCTCCATCAGAACGGGATACACTTGACTTTTTCCATTTATAAAGCAGAATTGGATCTGGAAGCTTAGAGATAAACTGTTCCTCTTCATTTCTTCTGCTTGTTAGCCTTTTGTAAGACATCCAGGTGATTATTTTTCTGTTTTTTCTATACTTGTTTGTTCTTGTAATGAGCTTTTAGTAGATAAAGCCTCACTTTGTAACGTTGACTGATGAAATTGGAAACGAACAATTGGAAAAGTTCCAATCAAGCAATTTAAAAGTGGTTCATCTCATTATTTAAGCGACCCGACAAACTAATTTGTCTGAAAAGGCAAAAGGCAAAAAAAAAAGAAAAGCAACCTTTTAAAGGCCCCCCAGAATATCCCAAAAAGAGTTGTTTAAGACCACTTTAAAAGATTATAAGAAACTTTTGCTCCTTGGAAGCAAAACATAAATGGATCGGACATAACGCAGAGCACGGAGCTACATTGTGATTCCCCTCTGCTGTCGTTTGTCTCCGTTGTTGTTCTTCCTGGATGAGTGCTGGGTTCTCTGGAACAGAGGGCAGTTTCAAGAGCTGACAGGAAAGTTAGATTATTAGTCAGCACAATAGCACGGGAGATAGCCTTACAATGGAGGGATCAATAAAGGCTTATTCCTCCCTGCCCTGCCAGCTGTCTTGAAAGAAGGAGAACAGGAGGACAAAGATAACTGTGATACGTCCTAAGCTTTGCTTGCTTATTGACAGGTTACGTTTGCCTTATAGACTTAACCTTTTTTTTTTTGAGGATTTGAAGGAGAAACTAGAGGAATGTGGACTCTGTGTGTGTTGTGTAACTGGAAAACAGGGCTGTAATGCTAAATGTCTCTCCTGGAGGAGCTTTTCTCCAGCTTTTGGTGGCCATCTTTCCTGCCATATGTATAGCAAAGTGATCATTCTGGAGAGTCATAAGCAGCCCACAGATGCTACTGGTGTAAACACCTGACGGTAATCTGCTGGTAAAAGCAAAAAAAAAAGGCCTGAGCATCTGACTGGAAACCAGCAGCTCTTAATTGGGAGCTATGACACTTCTGAAGCTGTTTGTGAGGTGGAGCAGCCTCAAATGCACCCACAGGTTTAACACATTCTTTGGCTTTCACAACAGTGCACTAATTAAAATCTAACACTCCCATCGCATATTTTATCACAGTGTCTTTAGTCTGTCTTTGTTCCAAACAATGGCTCGGATCCTCTTGTTCATAGGAGTATGATGCAGTGAAGACTTTGCCTGTGGTTTGCTTTACTGCCCGTGTGTGTTCAGCTTCTGAAGACATCTTAAATAACAGAATAAGATTTGAGTTTTCAGACAGATTTAGGGAATTAGAGAAAATCCCCTGTAGCCAAGCACAGTTTGAGAGATAAACAAATGCTTTTTGAGCAATGAAACATGGAAAGCTTTTTTACTTGTACATTAATACTGGTTCTTTAAGAATGGTGCCACTGCCTTATTAGAAAGAAATGGCACACAATTAATAAAAGATTTTTGTTTTTTTCAGAAGTCAGGGCCTGGCCTGATCCAAAATAACATCAAAACAACTGAAATGTTGTTTGATCTCACTACTGAAGACTTCAAATCAAATAGATTTGATTTTTTAGAGGATCTTCTTTTGAGTGATGATGCAAAGGAAGTTGAGATTAAAGTACAGAAAAGCAAGAGCTCGTGTCCTGTTTGGATCTGATTCCGCGCTTTAGACTTCCTTTTTTTAATATTTCCATGGGAACGTTTTTCTCCCAAACTGAGGGGTAGATTTCCCTTTCCCCCTTCTTTTGGCGAACTGAGCAGCAGACGGGGAGCTGCACATGTGTGGAGTCTGGCTGCCATGGCAACAGCTGACAGGTGGCAGCTGTGGTGCTCTTGTGCACATGTCAAGTGTAATCATGTGACAGGGACGTGAAGTCAGCAGCAGGGCTGACCTGGAAAGGGGGGGGGGGGGGGGGGGGTTAGCTGGAGGTGGGGAAGGAGAAGTCGTAGAAAAAGAACTTTCTTTAGGCAGCTTTTGAAGTAACAAAGTTTCCGAGTGTTTTCATCAATGTGGGATCACGATAAGTCTCCTTCGGCGTTCATTTCCCAGGTTTTCACTTCCTGAAAGGGAAGGGGGCGGCGGCCTTACCGATCCTGTCCAGTCTGTCGATGGCAACCGTCTCAAAGGCCCTCCTCATCATGGGATACTCCTCCAGCACCTCGTTGAAGTTATCCACGGAGAGCGAGTACAGGCGACAGTAGGTGTCCGCCCGCACACTGGCCGTCCGTCTGCCACGGGTCAGCAGACAGATCTCTGGAGGGGCCAAAGGGAACGCAGGCATGAACGTAGAACGTAAAAGCCATTTTTAAGGCGTTTGATAGATGTGTGAGAAGAATGACTGAGATGGGTGTGTGTACAGGTGGAGCACAGTGACCATTACAACAACCCGCTGGTAGCTCTGAGGGGAGGCTCACACTATATTTAGAGCTCTATTACAATCTCCCTGTTTTGTAGTATTTTTACTCCTGAGCTGCCATATTTTAAGGGCTGGGGCTGATTGCTGTCTTGACGACGACATGCCCCTTTTTTTCCAATCGCCCAGAAAGGCTGACCTCCTCTAGCTCTCCGCGGGAAAGGAATAAAATACTGAATCTCAAGGATGCACATAAATAATCTCCGAGCAAGCTTACTGTCATAGTTTGTTATATTGGGAAAAAAGCACATTTATTGACTCCTGACTGATTCATGACTCTTGGATGCAATTAAAAAACTGAACAACATTTAACAACAGGAAAAAGAAGGTAAATTAAATGTTTAGGGCGAAAAATGTGACTATTTCGTGAAATTAGTGGTTTATTTCTGAATGTGATGGCAGCAATAGACCAAAATAACAAGAAAGTAAAAGTGGGACAGTGTGGTATGTTCCTTCTTTTAACAACAGCCTGAACATCTGAGAAATGAGCTGCTCTTTAGTAGACATTTGCCAGCCCATTCTTGTGTCTCAGCCATTTTTCTCCTCACCCTATTTTTAGGAATTGGGGTTGTAAACGATTTTCCTCTTTGTGGTCAGAGATGAACTGTTATGTTGAGAATGTTTAGAATGTCTTCAAAGTCTCAATCAAGTCGAGAAATTTGGCACTTTTTCGCATTTTAAGCGATGTAGTCCAATTTATTCTTAACTGCTGTATGAAGATGCAGAGATGTGATGATTAGCATGTTTTGTGTTCCACTTTTGTCAGAGCTGTGGAGAAACTGGCCCTTCCTCATAAATTCTCAATTGGTATCCTTTTGCTCATACATTACACAACAATTTGCATGTTTCCAGCATCATTAGCAGGCAGTGGGAAGGGCTGGAAGATGATAATAACACTAATGAAAACACAAGGGCTCAGTAACAGGGCCGTTGAAACCGCTGGATGACCATTTGTGGTTTGGGGGGCCATCTTTAGACATGATGAAGCACACAGAGAATTGTTGATCAGTTACTGTGAATCTGAACGGCTAAGTGAATATTAAGAAGTTCTACTTGGCTACATATTGCCTTCTTTGTTTATCACAGAACACACAAATTTTTCAGTTTTCTTTCGCTTTTCATAAAACAATCAGAAATGCACTTGTGTGGTTTCGCTGCTTGATGTGTTTGAAAGCAGCCTCGTGCTGTTGTTTATATTCATAGAAAGGCTCTTTTCCCTTATCCAGCTGGACGTTTGCTCTTCATAAAGGCGCTAAAAAGCTGCTGTTCTATAAATTGTTGTCTTGTCAAGCCTGACATGCCAAACCCAATAATAGCTCCTGCTCATCTCTGAGGACTGTAAGGATCCGCATGGCTGGCTGGTTCTGAGGAGCTAATCTGAAATTACATCTTAAAAAGAGTTGCATCCAGGACAAAAATACACTTGTACTTCAATCGATGTCTCAACCAAGGCCTTCTAAGTTAAGGAAGTACACTTTCAGTAATACATACAGAAGGACAACAAATCAAGTCCTTCAGGTCGTTGGCTCAGGACCTCTGGGTGTGTTGTGTGGGTGCAGGTGGGCCATGCAAAGCTGATCCGGGGGGAGGGGGGCAGATCTATGAATTGATTTTATACCAGAGCATTTGGATTAGGGCTTGCAGGGTGCAGCAGTTGGTTAAATCCTGGGGCTCAAAAAGGCAGGAGGCGTTTTCTGAGAGGGAGAACCTGTAGGTGCTTTAAGCTGGGATCATTTCCTTCCTTCCTTAACACAGACTGATGTTAAAATCTTTAATGTAAGGTTCAAATTTGAGCAAAAATATACTGTTAAAAAAAGGAGAAGTGACAATGATTAGTAACAAATGGCTGATTGGTCATTTTAGTGAGTGGTTTTCAAGATCTGGAAGTAAAGCCTGAAAGCAGCTGCTGTGCAGTTCTGTGTGGGGATGCAAACTTCCCCATCTGCCTTCTTAATAATTGACATATTTTACCGCAGACGCGCGCGGTTAAATGAAGCCATCCCTCCAAATCAGGCAGGTTTGTGCTCGGAGGCCCATGAATTCCTCCGTGGAGGCAAGCATGACTGCAATCCCTCTTTGCTTGACAGTGCAAAAGGTTCCATCATCACCGCCCTGCTGTGCTAATGAGCTGTCATTAATTACTCAGATGTATGTGGGGGCACTACGACAATGCTCTGAGCGGCTGGCGGATTTTTCAAAGGCTAACAAAGCAGCGTTTAGCAAAAAAGACTAATTAAATAGAATAAATGCGATCTCACACATACCTCCAAAGTAGGAACCATCCATCAGCTTCATGCCAATGTTCCCTTTGGTCAGGATGCTCACCACCCCATGCTGGATGAAGTACATCTTTTTGCCAATGGTGCCCTCCCTGATGATGTAGTCCGCTGGCTGGAAGACTTCAAACCTCAGTTTGGTCAGCATGGCCGTTACGAAGTTGGGGTCGGCGTTGGCAAAAAGCGGCATGGACGCCACCAGCTTACGGCAATTGAAATTGACAATTTCCTACACAGTGGACAGTGGACAGTTTGTGTTAATATATGTGTCAATACGGTCACATTAGAAAGACATTTCCAATAATGGCAAACCCAAATATGAAAGCGTGTAAGATGGGGCCAAAGATTGTGAATAACACCTGAACTGAGTTTAAACTTTTAGTTAACCTTTACAATTACTGTTTTTAATAGCAATAACTTAGATGTGCCTCGTGAAAGCACAATAGAGGAAAGTAAAACATGTGGAATGTCAAATAAAACTTCAATCTAGTGGTGAAAAATATTGTACTTTTCATAAATTTGTGAGACTGTGAATCATTAGACCATTCTAACCATCTTTTTCAATCAAAGTCTTACTCTATCAGTGATGAATCATCTAAAAACTCTGTTGTGTACCCCTAATTGTCCATTTGGAAGTATCTGTCTAACAAATTACTCTTGCCTTCAATATTGCTCAGTATATAATTCCCCAGCCTGGCTTTTATCCTCATCTCCAAGCCCATGTAATTGAGCTGGATTCACCTTTAAGTGAACAATTTGTCTATTTACTGACTAAATGTCAGATAAAGTTCAGCCGAAAGTAGTAAATTAAGGCGGTGGTATCAGTTTGGTATCATTTGAAACGGTTCAGGAGCTGCTAGCTGGTTCTGATAGCCGACAGATCCCAGAGATTGTCCAGGATAGCAGGGAGCCGCAGAAGCAAGACCAAACAATAGCTGGAGGGGCTCAGTGGGAGTTTACCCACTCCCGAAGCAGCCACTTCTCAGTTCTGAGGCAAATCTGGCCGGTTATCTGGTTACAGACGTTTTACAGCGGGACCGAGAGTTAGCTCTGCGAGGCCCCGGGCTGATGCAGTTCCCAGCCCTTTTTATTCCAAATCTCCATGATTTGCTCATGTTTGACAAGCATAATTCAGATTGAAAGAAGACATGTTTGTTCCTTTTAACACACAGCTAACTGAATCCTTAAACCCTTTCATTTTATTGATGGGGGACCTTAAGACGACTTGAATTCTAGTCGCCCAGTCCGTGAAGACAGAGGAACTTCTTTATCTACTACTTAAAAACGGGGGGGGGTGATTCACTTAGTGACAAGTGAGCAGGTTATAAGTAATTATGAAATTGCTACGGATAAAACCTGGTTTTTTACAGTATGAGCATTAAAATGACAACTCTCCACTCGGCCATAGGAGAAGATAGAGGGTAGAACTCCAGAGGTGACTGGTGACATCATACCTCGCGCAGGGGCTCGTTCAGCTCCTCCAGGATGCTCTCCTCGTCGAACATCTTGCCCTGGTATCTGTGCTCGTAGTAGTCGTGGATTTTCTGTCGGAAGTCAGCCGGCAGCTTGTGGAACGACATGTACTGCTCCACTTGCTTGTACTGAACGGAACAGAAGTGTCGAGAGAGGGAAAACACAAACCACAAATGGGTTAAAGAACAGGAAGCAGCCATTTATTGGCAGGCTGCTGTCGTTCATCTGACTCTGAGGCATGCTGCTGACATGAAATGTGTCAGTCTCCTTCAGACTGAGAAGCACTTTTGAGCTCTGCTAAAATTCTGTGACCCGCTTCTAACCTGTAGCCATGGGGAGGGAAAATTGTGATGAAGCCGTCAGGGGAAAATGACAGCTCTGTAAAGCCGGTGAGGAGTCATCACGCTCCACTGTGCTCAGAGCAGAAACCCGCCATAAACCACAATCACTTTCTCCCTTTGGTTCACGTCCAACTCTGTATTTCCTCTTTATCTAATTTTCTAAGACACTGAAGACGTACTGTAGGTGAATTACTTAAGAGTTAAACAGAAACAGAAGCCATGCAAGTACTCAGGATTCTACCCAGGGAAACATGTCTGCTATTTTAGCTGGAATTTATGAATACGTGAGTGTACAGATGTAAAGAAAGAAAAAATAGGCCAGTTTCAACATTGTGTTTTCTCCCCAGAAGGTCACACAGAGCCCAAATGACTCGCATGGTTGCCTTCATAGAACGGGTAGTTTTATCAGAAGCATTAGGAGGGTCCGTTTAGCTGCTCGTATCACGTTTCTCTGCTCAAACAGCAGCGGCTGGACCTGCTCCGCGGCCTCTCGCAGGAGGTGGAATTATAGGGTACCTCTCGGGGAATGAATGGTACTATTACTCCTAATTCACTCCGCACATACAGCTCTTGGCTGCGCTTTATCTGCCTCACAAGTACATGTTATCAGCGCGGCCTGCCTGCACACGCACAACGAGCCACGCTTGTGCCACACGTACCACGACAGCCACAGGATCTCAACAAACGGTCAACAAAATTACCTCCGAGAAAATGCGGTGAGCTTATTTTTTTTCCTGTTGGACGCCCACCGCGGGAAAATGGGGACAACAAGTCCGTATGGAGGTTGGAGTTGTTCTAAATGTTGCATAATGTTTCCCCCTTACACAAGCAGGTGTGTGTGTATGTGTGTGTGTGCGTGTGTGTGCTAAGTGAAGAGGGTCATCCATCTGCGGAGCCTATTTCCAGCAGGACGGTGCAGGACAGTGGTCCCTGTCCACTGTAAGAGCTGGATTTAAAGGATGAGCCATGTATGACGGCAGAGGTTGGGGGGGCAGGGGTGGGGGTGTGTGGGGGGGGGGGGGGGGGGGGGGCACTAAGAGCGACCTTGCTCATAACGGCCGCCGCTCAGGATTGTTCACTGTCCAGGAAATTGCATTTTGTCACAAGGCGAGGTGACATATGGCGCAGGGAATAAAATGGAGAGTTGACCCCAGTGGCACGACAACAGCAAATCACCGTGTCCTTAATACGCCGCCGTCCGGCCACTGACCGATGACCCGCCGTCAGGGCGGGACATCTTCCACTGCGGCTCTTTATATTTATATTTACATACAGGGTGAAGATAGACGTTTTTTTAGGATGGTTCGAAATAGCTCACGATGAAATAATAAATCAATTAATATTTCTCCTTCAAATAAAATCTGTAAAAAACATTTTTTTAAATGTTTTCCTCAACGTACTCCATGTTGAATTTCTCACTCTTTCCACAGCTAACAATTTATTCAGGAATAACGCTTTATTATATGACAGATTGAAATCAGTATTCTCTTTTAATCTATTCTTAATCTATTCCAAATTCACATCCCCCTCCCTATGCCTCCTTATCTCACTTTTCTGGGTTATGTCCTTGGAGTCATGCAAGCCCAACATCCTTAAGTCCACTTCCACTTTCCACAATCCCTTTTCTTCTTCTTCTTTTCAAGCCTTGGCAAACTGTGATTCTGTTCGCAGTTTTGTGGTCTACAACTGCAAACTAATGAGCGTATCTGCAGTAAAAGTGAGCATTAGTTTCAGTGGTGTTCATAAACTCGAACAAAAGGAAAAAACTGCAGATTTTTAGGCTCAAACTTCGTCCGAATCTTTGGAAATTCATATTTGATGAATGTTTAATTCATTTGACTGGCTGTCTAAGAATAGTGACCATGTATCAGAGATAATTCAGTCTAAATGTTTTGAACATTTTGATGCGTAAAGTAACCAAAGTTCATGGGATGCACTTTAAGGAAGTTTGCGTGTTTGTTGTGTTTCCACTGCGTGAGCCACAAACTCCCTGGAACTCGACCGAAAGTCCTCCCCATTTGCCACGTGTCAGTAACAGTGAAGATTGAGCCGACTCCCAGAGTGTCCGGCTCATTCGGTCAAGCAGGGGGGGGATAAACTGGGAGGCTCCTATTAAGCGTTTCCTACCCGAGGTTTCAGAGTGTGACAGTCTCAATTAAACTGGAATGACATCTCCCTCTCGCCGCTTTAGTGGCTGGTGGCTGCTCAGGAAGCTGAGCTCTATTGACTTCCTCTGCATTAGACTCAGATTAGTGACCGTGTCACTCAAAGCCAGAAAGTTGGGACTCAAACGGCCTATGACTAAACTATATTAACTTTTTTTTTTGCATGAATAAAATGACAGAATTGTCATCACTATGACACTGAAATACACAAATCACAAGAGGTGAGAATAACAAGATGGTGGAGGTGACCGATACATGACTGACCTGGCCTTTAAAACGCAGTGACCACATGTAAAGAAATGAATGAAGCAAAAAGCTCTTTCTCATAAATATCTCCGAACAATCCAACAATCTCCAGATATTTTCTCGAGGAGACACACCTGAACGGGATACGGCTCGGTCTGCTGGCCAGAAGCCCGCCGGACTCTGTTTTTTATGGGCCATAAAGCCCCGAGCTGCTGACCGGCAGCGTGATACATGGCTGTCACTGTGAGCCGCCACGGAGGGAGGGGAGAAATTGAATTGAAGCTCTTATTAATGGGCCGTGTTTTTGAGTGGCACGGCTCCGGATGTGATCCGTCTTGTGTGTGTCCCGTTTGTATCCTTTAACTTACTGCACAGCAGAGGCAGACGACACACACCGCCGGAGTTTTGAGCTTTTTAAGTAAGAATCCGTTATTTAATACTGTTTTTTGGAGATTATATATATACACAATCATCAGAGTTCTTACAGAACTGGATGCCAAAAGTTGAAATAATGATGGAGTGGCTGGAATATAAATGAACTTTAGAGATGTACTGATATTAAATTGAAGGTTGTGACTTTCTGCAGACAAAAATTCAATCTCCAATATTCCTGTTTAACCTGCTCAGAGGTTTGTAGCATCAAATCTTCCAGCAAAGCAGAGTTGTTGCCTTCAGTTCAGTAAATGACATCTGGAAACTTGGCCCCCCCTTAGAGTGCTGAGTCACCTCTGCTGTGTGCTTTGTCAGGTCTGTGCAGCAATCAGCTGCTGCTTGTTTGTGTGTCTTTACACTTTCGGTTTGGTTTCACTTAGCGAACATTGTGCCATTGCTTTTTTTCCTGTCAAAAAGCAACTCTTTCCTGTCCCTGAAGGGGCTGCTGTGCGGCCCCGGCCGTGTATTCTGCAGCTAAATGGTTGGTGAATTGTGTGTTGGATCCTCCATCCACTCTCTGTCTGTTTCATTTAGTCTTTATCTGCCCGAGCAATTTGCTTCCAAAGCCGGGCAGCTTTTCTCTCAGATGCTTCCAGCAAAGAAAAGTCTTTTTTTTTAATTTTGCGTGCATTCACTTTAATGCAGCAGAAGATTATATTTGCAGACATGAAGGAGCTTTTATTGTGGTGAATCATAGTCAAATGATCATATTAATTGCTGAAAACTGGATAATTAAGAAAACATGTCAGAGTCTATCTGAAATAGCTTGTTTTTTAATCTAATGGTGGCATTCTTTACCTATTCAGACACTCAATGTTTCAAACTGTGGTTCCTTTTTTAAATGAAACATTTCTGAGAATGCATGAAAAAAAAAAAAAACATGAAAGCACCAAAACCAATTAAAAAATGAGAAAGGCTGTTCTGACTGGAAAATAAACAGATCCCCACATTCCTCCCAACGGGAATATTTTAAATGGAAAACACAGTTTTTAAATCTGTGAAGAGGGAGTCTTGATTTCAAAATCGAAAGAGTAAAACACACACACAAACTGTTGGAATGATGGCGTCTGTCTGTTTTTTTTGTTTATTTTCTGAGTTATTTGGTTACGTTTGTGTGCTGTTTCATGTCTGTTGTGTTTCCAGCTGCACACACACATTTTTTAACACTCCTCCCTCATTTCTGGTTATTGTTTGGGAGATTACTCTTGTTTTCATTCTTCATGTTATTTTTCTGTTACATGCATTATCTCAGCTGGAGTTTGTTTTTTATCAACATTTCATCATTTATACTTTCCTTTGCTCAGGTTTGTTCCTGGATTTATTTCAGACCTGCGTGGTTACTGGAAAGTCATTTTAACCTTTGTTTTTTTGTTTTTTTGTTTTTTTTTATTAATGTTTTTGCTTTTGAACACAAAACTTATTCAACATTTATTTCTGAATGTATTCCAAGCTTCAGGAGAAATCCAGACCCTGATAGAATAGCACAGTGCCTCCCAAAAACCAAAGAATGAAAGCTACTGAGTCACTCTAACAGATGTAAATGCATTGGAATTGTAAAAAAAAAAAAAAAAAAAAGTCTACGTGAGTGAATTAATTTAATTAGACAAAGGGATAAGTTTGTCGGACAGTGATGGATGAGCGGATAGTCTAAAAATAAATCAAATTGGCCGAAACCATGAGGACTAAATTAGAGGACACCTTTGAGCAGGATGGGTGGGGTTGATGGAGAGCCTGTTGACTGGGCTCGACAGGGATATAAACAAACCCAAAAAGGCTGGGGATCACTGCTCACCACTGGTTCTCATTAACATTCCTCTCACAGCTCGTCATTCTATTCACATGCTCGTCCATAAACCTGCGAAACACAGAGAGAACAATCTCTGTTGACGCAAACAGGAGAAGGCGCTTAGGAACCCGGCTATTAGGACATTTCTGTTTCTGCCACGCTGTTTACTCTGTGTTAAATCAACACGTCCGTGCTGCTCCTAACATTTAGACCATCTCTGAGGAAGAATCTGTTTCTGGCAGCGGGCCTGGCTCCGGCCCACGGACCGGCCCTTATGCTTCACTGCCCCGGGTAATGAGGAGCAAAGCGGGGATCGATAGCCAGAGAAGGGTGGCTACCTTCTCTGGCCTGGGCCTGACGGGCTGTTGTATCTGTCCATTACTCACTCACTGCTGTGCATCATGAGAGCAGGAAACAGGACACGCGTCATGGACTGGTTTCTGCATGTGTCACAGCCCCGACAGAGTGCAGCTACATGCGACATAAAACAGACCCAGGCATGAAGTCAGCAGCTTTTTTTCTAATTTCTGTTCAGGCAGGACAGTAACCACAGCAGGGTGAGCTCAAACAAACAGACCCATCCGCTGCATTTGTGAAGCAGTGCTATAGAAATAACATTTAATTTAATCTAATTCAATGGCAAATAAAAAACAAGGGTGTGGCAACTGTAAAAGTAGGTAAAAGAGCAGGTTTTACCAAAAAAAAAGTTAACAAAATTGACCGCTGCAGAGCAAAAGTGTAAAGAAAAGGAAAACATTGTGGACTTAATCAAAAGAAAAGTAACTTTAAAGAATGAAACTGGATATTAAAACATGTGTAAGATTAAAAGAAGAGTTCTGATGGAAGTGCTGAAAGAGGGACTCGCTTTTCTCTGTAAAGGACACGTCCCTGTCAGAGAGGTGGAAATGAAAACCGTCCACAGGTTTTGGGCTTTTACCAAGTCAATGTATCAGGACACGTTTCTATCGAACCTCAGAAAAGTCGCAGTCTTTAAAGTTTTGAGAGCCTAAACCCTCTTTGAGATTCCTCACAGAGGCGGTTTGAGGCTAATGTGGGTTAGCTCGGTTAGCTAGGAGAAATGTAGCTCCTGGCCTTCTGAATTCATGATTCAGAGATCATTTAGTCATCATTTAATCAGTTAGTTATAAATCAAAACCGATTTATAACTAACACTTTGTTTAAATTAACAAAGCAGGTCTCTTAAATGAACCAACCAAGAGCAAAAACAAAGAAAGGAACCTCGTTTTCTTTCAACTTTGGGGCTTCAGTTTCACTTCCTAGCAATAAAAAAAAAACAACACACCGATGTTCTGCTTTATAGACGTGAACGTGAGACAGACGGCAGCAGGATCTGAGGACGCTAACGAGCCACAGAGCGCCCCTGACATGGTGGCATTATGAAGCGGGAGCATCCTTCCCTCCCCGGCCAGCTTTGATCCGCCGCGGTACAAAACCCAGCGAGCTGCTCCCGTCACAGCGTGTTCAAATAAACCAGCCAACCTTCACTGTCGATGGAAAATGCGCTCACGCTGTGAGATCGACCACAAAAGAAGCCTTTTGTTCAATAAAAGGACTCATATTAATATCAGGGTTAGGACTACAAGCTCAGGCATCAGAGTATTTGTTAGTTTCCTTCAAAAAACAAGCTGTATGTCAGTAAAGTCAGGCCGAACTTGAAGAATTAGATACAACAATGGCAAATGCAACTGTTTGAAGTTGGTTATAATCACTCACTTTAGCATAGTATGCTACAACCTGATCGATGTAAATTAATGATTGTTGTATTCCTTACAGAACTATCATTTTGTGTTATCTTATCACATTCCATCAGGTCAACACAAACGCACACCATTGTTACCATATTTCAATGTTATCTGCTTCAACTAGGACCTGGCCGGTTCATGTCAGGGTTAGGGGTAGTAAGTAACTGACCAATAAGCAGTGTCCAGTCCTTTTTTAACCCAGAAGACAAATAACCATGACACACAGAGTTCGGGGCTCTTTGCCCACTGAGACCCAGAAAGAGGTTTTTGTCTGATATACTTTGCCTCAGACCCAATAAATGTCATTTTCTATACTTTTTATCCACTCTGGTTCATTCTCAGGTTTCCAAATAAAGAATCGGGTTAACACAACTCTCTCCAGAAACCATGCTTCCATAGAAAACCCCTTAGGTCCAGCTTGACCGGCCTGCGGGACACCGAGGATGACCGGGGCCCTTACCTTTTCCTGGTACTGCCGTCGGGACGAGTCCAGGGACTGGATGAGCGCGGTGGCGTGGCCGATGAACATGGCGTAGCAGGTGGCGCCCACGATCATGCTGAGCATGGTCAGCCAGATGTCCGACATGCTCTCGGGGGCCTGCCGGCCGTAGCCGATGCACAGCATGTGGCTCATGGCCTTGAAGAGGGCGAAGGAGTAGAGCTCGCTCCAGGTGTCGTTCTGTGGGCGACAAGAGGACACAGGGGAGGATTCAAAATGGCTCCAAGGTGGGACAAAAGTGGTCATCCGGTTCCTGGAGAAGCTCTCTGGCTTCACATTTTGCATCTTTATAAAACAACAAGTGTAAATGTTTCTGCATTTATTTACCCACAGCAGCCTGTTAAAAGGAAGTTTTTCCTTGCCTGTGTCGCCTAGTGCTTGCCTATGGTGGGAATTGTTGGGTTTCTGTAGTTAACTTCAGAGTAGGGTCTGACCTGCTCTGTTTGGAAAGCGCTGTGAGACAACTGTTGTTGTGATGTGGCGCTATATAAATAAAATAGAATTGAATTGTATTGAAAATGTGGGGAGAGAGGAGAGGAAGACGAGTCCTTAAGAGTCCCGGCTGGAGTCTGGACCCAGTTGAGGGTTTTCCGCCCAACGGAGGGTCTAATCAGGGAGAGGAGGATAGAGGAGGGCAGGTAATGAGGGGCTCGCACATCTGCCAGCTCCTCTCCGCCTTTGATTGGTGCTCACACGCTCCGTAAACCCTCATTAGGAAGCCCTCCACACGCTCCGCTCAACCTGGAGTCCCCTCCTCAAACAGCTGCCGGAGGTTTGCCGCCCTGCCTGCGCTTCCTCTCCAGACCCCTCAGACTCGACAGCGAGCGGTTGATTGATTGGACAGACTTTTTACCAATTTGTTTTATTTTTTCTGCATCATTTGCATTCAATTAGACATTCAAATGTGGTCTTTTTGGGTTGGAGGTGACAGAGGTGATAGAGGAGGCGGCCATAAGATGTTTGAATATTAATATTTAGGGAGATTATTTTAGGGACTTGCAAAGGCAAGAGATGAATTTCCCACTTAGAAAATCAATCCCGCTGCCTCTCAATCAGCAGATCCAGGCCTGGACTGAGGGTTCGTGGCAATTTTTGGCCGTCAGCTGAAGGAGTTTCTTTGACGTGTTTGAGGAGAGCAGCAAACTCATATTAAGGACAAACCAGAACCACAAACCACAAACAAAGCCGCTTGAGGTTTGCTAAAGCACATTTGGACAAGTTGGAATAAGGTGCTGTGGACTGATGAAACTAAAATTGAGTTATTTGGACATAACAAGGGGCGCCATGCATGGAGGAAAAACAACACAGCATTCCTAGAAAAACACCTGCTGCCTACAGTAAAATCTGGTGGTGGTTCCATCCTGCTGTGGGCCTGTGTGGCCAGTGCAGGGACTGGGAATCTTGATAAAGTTGAGGGACGCATGGATTCCACCAAATATCAGCAGATTCTGGAGACCAATGTCCAGGAATCAGTGACAAGGCTGAAGCTGCGCCGGGGCTGGATCTTTCAAAAGGACAACGACCCTAAACACTGCTCAAAATCTACCAAGGCATTCATGCAGAGGAACAAGTACAACGTTCTGGAATGGCCGTCTCTGTCCCCAGACCTGAATATTATTGAAAATCTGTGGTTGACTTAAAGAGAGCTGTCCATGCTCGGAAACCATCAAACCTGAATGAATTAGAGGTGTTTTGTAAAGAGGAATGGTCCAAAATACTTCCAACCAGAATCCAGACTCTCATAGGAAGCTATAGGAAGCGTTTAGAAGCTGTTATTTCTGCAAAAGGGGGATCTACTAAATATTGAGTTTTTTTTTTTTTGTGGTGCCCAAATTTATGCACATGCCTAATTTTGTTTAAACAATTATTGCACACTTCCTGTAAATGGTATAAACTTCGTTTCACTTCTCAAATACCACTGTGTTTGTCTACTATATCATATATTTAACTGATTTTTTTAATCCTAAGAACCAACGATTTATGAAGGAAAATCATGGAAATTAAACATTCCTCATTTCTTTTTTCTCTTTTTATTACGGTCTCTGCACATTTAAATGGGACTGACATTGTCCTCTGTCCTCTCAGGGATACATTTATCTGTGCCAAAGCTTTCCCCACTGGTAAAATCTCTGATTCTGCTCTGACTTTTTTTATACAAACGCGGTCTGTGAGGACAAACGGGCCTCGTGCAGAGTGACCCGGCCGTGCTGAACACATGGCTTCCATTGGTCAGTTCACAAAGTTACGTCCAGCTTCACTGGATGATGCCTGTTTGGTTACGTACCAAACACCTTCACCGATGTCTTTTAAAGCATAAAAGCTAGACAGTTTAGCCAAACGGCTTTCGGGTTTTTCCTAAACCGCCTTTATATGCGACGGCCAAAGCAGGAAAGCCCTTTTGAGATGGAAACAATACATAATGAGCATGTGTTTAATTTGGAGGGTGCAGCTTATTAAAACCGACACAGTGCGCTGCTGTCTCTCACGATTGGAAATTACAACCTTCATAGTAACACAATAAACTAATTCTACACAGATACCATCCCCTATGAAGACGGGGGGGGGAGAGGAAAAACAAATTGAATTAGCTCTTGTGTTCATTTTATTTGATACCGTACTTCACTGAGCTGTGCAGATGATAGCTAATTGCACATAATACATTTAGAGAGGAACACAAAGGGAGTTTGGGACAGCGATGATGCATGGTGGCGTAATTATAGAAAAGTGAGCGTACGTGCATGCTGGCACATCTTTCTGGGTTCACATGCGATTTGACTCTCTGGATCTATCTGCGTGTGCGCGCGTGTGTGTGTGTGTGTGTGTGTGTGTGTGTGTGTGTGTGTGTGTCCACAGCAGAGTAAAGAGAATTTCAGTTTGAGAGTTTGATTGCTTTACAAGACAAGCTGTTTGGTTTGGAATTTGCAATCCCCCTTAGAAGAGTTAGCAATGTCAAGATGAATTATTTACGGACTGTGGATTCATGTTTTTCCATTTATCATTCATAACCAATCGAGCAGGATGGTGGAATGATTTAATGTAAATGTGAAAAATTTATGTTGATTAAAGTGCCGTAGTTCTGTTTGCTTCGATAACGTAAGTCTGACAGTCTGATGATATAATGATGAGCAAAATGTCGGTTTTAATGTGGTTGAATTTGCAGATGTCTCTTTTTCTTGCCATCGTTTACACAGCGAGAGACAGGAATTAAAGGCTGAATGATTTAGTTGTTGTAAAGACAGCCTGGAGAGGCATTCAGATGTTCTGGGTTCTACACATTTAATGAAACGCACAACTGAGACTTGAGGAATAAGTTCCAGATCTCTTTTAATGACATGGGTTGAGGGTTGGATATTACAAATGGATTTGGCAGAAAACTGATTGGGGGAATAATATGATAGCGATGCAAGTCTGATGTTCTCAGGGTTTCACATTTCTGTCGTCATAAAGCCCTTTTTCGTATGAAACCTTGGAACTGAAGACTTTGGGAACGTTGAAACTTTTCCTCTTGTAGTTCCTGCAATAAGCCTCTAAAATGCAAATATTGCAAGTTTCTGCAGTGCAGATTGGATTCAGTCCTTAAGCTAAAGTGAATGTCATTACTTTACAAGTGAAACATTGGTATCATTCAAATTTGGCAAAAGCAGATCAACTCCTGTTCATTCTCAAACTGAAGAACCAAAGAACCAGTACGAAACTTTTTTTTATCCCCAAAAAGGGAAAAAAGAAGGAATTCTGAATGTTGGAAAAATGTTGCTATGCCAGATGATCAAAACATAAGTGGTTACTGTAAACAAATCCAGAGGTCCTTTGTGGGGGCAGAAAACAGATCTGTTGCTCTCTATTCTAAATGTCATTTGGGCCACTGAGGGTTTATCAAATCCTCTGATCTAAAAAACAAACAGGAATTAGTTTGGACAGACGGGAGATGGATGCAGAAAAACATCCAGAGTGCTTAGGCTATCAGAAGTGTCCCAGACAGAGCTTAGAAATCATCTCTGGATGGATAAGAACGTGATTCAGTGATGCCTTCCATCCAAACAGGTAGCCATCCATGCTTCAGACTTCAGAATTTCTCAAATAAATTGACTGTTTGTATACTTTGTGTATAGAAAGTAAAAAAAAAAAAATTCTATAGATGATAAAACTGATGCACCAGGCTATGTTTGGACAGACAGATGTTTTTTTTTTCTTTTCTGTACAACCAGCAGGTGTGAATCTGACCAACAGGTCATCTGTGGGCTCCTCCTCCCCATCTGTGCCCTTTGGCTCTGAGACACTGAGCTGAGAACAGGGACCCAGCTGCTAATTAACTGCTGGTGGTGTGTACCCATGGGATGTCAGGCCATCCTCTGACTTATGTGACTCAAGCTCAAAGCATCCACTCTACTTTGAATAATCTACGAATGGGGCGGGCAATAACGACAACAGGATAGAAAACATGGCTCTGAAATACCATGACCCTTAAAAGTGCAGGTTAATTACATTTTGTTGTCTTTCCTACTTATTTGCATGTATAAAGCTGCTTTTTCAGTCTTAATGGATAACCGACATATTTAAAGATGTCCAATTGTAAAAAAAAAAAAAAAAAAAAAAAAAGATATTGCTCAGTAAAACAAATACCTTTTCCAAATATATTTGATTTCTTTAATGCTTTGACAAACCTGTCTGTCACTGACAAATATCCAGTATTTAATTAACTGAGGGATATCCCCGAAAGAGGGTTTCGGAGTCTAAATATGGCGTTAAGGCGTAGTCAAATTGGTCGTCTTTGGTTATATGGAAGGAAAAGTAGAAAAATGGAGTTTTAAAAAAAATGGAGAGGCATGTCGGGAGCAGAACAACAGCTTTGTTCTAATGCTCGTGATCTAACAGCCAATCAGGCTGAGGGAGACGGGACAAAACCACCTGCCATCATCCGCATAACAGGGAGTCACATGCATGACGGGCTGTGATGATCCAGTCTGTTGTGATGAGTGTGCAGCGGGAGTCTGTCTGCTGCCTCTGCGTCTTTTACCAGTCAAAGACGTGGGCTTATTTTAGTTAAGAGGCAGACGTGAATACATTAGGGCGAAGACGGAAGCGTGAGAGAAGCTGCATCTCACTCAAAACACCTCAGAGTACATGAACAAACAAGGGAGAAAAAGCAGGTAGAGTCCAGTAAATGTCCTGAAGTGGAGCGGGAGGATCATTTAACGCTGCGTCCCTCATTTGAAGCCACTCTGGTCAGGGCCTGACCTTCGTTAGACGGCGGTAGCACAGCACAGGCCTCCTCTGCCAGGCCTCCAGCCCCCGACACCCCCCCCACAACACCCCCCGATCCCAGGCATCAAAGCGTAAAGGGAACGTATACAAAGAGCAGGGACGGGTCAGGAGGGAGGAGAATGCATCACCCCTGTATTCATGTTATTTAACTTTGTGATGGGTGTACAGGAAAAAAGTGCTGATCAGCACAAAATATGAGCTGAGAAACTAATGAGGAGCCATCATTTTTTAGAGAGAGATGAGGGATGAGAGCAGATAGGATATTCAGAGATGTTCCGTAGGTTCAGCCGGGTGTGATGGGAGCAGGATCCATCTGTTCCTGTTTCTGGGATCCATCTGATCTCACACACACACGTGTACGCACACAAACAACACACGCACACACACGGGCAGACCTGTGAGGGCGAGCACCAGCGCGTCACAGTACAGCCTGTTTTTCAGGGGCCAGGGAGTCACAAATCCATGTGCCAAAATTAGAAAAAGGCCGCCTCTCGGCATGGGAAACCTTTCCTGGCGATAGCAGAGGCGACAAAAGCACCAAGGAGGAATAATCACTTTAGATACAACAAAAATGTGCCGAACAGCTGCCAGGCAGCTCCTGTTGGGTGAGCCTTCCCAGGACAGACCGGTGCATCAGTAAAAACCTTGTGGTCACAGTTGTAGGGCTTTTTTTTTTTTATTATCTCCGATTATATGATGCCACTAAGCAAGTCAGGCCATTTCCAACCAACTTCCACTCCTCTCCTCATTTCCAAAACATGGTTCCTGGATCGGCCTCTGTTCCTACAGTTTAGACGGTAAGCAAACAGTCTCTACAAATCAATTCATCCCATTAGACTCTTCTTTAAATCATGTTTTCAAAAACCAATAATCACCTGTGTTCTCATACCGTCTAAACTGTAGGAACAGGACTAATAGCCTCATTTATCTTAGACGACGCAGAGTTTTCCTTTTCTTTTTGATCTAAGTGTACAGATGATGTTTGGCGGGGCGCTATCAGAGTGACAGACCATACAGCTTCTGGTTAATGCTTCTCCCAGGTTGACGGATTTCGTGCCTCCAGCATCGGCAGCCCCCCCCACTTCCAATCTGTTGACTCCCGTGCAAGATTCAAATTCGGTGGGATAGAAGAGTTTGCGTTCAGAACTCAGGAAGACAGCTGCTGAAAGTCGTCCATATGTTTGTGTTTTTCCCATCTGGTTCTGTTTCCGCGTTGGGTAACTTGCGAGAAGAGGCAGAGCAGGAGAGAAAACAGAATTTTGCTTACCACCATCTTGTTGAGGGAGACCCAGCAGTCGGCGGGGAAGTCCTGCAGCATGGGAACCAGGAACTGGAGACAGCCGTCCCAGTGGCACAGCAGCAGCATCATCCCGATCAGGTTGAATATTCGCATCACGGCGCTGGCCAGGTCGTAGGTCATGTGGAAGATCTGTCGATAGGGGGGAAAGAGAGAGAGGGAGGTGGTGTTCAGCGAGTGGAAAGGAGGAGGGGAAAAGAGCTGATATAGATATGTGATGAGAATGAAAACTCAGAGTCAAAAGTGAATGAATGGGAAACAGGACAAAAGACTCCAAAGTCTTCAAAAGAGTCCAAAAAAAGAGTCCAAGAGTTTAAAAAAGTCCAAAAGAGCCATGCAGCAACTACCAGACACCAGCTATCTTCTTTATCAAGCTATAAACTCATACATACCTGGTTTGAAAGCTGTAAGATTTAAATATATTCTATTTCGATGTTAATTCATGAGGAAACTTCTGGGACATCTCGTGTTAACAGGATCACATCACACTCAGTGGATGATGATCAGAAAATGAGTCACAAATCAGCTGTTCTGTGATTATTAATAACTATTTAGGTTCAAATCACATGTTCCTCTCACTTTCTCCTGTTAAACAAGCTGAGAAAACAACATTGACATCTTCCCTGGATAAACACTTCCTTTAGTACAGAACTGAGTGTGTACACTCAAAGGAAATGTGAGAAGCCTGACTTGGTTTCAGTTGGTTCTTTCCCACTTGATGAATGCAAATCCGAAATTTGCAGCCTTTTGCATAGCTCGGATCTCGCTGCCCGCCGGGGGAGAACGGCCTAAATAAGTCAAATTGTTGGCCAGAGAACAAAACAGGAGCTCCTTGCTGCTCCGCCAATCTCAGAGGTTTCCAGAGATGAAAACAAATTCAATTTGGTTTCTTTCTGCTGTCCAGACTTCCCAAAAACCAATTAAGCTCGCAATAAAAACAAAGCTGAAGAGGGGTTGTTCTCAATTCGGTTTGACGACCACATATCAGTAAATAGATGTTGATCGCTTGGGCTGAAAATAACCATCTCAGTTTTGAACTTTGCTGAAACATCAGCGTTTTTTTGCCTTTATACTGTATCCTAAAAGTCTTACATTGAACTGAAGAGCATTTCTGCTTTGGACAAGCACTGTATCAAAATCAGCTTTTGTGCTAGACAATTTCAAATGTAACATTTAATCACCATCGGAGGTGGTGATCGGGACCAAGGGTTATCCATCATTGGCTTGTGTTATCTGTTTGCTAACATAAAGCCAGAGAATCCACAGTGTTTGATCAGAGCAGCTGCAGCCAGGTGAGGCCTCCACAGCCCCGTGGAATGGAAGGAATACTTTCAGGGGATCTTTGTTTTAACGTGTCATTTCTGAAGAGGTTTAGGGATGTACAGGTAAAGTCTTGTGAGAAGGACACTGGATCTCAGACTCTGCTGGCCTCAGCTAGCATGCTAACTGCTCAAGTCCATTACAGGACGGTAAGAAAAAGACATAAGGCATGGCTTCTTTTTCCCCTCTCTAACCAGGACAGAGCTCAGCTCCAGCTGGACTCGGAGCTCCTCTGTAAAGCAAAAAGTGTTTTCATATCTAATGTGAGGCCATCTGTTTGACAGCTAAAGCCTGGTCGAAAGTGGGTCGTGGAACAGGAAACTCATTTTAAACGCATTGATGAATCTACAACAGAGAAGAAACAAATCAAGGTGTTCCAGCGGTCCAGATCATACCCCGGTGGAACTGAAACCGCTTTGTAAGGAGGAGGGTACCAAAACCAGGCCTGGAGTCTTTGCTGTGACCTGTTTGGGAGGTTTTGATCCCGAGCATCGTTTTATTTCCTCGTAAATGGCATTCACCATGATTGGTGTGTGTTAGAGTGGGTTGGTAGAGTTCCACAGTGTAAAAGCCTTCAGTAAGTGGGCCAGCTGCATCTTCAGAAGATCACTAAATCATGGGCAAAAATTTCCTTCCCCACCAGTGACAAGAGAATTACCCCACAGGGAGGAGAAGTAGGCCAGACGCCGAGTGTCTGCGAGAGGTCTGTAAATTCATTTCTACTGGACAACCCAGCTCCACAGGCCCATTTGATGTCTTCTTTAATAAGAAATATGCTCGTTTCTTGCTTAATCTATCGGCCTACTTGTGAACGAGGCCAGATGTTTGGTTCCAGAGACCTGAGCAGGCAGCCTCCGTTCTGAATTTACAGCTTTAGAGCAGCAAGGTCGAGATGCTCTGTGACTCCACCCCCGTCACCTCGGCGGCCTCGACCCGCAGATCACTTTAATATCGAGGCCTCACACGTATCAGATTCACGAGTCCGTTTTCAAACGGCTGTCGCCTGTGTTTGGATGAATAACGGCTCGGGCTCCAAATCACACGAATGAACAGAAGACGTTCTCACACACCGTTTAAAACAGTTCCACCTCTTGACTTGCTTTGTGTTTGACAAATTCTGGGTGCTGTTCTGTCCCTCTCATTTCTACAAATCCTAAATAGATTAAAAGTGCTCAGTTCCCGGTCAGTGCATCGTCCAATCAGGGGGTTTTGTGCCTGAGTTCTGCATCTTCAGTGGTGTCTGAGGGCTTCAGTTCACACACCGTGAGACCCTGTGATTAACGAGGCTCCAGGACTAATGTTCTCCCCCCGACCCCGTCAGAGCACCTGTCCATGTGTCACTGTCAGACCGCAATCTGGGTCAAAGCGCAGGACTGTCCCCACAAGTCCCACCCGGGGAGAAAAGCACATCAGCTGCTTCCTGTTTCCGAGTGGACGCTAACGCTGGTGGAAAGACGGCCGGTGAAGATGATGGATTTCAGCCCCGCACCGGCGGCCTACTCTTCCATGTATGTTTCTAATCATTAACTAGCTAATGAAAAAAGCATCCTCTGAGCATCCTGCTCCAGGAAATTGCTGTTGAGAGTCTAAACAATGGCTGTCTCTTCAGCTATGTAAGCCACACGGGAGCAAAGACAAACACAGATACTGTTTTATCCCTTTAACATGACTTATATACACACTGTTTGCCTGATTATTCTAATCAGTGGGTCGTTTTCCCAGTGCTGTGCTCAAGTCTTGGTTGTGTGGTGAAGTGGCCGCAGTGCTGAGGTCACTCTGTGGGGGGGCTAGCTAAAGCGAGGGGCCTTAAGCTGAGCCGGGCAGAGAGGGAAACACAGCCAGCCAGAGCTCAGCTCAGCTCAAATAAGAGGATCAGGCCGGGGCCGTGTCAAAGCAAAGAGACTATTCACCGGTGTGTGGTTGAATCAGTAATTAGGGCTCTCATCAAACTCAAATTACCAGTCTGTAATCAAAAGAGCGGTGGCTATTTTCAGAGCAAGGGGACAGGAAATTGATTGGTAGATGTTTGGTTAGTAAAAGTCCTACAGACAAAGGAGCGCGTGCACCGAGTAAACCCGGGCTAATTGTATTTATACAGCAAGAGGGGTGGGAGGGGGCGTTTTGGATAATAATGTGTCTGTCAATAGATTAATCTCATATCCGGATGTGTAATGTAGCAAAAATGTTTTTTCCTCCGCCAGTCTGTCTGTATTCACTGGCTGTGAATGCGTTCATTGTTTGAAATGTCACACCGAAGCAATACTTCTGTAATGAACTCTGTCTTTGTTCATTTTTTCACTTTCCCTAGCATGAACTCTTTTTCAGTTACCTGCAAAACGCTGTTATTTTGAGTTACAATGTTGTAGAACCTCATTTTAATTTTCAAAATTCAGAAGATGAGGATGGATTTGATTCAAATAGCTAATGTTAAGTTCACTGTTGTAGAGGAATAAACTTTAGCAGATTAATCTGACATTGTTTAATCTATTAAAGCCCAGTCAGATTACATTCTCCTTTATGGCACAATAGACAATTGCTGGCATGATATTTGCCTTTTCTAAATAACAGTATCATGTTTCTTATTACTGTGAGAAGGCGTAGCTACATTTTGAGCATATCAGTGTTTAAAATAATTTAAGTGGGATCAATAATAATCAATGAAGACCTCCATACATGGAGGGTTCGTTCCTGGTTAGTTACTACAGGCCGCTGCAGGCTGAACCAAACATGTGTGAGTATTTTTCTGGCTTCACTGAATTATACAGCTTTCATTCCAGTGTTTTGTGCTGTTAAAGAGTGTTCATGCTGCACCAATTCCTGTTTTGAATAAAGCTGCTTGGACACATCCTTCTCATATAACCCAACAGGAGATGTTTCTACTTGAAACATTAGGCTCACTGTTGAAGTTCAGTTGGCTGATCTGGTTTTATCGGGTTGTAAATACAGTTAAGAGCCACTGCATTGTGCACAACCTAAAATTGGGATTGTCTATCACCTATTTTCCAACATCTTTGCCTCATAATTTGCCAGGATATGTTTGAATATCATCCATTTGTATTGGCGTTTCAGCACACTCAGTGTGTTCAGCAGTGGCAGCCTAAGCTGATCTTTGATGGTCAAAGTTTCCCTGCACCTGAACCGTAAAAAAAAAAGGAAGAAGCTCTGGCCTACCTCCTCCCACTGGTGGATGTAGCGGATGAGTCTGGAGAGCCTCAGCAGGCGCAGCAGGCTGAGGATCTTGGTGAAGCGGACGATGCGGAGCGCCCGGGCCGTTTTGTACACCTCCGAGTCGATGCCCTTCTCCACGATCAGGAAGATATAATCCACCGGGATGGAGGACACGAAGTCCACCACGAACCAGCTCTTCAGGTACTTCATCTTGATCTTCTTGGGGTCCAGGATGATCTCCGTGTTGTCCTCGAACACGATGCCCGTCCGGAAGTTGAGCACCAGGTCCATGAGGAAGAAGGTGTCGGAGACCACGTTGAAGATGATCCAGGGCGTGGTGGTCTCGTCCTTGAAGAAGGTGATGCCCACGGGGATGATGATCAGGTTTCCCACCATGAACATCAGCATGGTGAAGTCCCAGTAGAACCTGAGGGGACAGCGGATTTATCAGAAAAAGCAAGAGTTGGTGTGTGTGAGCTGAATAATCGCATTTTAAAACTCAAACTCTGATGTCTGGGACCCACAGTGGTCTGAAATGGACACCACATGCCGAGAAAGACGCTGAGTCAGCTCCACTGGCATTTCCGGCTCTTCTCTTAATCATTCAGCCATGCACTTCCAAAGGCAACGAACAGCCAGAAAACAGTGTCCTAACCCCTGAGACCTCCTGTTGATAGGTTACCGGCTTCTTCTACTCGTATATAACACCAAACGCCATCTGACCCGGGTCAATCCAAGGGCACACGTGCCGAGATAATTCGATATCAAGACCGAACAGACAAATGGACACGAGTCATTATGGCGACCGAGGATGACGTCCTGAGTGCATCACACTTTGGGGTCGGCGCTCTGTCCTCCATTTACAGTAGACATGCAGATGCTGATGCTTCCCACGTGACTCCTTATGTGCTTTTCCACATCTGCTGTTATCTGACACAGAGTATTTTAAAGGCACCAGACTGCTGGCCGATAACAGTTTAGATTATACAGATATATAGATAAAGCACATTTTTTATTCGCAGAAATATACCATTACAAATTGAAAGATAGACCCTTACAAAGAATAGATGGCCTCATTTATACATCATTATCTGGTCAATTTCAGAATAAAAAAGCAGAGCAGACAGTGAGATTTACAGTCACAGGAATTTTGGGGTTACATAAACAGATAAAGGCGCCTCTAACAGGCAGAGAACCGGGGGAGCTGTCCCTGGTGCTGAAACCGATTTCAGGGTATCGGATTCAACTTTTTCTAACTACGCTTTGGAAATGACAAACAAAACTTTAGAAGATCCTAAGTAAAGATCTAAGCCCCATTCTACCCGGATGGTCGGCAGTATGGAGCCCCTATATATATATATATAAAACCCTAACCCTTCTTTGTGGTACGTTGGTACAGATTCTCATCATCCAGACCACTGCATTCCTCAGAGTTTGAGTGTTTCTTTGAAATAAATATAAATAAAAACGCTTTAGATTACATTCAAATACATTTGATTACTTTTAACCTAACGTCTATTTCATGTGGATGACATCATTTGTTAAAGGAGATATTTCCTTATTGACCCATACCTGAAGTCGCTGTAGGGGTGGATGATCCAGTTCCCCGCTGACTTGACGCGCTCCTGCTCTTTCTCCACCGCCTTCTGGCTGCCAAACATCCGCAGGGAGAACTTGTTAACTCCCGGCTGGAGCATGGAGCTGAACTGCCGCTGCATGTAGGTCTGGTTGCCCCGGGAGTCCCCATCGTCCGGATCTATCTGGGACCCGTCCTCCGCTTTGGAGAAAGTCACTGAGTTTCTCGACTGGAGCCCCGGGGTCTGTCCTTTGCCACCCGGGGGGCTGGAGAAGGAAACCCTGGAGTCTTTTTTCTCTGGAGCCCCGGGCCCCTGTGCCGGGGGTCCCGCCGGAGCCCCGGAGCCGTCCATGCCCGCAGCCAGTCCCTTAAAGCCCGCACTTGTTACATCTCCGTCCTCCTGCTGGTCTCGTCTGGAGATGAGGGAGGACAGGCTCCCCGAGCTGGCCGGATCTCTTCTGCAGTCTCCGTTTTTGTTGCATATCATACCGACGGGCGCGTCTCCCGTTACGCCCGGCTCTGAGCCCCCCCCGGTCCGGTGCTCTGGGTCACCGGCAGCCTCACACTCCGCGCTCTGCCACGGCCAGGGCTCGTTGTTGTTGCTGGAGTTTGTGCGCGCGGCCCCGCCTCCGAGCGCAAATTTCCTCATCTCGCTCCCCCAGCCGCTCCCGGGACGCGCGCATCCTCCCCCCCGCGAGCCCGCGGTCTGAGGCGGCCACGGCCGCGGGAACGTGGGCTCCTCCTCGCCGTCCTCAGCCTCGTCCATCATCGGTGGCTGGCGAGCGAGCGCGCGCGTGCTGGACACCGGGAGGGCGCGCGGAGTTCAGAGCAGGAGCGGAAAAGCCCCTCTGCTCCCCGTCAGCATCACTTTGAGATAAGCGGCGTTGCCATGGCTGCACACGGCCTGATGTTGTTGTGTTGAGAAGCACCAATACGCAGCTTGTAACAAATAGTGAAGGATCCAGGAATACATTTCTACTTTGCTGTTCTAAAACGTGCATGAACATTAAACATTTCCATTAATTTACCTGATATGGAAAAGCCACAACAGTTCTCTCTAGAGACATTGTTTATCTGATTAGGATGAATTACGAAGAGCTATCAGCCAATAAACTACGTCTCCGTGGTCATTGACCAGAAAAATGAGTTAATCCTGAAGTTTTCCTGAATACATGGGCCGGACTTAATCAGCCTGTTGCTTTGCAGACGGCCATCCAAAGGATCTGCCGGACAAACGGCTCCATCTAGTGGACAGATTCGGTAATTTGTGCTCCATCAGACAAACATCTTTTCATTGCCGTTAAAAAGGCATGACAAAAGTCACGTTTTCCCCAAAACACCCAGGATTACATCATTTCTAAAATGTTAGTGGACTTTAACAGTGTATGTTTATTCTCCATAAGAATATCAATGAGGGAGCGTCTGAGGGCCAGAAACTGGAGACAATCAGTGCTGAAATTCATGTTTTTAAAAAAGAAAAAAGGCGTTTGAACAATAAAACTTTGTAGTGTCACAAACTGCACCATTTTATTCTATTTAAATAAATGGTAAACAGCAATGAATGGCCTATTTCAGAAGTTCATTCACTAGTCAGGGGTAAAGACTCAGTAAACCGTGTTAAGTTCAATACCTTTATTTCAGCTTGTGCAAGTCGTACAAGAGATGGTTAACTCCACATTCATGGAAGGTACAGTATCCCACACAACTGTGTTCAGGTCTTTACATTTCTTTAACTCTGCAATGGTAACATCCAATCACAACACTACTCAGGTTAAATGGAACATATGGCTTCTGAATTATCTACAGAGTAATGAGAACAGAGACAACCGTTCAAACAAGCGTTTCAGATCATAATCGGTGGAGAAAATTAAGATGGATCCAATATTTTTCAGCAGTTTCAGACATAATGGTATTAAAGCTGCATTGAAGCAACAGTTATCTCTCTTGGTCCTTAATTTAGAGTGTGGATGTGAAGGACATTGACCAACTAAACTTTTGGTTTAGTTTTCGAAAACAATAAAAAAAAAAAAAAAGAAAATCCTACTTAAAACTTCTTCATTAGTGAGAAAAAAACCTAGCAGACATTAAATCTAAGTCATTATGGTGTTTAAATTAAAGTGTCATACGTCAGAATGGGTAAGAAAAAGCAAAAAGACTAAAAAAAAAAAAAAAGGTGTTTGTTAAGGCAAAGTACAAAACTCTGCTAGGATGCGGTCAGTGGCTGATGCATGGAGACTCCACTCTTTCCTATCAGAATGGCATCGAGATGGCAGCGGGGGGTCTCAGATCCTCTGAGGATCTGCGCCCGCTCACGGGACGCCGATCCAGAGCGGAGAGTACGAAGCGAAGAGTGACAACGGAAGTCAGTGCAGGAAGCGTCAGCGTCCACAGAAGATAATCACAAGCTAAGCATTCCTCACGTGTACGTCTCTACAGATTTCACAACAACACACTTGGCTAGAACAGCGCTCAAACTCATGCAATATTTGCCCCGCGGCCTCAGGCAGGAGGCATTATTCCACACGATGAACTGGGACTGCACTATGTGAAGAAGGATAGTGAAGAAAAATAAAAATGAGGTGAAAGAATTTTTCTTAAAAACATTAAAAACACCCAAGCACAAAAAGGTACTTAAAATTGCAGGGCGCACAGTACAATGTGCCACAACAGCTGAGTCCTGGAGTGAAATCTGGACGATAATCTGGGGAGCAGAAAGAGCAGCTTATTTTGTAGCAGATTTTTTCCGTTAACAGACTTTCAGACCGAGCAGTGAGAATTACACACCTCTTTTTAGCTTCTAGTTAGAATTCCTTTGCCTCACGTTCTTGTCTTTGTGGTTTGAAGTGGAATTGCTCTTCCTGAAATACAAACACAACATGAGCTCCGCAAAACTAAACTAAAGAAGTTTACAGAGTAGTGAGCGGGACTTACAGGGGAGCGGATCCTGAGTCGTCATCTGTACGGCAGAAAACAAGCAAGGGAAGAGGAAACAGAGAGTTACTAACTGGTTATGACTGGCTGGGGGGAGAAACATGCCCCACCACACCCCCGCCCCCCCCCCACAGACGATGGAAGCAAATGCTACATGACACCTCTAACATGACTCAGAGATCATGATCCTAAAACATGCCCACCAAGTGCTTTTTGGACAACGAATACGACAAAGTTCCTCACCTCAAAAAATCCACTTATTCTGAGAAATCTAACCCAGAACCATCCAATGACTGAACATTACTGAGAAAACGTCTGTTCTGGTGAACTGGCAGTGGGACTTTTGGTATCTTTAATGCTCCGCCCGGCAGCATAACACAGGAAAACATGCAGCACAAGCAAATGACAAGAGAACACTGCAAAATGTTTCCCATTAAGAAACGGTGAACGTGGAAAGTTGCAGAGCTAACACACATCCTGGCGGAGACAGTGGCAGTAGTCACCCTCCCCAACAGAGCCCGTTTTCACCAGATAAAGCAAAGAGAAAGGTCCCTTTGTGGCCACGCCATGACTGAGACGGATGGCACATCATAAACCTGACCTGAGAGAGGGCTGCCTATCATGCATGAGGTCCAAAATGCAGAAAGCATGCAAACACGTGGCTAAAACCCATTTGTTCAACCTTACCAAAGTTCATGTCAAACTGTTACATTGGTTTAAGTTTCTCATCCGACTCTTTCATTGGCTCAAACATAATTTCAAGGTACCAAAAAAACAAAAACCAAATGGTTGGAGGTTGTTCTGCAATAACATTCAGGGCCAGTGAAAGAGTGACCAAGTCTCTGAGCAGCACATTCCTCTTAGAAGTGGTTACTATGAAAGCAGTTCATTCAGACTCCCATAGCGTTTCAACGTGGCCATCTCAGCTCAACCACTTCAGTCTGACATGCAGTTTTGTTCACTTACCAAAATGCAAAATCAGCAGCGAACAGAGAAACCAAAATGTAAACAAAAAAAAAAAAATGCTATCACAGATTGTTTAAACAACAAAGGAGGCTAATGGTTCAGCTGCATTAAAAAAATAATAAAAGTAAAAACAACTCTGGTTGAAACTTAACATGCAGAAACAAATCCTGATCTCCATTTAAAGGGCAAAACCTCCCCGGCCGTTTCAAACTTGGCATTAAAGAAAAGATTTCCACTCGGGAACATAATCCATGTCACATGACCGGTTCAGTGATACCGGAGACAAATATCCCAAAATATGAGCTCATTGTATCTATCCACGCATAAGATGCTACAGTGTTTGTGCTCGTTGATGCTCCACACAAAAGAGTTACTGGAACACAAAAATAAGAACTGCTTCTGAAAAGGAAAAAAATAAACTGAGGAGAAGTCAAGATGACTTCCAGATTTTGATACACACATCCGTTTAGCTGGGATTTTGACAGTGTTGAAGTTTCAGAGCCAAACAAAGTTACTTTGAATATCATCTTTGTGTCAAATATGTGCAGCATTTGGCCTAAAGGTCACAGGCTAACTCTCCTTAGAACGGGCTCAGGAGTGGCTCCACGTACCGTCGGTGATCTCATCAGGCTTTCTCCTCTTCTCGTAGATGAAGATTATGGTCACGAGGATGATGACCTCAGCCACGATGCCCAGGAAGGGCCAGAGGGCAGCCAGGCGGCTGCGCACGCGCAGGTGGATCCGGTCAGAGTGGGCCCCCAGGTCATTGACCCCAGAGCACTCGTAGTAGCCGATGTCCTTCTCCATGCTCAGCTCATGGATGGTCAGCGTGGTCTTGTTAGGGGTGCTCTTGATCTCAAACCTCTCATCAGTGCCGTTGGTAAGAGCCTGAGGGATGAGTTTAATCAGTTCAGTAAGACAACCATCACAAGTTCTCCTCACAGTTCAAACAAATACATTCAGGAGGGGAGAGAAAAGTAGGTCACTTACAGTTTTGGCACCGTTCTCCTCCTTGAACCAAATCCAGTCAGTGGGTAGAGGGTAGCCATGACCCACACAGATCATCACACCTTTGTCGTTCTCATTGCCGTGCTCAGAGTGCTTGTAGGCAGAAACGTGGGGAAGAGCTGTGGAAGAAAAGCATTCCTTTACCCCGGAAAGGTCAAACGTTCTAAGAGCTACTGACCACAATCAAGCTTGTGTGACATGGAGCAAAGTTTATCCTACCATAAAGAAAAGGTCCAAAACTGACATAACTGTAGTTTGTTTGCATTTTAAAGAAGTTAAAAACAAAAGGATCTGTTTACGGTTCACTTGAGGACGCAACCAGACTCAGACTGAGATAAGAAGAACATGTTATTTCACAACTCTGCATGGATATACAGGAGAATTACTGCCCTGTAGTTCAAAGACTGAAATGTTATCTCAAACAGGTCTCAATCCACAGATAAAATAACAGTCATTAGACTATTAGTGTCTCTGAACCCAATGAGAAAGGAACTTTAAACTGAACAGTGAAAACGAGACTCATTAAACTCACTTTTGACTTCAATCGTCGTCTTCACCGGAGGATCCGTGTCAAACACACATTCATACTTTCCACTGTTCTGATGGGAGATCGTTTTCAGACTATGGAGAAAAGAGAGCAATGTTTACAACTCTGCAGCACATCGTGTTAAGAAAGAAAATCCAATTCTCTTCTGATCCTATGCATGTGGTGTGTTGTGACCAGAGCTGAAGCCACTCCTGGCTGTGACTAGTTTTCCCACTTTGCTAAAAGTAGAAAACCCACATCAAAAGCTGGAGGAAAGCGATTACAGTCCCACTTGTGTGGTGCTACTGTCCTCTATGTAATGGAGCATTAGGGTCAGGCTGGGACAGCCAGGGGCGCTAATCGCTGCTGCCATGGCCGCCAGCAGAGCTGCGTGAGAGCACGGTCCATCTCCATGCTAACCCACAGCCTGAATGCCTGAGCGGCACTCCCAGCTCTGCTGCTAATGGAGGCGGCCGGGGGGGGGGGGGGGGAAAAAGGCCGAGCACAGAGATGCAAGAGGGGGGACAAGGGGGGAGAATGAAAATAATGCAATGTTGTAACAGTCATAGAGGCACAGTCTGAAGATAAAGCACGATATAAAGGCAGACAGGTTTTATCCTAACCAGCCTACTATAAACAGGTAACGTGCTCCACAACAGCTATGAGTTGAATAAGTTTTCTTACTGGTAAGTTGTATAAGCTTTGGAAGCAGGGCCCTCTGAGTCCTCAATGATCTTGCCATTGTGTGTCCAGTGGGAGCCCTTTATAGCGAGGCTACCATCCGTCAGGTTGCAGCTGAGAACGGCGGATGTCTCGTTGGTAACCACAGAGGGATCCGTGCTGATGTATGGGCCTGGGACAAAACAGGAAGATCACACATTCAGCTTTAGAAACACCGGGTCGCTCTTCAGTAAGGAGGAAGGAGGCTGTTTAATCACAACAGAGTTCAGGTCCTAAAGACAAAGTATTACCACTAAGCTGGGGAAGCTTCAAACACTCAACAGCTGTCCATGGACATCATTCAAGTCATGTCCCAGAACACCAGTACATGATACTGAAAGTATTTAAGGCGAATTGGAAAATGTTAACGATTTCCATGAACAGCTAAATTATTCCAACAGCTGCCAAGTTTCTTTTTGGTTGGAACAACTGTTGAGTGTTGCTGCTTTGGGCAAGAATTACCAAGATAGCTCTTGCAAGCTATATCCTCCAAATTTTGAGAATAAAGATATTCAATGTCACAAATTAAAAACAATGCTGCACTAGTACAAGTTCAGAGCTTCCCCAGGGGAAAAGAGCTCCCCAAATTGAGGAGATCTGCCCCCCCTTTTGGACATTGGGATGGGAGAAAACTAGCTTTACGGGAAAGGGTTATGGAAAGAGTCTAAACTACAAAAAAAAAAAAAAACGTTTTAAAAAAGTTATGGGGAAATGTCAAAAAGGTAATTTGATACATGCAGAATATGCAACAAACAAGGGTGTGTGGAAAAATGGCAGTTTCACTACCAGCCAGGAGTCAGAGAGGATAATACAAAGGTATTATACTCCAACTAGAGAGAGAATACTGGGCCACAAAGCAGAGGGTGCCCCATGGCTGGTGGACTCAGTTCAATGATTAGCTGGCTTCCTTTGTACCTTCCATTTAGTAGGCTCAGAGGAACAAGAACTTCTAGAGTCAAAGTAAAGGGGCATTGACAAAAAGTTAGCAATTTTACAGAATATGCAGCTACAGCAGTAAATAAGGCAATCTGACACCTTTCTAGTCTGCTGCAACAATCTTTAGAATGATTACACATATTTTATCCAAATTCAGTTAAATCCATGTCCATTAGGAGCCATTTGCAAGTTTCTAGCATAATGACCAGTACTTTCTACATGAAGACCTAATGGAATGGTACTTAAACCGTCACATTAAAAAAAGGCATCAGAATATAGGATTAGGAGGCAGCCGGGCCATGAATTATGACCTGCTGTACTACAGGACAACCATGGAGCTTTTAAGGATGGGAGAGGGAGAGTGTGTACTAAGGGAAGCAGGAAGGACGGCAAACTGGACCGGGAGTCAAGTCAGTCGAGTGGATCGGGAGCTAAACGACCAGGCCTCGGCTAACAGGAGGAGGCCTCTGTCCACTACTTTGACTGGAGGCTCCGTGTGCCTCTACTGCCACTCACTTTCGATCACAATAATGTTAGCCTGCGAGCGGATCCACTTGATTTTTGGAGTCTTCTTCAGATCATTGCGGTCGGGGTCGTTGGAGGCGCGGCACTCGTACGTGCCCGAGTCCTCGAGGGTGAGGCTGGAGAGGTGGATGCTGCTGGTGGCATGTGCTATGTATGTGGCATTGATTCTGACGCGCTCGCTGCGTGCGCCGTCGAACAGCTGGGTGACGCTCTCGTTCTCCTCCTCACCCTCTACAAACCACCACTGCACCTCAGGGATGGGGTTTCCTATCACCTCACAATGCAGCTCTGCGCTGTCATTGGTAAGTTTCATTTGAGAGAGGGGGGACTTGATAAACCCCGCTGAGCACGGGTTGGTTTTATGTGTTGTTTTAAAGCACACAGAGTGAGTCAATGATCAGATGAAGAAAAGCAATGATGGAAAAGAGACAAGCAAACAAGAGAAAGACAAGAAATGGTTAAATCAAAAAAAAGAAAATGCAAGCACAGCAAAATATGTAAGCAGGCAGAAAAGATCAGAGAATTTTTTTAATCCAATTATTTTGAAAAGTGTTCACTGTTGGAGCTCTGACCCAGATAAACAAAAGAGCTGAGACAAAAAGATGGTAGGGATATGACAAGACTGTAAAGCTCGACAAGCCGTTTCCTATTAGTTTTAAGATAGCGCCAATAATATTACAGTAAGGAATATAGAAGAATATCCATTTCTAGAAATTAACTTGCCCTGGGCTGGAAAACCTGCCTTAGGCCAGCTTCACACAAGGAGCGTGGTGTGTTTATTCTGTGTGATTGAGCTACCTGATGAGCAGCCAAGCTTCAGAAAATGACCATAAATACAAAGCTTTAGCTCTTTCGAGGTTTATGTGAGCAGCAGCAGCTCCTAAAAATAGGTTCACAAGTCATTTAAAATCATCACAACCACATGCTAATCTCCAAGTGTCTGGCATGCCCACAATAGCTCAATAGATCTAATGTTCCCAGTGTGAATGCTCGGCTACTGACATAAAGTCAGTCTGTGACTGACAGCAGTGGGTGAAGAAACCACACTGATGTATTATGTAAAAAGAAAACAGCTAAAGAATATATTTTCTAAATCATAATTAACCTTAAGAATTAAGAATTCATTTGAGATAATCCTCAATTTCATTTGTAAAATGAAGAGCATTTATGGGTGTTTTCAATCAGCTAAGGGCCTTAGTCTGACCAAAAAGAATGACTCAAAAGTCAGTGTGAGTTTGTTAGTTTTGAAGCTTGTCATGCCCCCCCCCCCAAAAAAAAAAGAAAACTGAGAAAAGAATAGACAGCAACACAAAGCATTTGAAAGCATTAGCATGACTTTAAAACAATGTGCAGTGAAACATGGAAAGAAGCAGATGATATGAAAACAAACCATCACTGTAAACCCAAAAATGAAAATGAGGATGTAGATTGTTTATTATTATTATTTTTTTAACTGAAAATGTTAAACCAATAATAGATGTCCTCAACTAGGTTAACATGGGATATTTTTCAGGTCACTGATTTACTGGAGGCTTTGCACACATGGTGGCTGTAAGGGGAAACTGCAAAGGTTACACAAACAGCCTTTTTATGCCATTAAACAAGCAGTAAAAAGGCACAGGTCATCACTTTTTGGATCCACTTTTAGGTGTCTGAAACGGCAGGACCACATTTCAAATGTTTCTTTAAATCACAGCCAGTTTTAAAAACATAATCTGTAGAGTGTGATCACATTCCTCTGGAGGTTTTTTTTTTTCTTTGTAAATCCTTCAGAGCCAGGTTCAACATTACACCAAGCAAAAATCTGATGTACACACCAAGGCCTGAATAAATTCCACAACCCACTGAGGTGACAATATTTTAATACACTGAATACTGATGAATTAGGTGCTTACCTCCATGGGCTTGGAGTAAAGTCATTTAAGATACCATAATGTGTACCACAATTAAAAATTAAAAAAGGGTGGAAAAAAACAGGACTTATGATCAGTGTGTTAAAAAAAAAAAAAAAGTAACTGAGGAACATACCAAAGTGAATTCAAACATACGGTACATGTCAACTGGCCTTTCAATCTCAAAGTACCTCTCATGCAACTTTCCAAACTTAGAACGGCTTTCCCACCATTACTAAAGGTCATCTTAACAGTACATTCTGTATGGAAGTTCAAAATTAAATATAACCTTGGCCCTTGTCCCAACCTTTGAAAAAGGAAAAGAAACATGCAACCTACTCAAACGAATACTTAAGTCCCCGTAACCTTCTGCTGAGCAACATGAGGTGGTTCGTTGTGCTTTAGGGCTCTTTCAAAGATCATATTTCTTAGTTCTTGTTGACATTTGAATGCAGTCAACAGCACTGAGCCTGGAAGGGTGTCTTATTCTTTTTTATGTCATTAAGCCTTTTGAAACCAACACTAACCACACTGGAGATGGAATTATACTTCAAGTCACCTTCAGCAACCAAATAATATTAACATTTAACACCATTATATATGCAACTTTCTGACAAAACATGTCCAACCATGCCTCAAGTGATTTGCTGTAGATGTATTTACATGCGCGTTATGTACCCGGTAGCAATTTAACCATGGCTAGTTGAACAATCACTAGCATAGCCCTGACATGTAGCGTGAAAATAAATAAATGAAAAAAACCCAACCCACTCTATCCACTGTAGTTACTCAGTGGTGGTGAACCAGCATAGATTTGTCATCCCGTTACATGTCAAAATTTTCAGTGAAGTGGAAAAAACTGCCACGGCCATTGCTTAGAGTGCAGGCTTTTATGATTATGGGGTATTATTAAAGAGCATAGACTAAAAATGGTAGCCAATGATCAAATGGGTCCATTTACAATACCTTTACCAAATTACTTTAGCGAAAGATATATATATTTTTTTAAATCAGCTTCATGTACCACTGAATACTGAAACCTATGTAGGGCAGTACTTATGTTTGCACCAACTCTTCAACCACAGGATTTCCATCGGCAAAACGCTCATTCTTCACAGAAAATAAAGTTTATCGGAAAATATTTAAAAGGTTTTGGCTCTCTCTTCGAATCAAAAACTGCTGCGATGCTCAAACATATCCAGGTCTTTTATATGACCCGTGTACTAATCTGGATTGCTACAGCCAAAACAAACCAAAAGACAGCCTAGGACTAAAAAAAAGAAGAAAACAGGTTTAAAAAAAATCAGGTCACAGGATGTGTGTCAAACCCTGCAACACAAACAAAAACAAATACAGCGGACCACATGCAGGTTCTGGTAAACCTGAAATCCCAGTTAAGCAAAGGGATTTAGAAGTGGATGTCCATTTGATTGGGCCACTGAAATAGAAATTACAGGATCACCGATTTAGAAAGACGTTTAATATATATTTGAGTTTATATTTCTGACCAAGTAGAACTGCACTTAATCATTTAGAATAAAAAAAGACAATGAAGCCAAATGGCTGATACATTTTGACTATCAAGTCGTTTTTGTGGTAATCTGTTTTAGTTTGAATCAACAGTCCGACTGCAGCCAAGAATTGATTAGTCATTATTGAAAAGTTACGTAATTGAGGTTTAATGTTATACCAGAGCTAATAGCGTACGCCATTTAACCAACGTATGTCCAGAATTAACATTAGCGCTCACGTGACCAAAAACGTAACCCATTTACTTACTTAACCAATATTAAAACTTAGTAGTCAAACGTTAACCGGCGAAGTTTGGAAATAACACACCGTGCTTTGAAGGAGTCACGCTCGGGGAAGCTTCCGACACCGCAAATTAGCTCCATGTTTCGCTAGCTGTAATGCTACGCCTCGCAAAAGCAGCCGCGACAAACAACAACGATGCCATTCGTAAAAAAAGGGCTGACAACATGTCATTTTTTGTGTGGGAGTTTTCCTAACATATTTGACATCGATAACCAAAAGAACACCCCAAAAAGGACTTTGAACAACCACTGAAATGTTGGTGGTTAGGGCAAAGTCTATACATTTCCAACCAACATGGCTGACACAGTTCTTACCTGTGGACGCGTTAGTTCGCCAGCAGCTCAGCAGAAGGGCGCTTACGGCCCACAAAAGCTTCATGGTGTTTGACTTCAGACAAATTACACCACTCAGATAACGGAATGTTAACACAATTTCGTTAAATCCTAGCCTTCCCTCCCTCGAGATCAGCCCCTTCAGCTGGCTGCTCGACACTGAGCGGATGGAGTTGGTCGTCCTCTACTTGCACTTCACGCACACGTCCTTATCGGCACGTACGCGTGACGTCAGGTTTTGGGCGTGGTCATGTCGAACCTTTTTTATTGTGTTTACCTCTGAGAAAAAACTATTATTTAAGGCAGACCCTATGAATATACTTTAAAATGTTAACCAGGTTTAGTGAAAATGGCTTTTGTTTGACTTTCTTTTTAGAATTGTGTGAGTACTTGTGTGAGTAAAAAAAAATATATATATATACCCAGATCATACAGTCACATGATGCATTTACAAAATAGCGTATTCAGGCATTTCCAGCCATTTTTTTGGGTGTGGAGACTTGTCTGTTGGGAAGTGTTGGTAGAAGCAACAAAATTAGATTGCCCACACACAAACACAGTTCTAAAATGGTGGCAGCTTGTAGGGGAAAGATCAATATTGAGAAATTTGACGCAGAGAAGCACATTTGAGTATAATGCAACCCATAACTGAATTTGCTAAGCTGATCAGTCAATGGATTCTGCATGTGCAACCTCCAAAAGAGCAAAGAGTGTGACCTTTTAACACCTTGACTGTGAAACTGGTCAAAGAATGCCAGAAATGAACAATTATTATATACAGTGGACTCTTTATACAAGCATTTTGACAATAATAAACTTTGGGTGGAAGAGACGCACACACAAAAAAATCGACCTCTTGCAAATGTTTAAAAAGAGTGTAAAATAGTTGCTTCCAAGGTTTTAATCCACTCCTCTGGAGTGTTTTTAATCATTATCCACATATAATCCTCTGACTTTTTTGCAGAGTACTACCAAACTAAGTTTTCATCCCATGATTTCAATGTAACAGCAGTTCTCAATGGCCAAGTTCATTGTGAATCTTTGCCTTCCCAGAAAAGATACCACCATCTATATTTTCCAGATCCTTAAATGCAATTGTAGCTCCAAACAATGAGTTTGTTGTGGTATCGCTGAATCATTTCAGCCAAGTAATAAATCCACAAGCCATGCTGAACTCCATGGCACCCATTTAAAAAGGCACAAACACAACATCAACCACGATGTCAAGAGGTGAAGATATATCAACAATTTCACGTTGTGTAGTCAACTCAGCAGCTATTAGTTAAAAGTGTTCAGCTGCAAGCGTCCGACTGTGTTGTGTTCCCTACAATTCCCTCACATGTGAGCCTTTGAACACAGAACCCCAGGGGACCAGAGCGGTACAATGGAGAGGAAATGCACCCAGTACGCTGAACAATAAGAGGAAGCACACTGTAATTGGTTTATTCAGTGTTTACCAAGTGACTGAAGCTGCGAACACACAGATTGTTTACTTTTTCCAAGCCTTTTTACCTGGTATGACTTTGAAAGTACAAAATTATGTCAAAGCTTTATTATGCATTGAAAAAGAGCCAGAGAATGGAGTTAATGAGGTTATTGTTCCAGGAATCAACAAGGCCTAAGAGAGGAACCAATAAACAACACAGAGAAGCCAGAGTTTTGGATTTTTTTTTTTAAAGGATGAATAAATTTTTAATCCATTGTCTGTGCTTATTCTTATAAAAACAAAGAATTGTGAAACACATTGGAGCAACTTATGCAAAAATCTTTTATTCTTTATTTATTATTAAAATTGTAGGTAGTCTCCTGCTTACATCACCACAGACTGTCCTTATATCAGTTATTCATATACTAAAGTACTGGTTAACTTAAACGAGGACAGTCCTTCTGGCCATTTTTACGACTGCTGTTGCTGTGATTTGACTTTAAAAAGATACTGAAAACGGTCATATGGACAAGACATTGCATGAAATAAGTGCTAGCAACAAAACCTATTTAATATTTCTGTATAGATTTTTGGAACATGATCATGGTGGAAATGACTAGTGTTTCAACTGATCGCTTGAGAAAATATTTATTTTTAGGTTAAAATCCACAAATGAATTGAAATAGTCTCGGGAGACATGCAAGTGCCTTCAGTTTTAGGCTTGCAAATATAATTCATATTCAATGTAACTGAATTATGGTCATCATTTTATTAAAATAAAAATTAAAAAACCTGTTACTGCAATCCTACAAATACTTTTAAGTGCAAACAATGGTACCTGTGTAGTGTCAGGTAATTTCAAAACAGTAAATGCATCCTCAAAACATAATAATTACAAAGCTATTGCCAAATCATCTGGAAATGGCAGGATCAAATGCAATATTCCTCTAAACAATATGCGAAACTTTGATTCACACTTAAGAGGTGCACCAAAGTGCACTTTCACACACTGAGATATGAATGCTAACTCTTAAAAAAGAAAAACAGGAATCATTTTTACAACTCTTTGTTTCATTGGTAAAAGAGTGTCATTTTAAACCATATCAGTCTAGAGATTAAAAAAACAAAAACAAAAAAAGTCTTGTTGTTTCTAGTCTTCTACCTTTGGATCCCTTTGTTTTCTCTTCTTGTATGAGGTGCTTCGGGCGGATCGGGCCTCTTGAGGTTTTCATGCTTCTCCACCTCCTCCCTGACAGAAGCTGCGTTTCGGGCCTCCACCCTTTCATTGTTCAGATTCCTGATTAGGGTGGGGGCAACGCGACCGGCAGAAATACACAAACACATGTATCACTTACCCCTGAAGCAGGCCTGAATGCTCCCGGGGGGAGACGCACTCAGGCCTCTGCCCTGCCGCAGGGAGGGGTCGGAGGTCACTGCTCTGAAGTGCGGCGGCCTCGGAGCCAAACGCGCTCAGAGGCTGACGGGGGGGGCACGTGCCCCTTCTACGAGTTATCAGTGGAGTTCTCGTTGCTGGTCGAGCTCGAGGACTGAGGTGTCGAGGAGGATGAAGAAGAGGAGGAGGAGGAAGAGGAGGACGTAAAGTTCATGCCTGATAGTTCGGGGGGGTTTGTTGCGGTGTTCTGTCCACTCAAGCTTTTCCTGCACACCGGACAGGTGTCGTGCTGGAAAAAAAAGGCAATGTTTTAGTGACACTGCTGCTGTTTAGGCCTCTGGACTCCTTTTCAGACGGCCTGCCGGTGGACATTTACTGTCAACAAAAGAAAAGTGGGCGCGGCCGAATACCTGCTCCAGCCAGGGGACTATGCAGTCATTGTGGAACATGTGGTTGCACGGGAGCTGCCTCACGTTTTCTCCAACACTGTAATCTTCTTTACACACTGGACATTCCAGTCCTGAAGCTGAAAGGCAGGACGCGTAAAAGGGGACATTGCGTCACGCAATACAAATATGATCAGCCAACCAACTTTGGCTGGAAATGTGATGAACAACAGCAGAGGGTTATGAAATTCCTGTTATCAGGGGAATGAAACATTATCTTTATTACCCAACAGCAGCAGTGAGGTCTACTCAAAAGGCAGCCACTTAGAGTGAAATGAAAGTCTATGAAACAGACAATTGGATGCGGCGTCTTTAGTTTGAGCCTCAACTGATCCTTCCAAAAGACTTAAGAAAGACTATTACAGCAAAAGGAAGTGTGAAAAGCTCATGGTTTTTCAACCTTTACCAGAAGGAATTCTGTGAGGAAAAACTGATGTGATTTGAAAAAAACATTCCGTATTATGTTAAAAGAGCTGGACTGTCCATGATAATACAGTGAAAGAGGAGTAAAACGGCGTGCACTCACCAACATGCTCGTCGGTAACTTGTACTGTAGGGAGAGTTTTTATTTTATCCCTGTCAGCAGGAGGAGGCCCCGTGTTCTCAAACTGGTTTAGTAACTAAGCAAAACAAAGGATAATGTTGCGTTTAGCTCGCAGCAGACTAGGCTGAACAGCACTGATAATCTACCATCCAATTATCAAGAGAAAGAACAGTTAACCATTTATGTTGGATATTGTCTTATGATATACCTGCGTTATAATAGCATCAAGTCCATTAGCTCCCCAGGCATAGTCCATAGGATTTGAATGAAGAACACCCCTTCAAACATAAGAAGAAATCAAAATTTATGAAACACATTTTGTTATTTGTTTTTATCATCTTTCTATTGGTGATTTTCCACACACTCACCAGGGCCCAACTCCAATATTTGGCATTGCAGTAGGTGCAATTATTCCATTCACAAGCTGCTGAATGATTCTAGAAGTTAAACAAATTGAACAGATGAAGGAAAATGTGAAAGTGTCACATTTCTGATTGAAGCTTTAAAAATAGTGACTCTTTGTAAAACGTCGGTCATGAACTGTGCGTCTTACCCTTCTAATGTGGGAACTCCATCCTGCCTCCCCGCTTGCCGTCTGGAACCATGGCGGCTTCTGGGTTGCCTGGCGCCGTAGCGTTGCCGTGACGCCGTTTCTCTCTCCCGCCTGTTGTCGGCATCCCGGTTATCCTCTGTTCCCAGCCCCGCGCCAAAGTCAAAGCTGTCGTCAAAGACGCTGAGGGAAAACTGACCGTAGCCGGAAGGGAATGTAAATAAGTGCTGGTCCACATTCTGGAAAACAAATGGAAACCAGTCGGCTGATTAGGGAAGCAGCAGTAACAAAGAAAAGGCTCATTACCTCCACAAAATCAAGGTCAATGCAACACCCGTAAAACATTCAAGTTGTTCTAACACTCAAGTTTTAAACCAACAGATTTATCCCACAGTGACCGAGATCCATAAGATTCAGTTAAGTGAGAAAACAGCCCAAAGATTCAATATGTGTCATAGAAAAGATTAAGACGGTACCTAAAAAAAGTGGAATTCAAACTCCTGTTACAAATTCTATCCTGTCAAGCGCCAGAACAGAAGGAATGTCAATGAAAGTAATCGTTTAAAAATATGGCAATTATGTTACACAAGTCTGGCAAAGCAGTCACACTGGCACATTTAGATAGAGGCTTTGTGACGGAGATATAGTGCGAGTAGAAACTGGGTGGAAACCTCAAATGGTTGTTGGCTCTGGGGCCCACTGGAGATCGTCGACATGGAGCCATTGTCAGCACTAACGGGGGACAAACAGGGGACAGTGTTAGACATGAAACATACAATATTAAAGATTAGTTATGTTTAACAGTTTGGGGTTTCGTTCAGCTTTAATGGCATATTCTGCTCATTAACCTATAGCATCTGTACCAGAATTAATCAAACAACATACTATAAAGCTAACACTGCGCTCAGTCAAATACAAGATGGCAAACCATATAAGCAGTTCTGAGAAAAGCCCATTGTTCATTCCATTTTCCATCAAAAAGTCTAACTATTTAGTCTATGGAAAAGTTAAACATGGAAATAAAACATGTCCATTGACAAGTAGTCTGAGCTCAGCTTAGGCTTCATTCTCACCTTCTCTCTTCCAGCAGCTCCTCAATAAACCCAGACTCACATCTCGGACACGTATACTCCTACACACAAACACAGAAACCATATCAGAGTTGTTGGTACCATAACCCTGCTGTTAAATTCTCCTGGCATGATATCTTCTTCTACCAGGTGGAAATGATCTTCAAGTTAGTTTTACATGACAATTAAAGTTCTTTTATGGACGTTTAGAACAGCACACCCAAACACACCGTTCGTTTTTTTTTTTACATCTGTAAAGTAGAACAGTGTATTAATGTATAAAAAGTGTTAGGTAAGGAGGGCATTACACAACTTAGAGTCTCTTGTCCCAGTTTTCAGGATCAACTTTTAAAAAAGACTCCCCCAAAACTGATTTACAGACAAAGTGATTGTCTGTCACACACAACAACAAAAGAACCTCAATACGCTAGGCATAAAAAAAAACACCTTATTTATGTTTGTGTGTAAATCTTTGCCGTGTTTTGATGGCATTTGGTGATGCTAAACACACGTGTTTGACGTTTGTTTTGGCACAATAACGCAAAACGTCACTTTATGATAAGAACTGTACACAGTGTCCGGACAGGGTCCTTGTCCGTGGTAAAATAATTACAGCCCAGTCATGTAAAGTCTTAATGAGGCCACAGTGATGCCAGCAGACCACAGACTCGGATGGCTGGTGTTTTAAACAGCACGGTGACCCCTTTGTGACAGATCTTTCTAGCCTGTCAGGCATGTCACTCAGGAGTTCAGCTGAATAGCCACACGGGTAAAAAGGTGAGGGGCATTGTTATCAGTCATTATCGTCTTTAGAAATTAATAAAACCACAAAGCTTTACAACAGATTAATGTGGCAATATGACTGCAAACGTTACTCTCCATCTGATGTACTGTCATTTAGCAAACCGTTGGCTCAACGCACCCAAAACTGCTAAGATATTATCAATAATATTACGAAACAAAACACCGTAACAGACTGAATAAGACATATGGCTGAACATAATGTGTGATGACTACGCACTTTCTATTTTCATGCTGAAGGACCTTGGGGGAGATAAAAAGCTAACTGAGTGACGTTAGCCAGATAAACGGAGCCCGGTAGGGTTAAGCTAATTTTATTAGCCTGCTAACGATTGTCCCGCAGCTATAATGATTTCCGTTTAAGAAAGAAAAAATCTAGATTGCTTTTCTTTTATTTAACTAAAAATTTCTGAATTATCTCCAAGTGATACTTACGGGGAGCCGAGGACTAATCTCTGCCGCACATCTGTGACAGAAGAACCGGCTGGGCCATGTAGGAGCTTCCGCCATCTTTAGCGTCTAAACAGGTAGAGAAGAGGAAAGACTACGGGGCAACGCAAGGGACAAAGTTTATCCCGCGGAACGAGTGACGTCTGAGTGACAGAGACGATTGTGTGGTCTCAAAGACAATTAATAGAAAAAAAGTATTTTTATTTTTATATCGAGGCTTTCGTTGTTATCTAGACTCCAATAAATGTGATAAAATGATCAGACTCACACTATTGGACAGGAAGTATATAACTTTGCCATATTTTTTAAAAAGCCTATGCTAAAAAAAAAGAAACAAAAACAAAAAATTATAGACCGTTGTAGCCACCCAATATCTGTGTAAAAATGCTTCTCTATGTTGTTTCTTGTAATTTTCTGTTTTCTTCAGCTTTTTGTGATGTCAGTGACTTTTCAATTAAATAATTATTTTAGTGGGAATAAAATGAGAGATCCTTTAATGTACAATGAAAAACATTTTTAAATAAATTTATTCTAAGAATTTAAAGCAATGTATATAAAATTAGTTATTATCTATATACCTAAATATTTTTAATTGTTCATGTTTTATACATTGTAACTTGCAGAATATGGCCACAAGGTGGTACCTTTGTAAATCAATTCTGAAACCTCTGGCCAGTGGCTGAAAGCACATTACATTCATTTCAAGTTTCCTTTAGCTGTACCAGGGAAAGAGTCAGGGCACTTCAATCAAGTCAATATTTGCTGGGAAAACTGTCTCATTGTATCGGTAGTTAATACATCAGGAAAAAACTAATAGAAGTAAAGACCAGTTGGAGTAAGTAAACCTTCAAAGCGTTACCATATTTCACCACACTGTGTCTCCACTGAACTCAGTTTTCATCATTATAGATTCTCATCATGCTCTCTGTGAGAAAAAGATGTGTTTTTGCAATCTGGCATCACATAAGATTTATCATGACACAAGTTGTGTTTCCACTGGATTGTTGTCAGCCACTGTATGAGCCCATCCTTCAAACCTATAAAATATGTTTAGCATCTGTTTTGGGACAACACATTTTGTTGAGGGGGAATTTGGATTCTTGCCTTTGATCTTTTTTTTTACTGGATTGCTTTTTAATCAAGAATCACTCATAAAAAAAATAATAATTAGAAGTTCTTCACTTGGGAAACATTCCTCCATTTGACACACATAGCAACAAAATTGTCTTTGGCTTCTGTCTCGTAGCTCAGAGACAGCAGTCCAGGTCTCAGAGATAATTCAGTTACATAAGATATAAGCTGCAAAATGACAGATTTATTTTCACTTTGTATGATGACTTTATTTATTTTGGAGTTCATCAAAGATTGAACTGTATTTTTATTGACAGGTACTTTTTTCAATTTGATTACCCTACCTGTGGGCTGACAGCTATAAACATGTCTAAAAGTCTGGAGTAGTTCATGTGCTTGGCAGAACATCTAGCCCAAGCCTCCTGGCCTTACTGTCACATGCAAACATTTGTTTAAATGCTTGAAGGGAGAGGTATCACTTCAAATGTTTTGTGATTAGAGGGTTTTGCATAAAGACATTCGGATGGTAGTCATGTACCAACATCACATCTATGTATTGTGTAAAAAATAAATCCTGTTCATCTTTTTGCCTCACGTATTCTTTGTTCAACAAGCAAAGGCAAAAATCGCGCCACAAATCCGCAGTGGGACCCAGTGAGGGCCCGGCGAGCTCTCTGTGCTGGTGTTGTGTCTGATCCGGCCATGTGGGAGCTGGAAAGACGTGGCTGTCCCATGGAGTGAGATTAGAGAGGGTCTGATAGCACCGAGGTTTGCTATGTCTGCCTGGCTGAGGTGAGCTATTGTCTCCCTGACCCCCCCGTGCGTCACAGACATTGCAGACAAATGCTCATTGTAGCAATGCAATCTGGGAACTGCATGACCGTCAGTTGCACAGAGGTCATGTGGTTTCAGTCAGTACTAAAAATGGTTGTTTTCCTCTAAAAAAAGGGTCTCACTCTACAAAAGAACAGAACAACTTCAAAGGAGTAGAAAATGATGCTAATGTGCAAGAATACATGTTCATTACAATTCAAATAAAAAGCAAGGAATTATGCATTTTCAGCTTTGCTGACCTACTTTTGATGCCACATTTTCTATTACACTCTAAAGGGCAGGAGAGTGTTGGAGCCAAGGCAACAGATATCCTGAAAGGGACACTGCTGCTTTTGTCACTCCACAGAGTTTTTCCAGACACTCCAGCCAGGATTGCCCCACACTGTCCCTCTGGGCCCTGGAACCCACTCGCCTACACTATTATACACACATACACACACACAGACACACACACACACACAGCAAAAACAGCCGCCTGCTGGAACTTCCTGGGCCTCTTAGTCATGCGTCACTTGTTTTCAGTCCCACCCATCGAAGACTATCCCTCCCTCCAGACACTCTCTGTCTGAGGCCATGTGTCACAAGACTTGTGCATCAGGCACACTAACCCACCCGCGTGCACACACACACACACACACACACATACACATAATTGTAAGATCACTGGTCAAACAGCAAGAAGGCATGAGAAGATCAACACTGGTGACGGTCAAAGCCGCCTTTAAGAAAATAAATGAGGAACATCCATGTAGATGTATGGATGCATATATCTGAGTCTCAGCAGGTTATCTCTTCTGTACAATGTTTTTCCACTCTACTTGGGTTCCAGAACAACATGGTACTGCCGTGGTACGTGAATGTTTTGGATTACATCACCGAGCAGCTAAAAAAATATAGATGTTGCTGGAGGGACATATGTGCACAATTATCAACTTAGGTTCAACCGTCTGTGTTGCACTTGAGAGTTTTTGGTTACACTTTGCAGATGTTTGGATGGAAATTAAGCTATTATGCTTTTACTGAAATATTGTGAATTTAGGAATTCTATGGCTTATTGATTTTTTGTAAACATTACAGTTTGTAGATCTTTTTTGGTGTGAAACAAGAGTCACCAGAGAGACAGGCAAACTCCCAACAGAAAGGTTGGGATTCAAACGAGGAGCGCTGGTGATTTTTACAGATAAAAATCACAAAATGACTCAATGAATTCAATGATAAAAATTGAAAGGGTGCAACAGGGCTGATTGAGCAGACTCCCGATATGCAGAGCCAGCAGCCGGCCTAGCTGTCAGTTAACATGAAAGCTGTCTGAAACTCGAAATGAAATGAGTTCTGTTTGCTTTGGTCGAATTGGCCTCAGATCAGTGAGTAAACACACACAAACCCACTATGTTAGAGCACAAAACTCATTTCTTTTCTGATTCAGAAAACTAATTCAATTTATGTTCGGCTGGGTGTGAAAGGACACAAATTTCTAAGATGTAATATTCATTCATTCATTTTTAAATGTATTTTTTACATTTTTAATTTTGTTGGCTGACCTTTTTATGAGCTCAGTAAAAACCAAACCCAGGTAGCTGAAATAGTCAAAACCACGCTGGTTCTATCTGGTGTTAGCGTGACACCAAAGGCTGTTTGCATTTGACCTAAATTTCAAATATTCAATTACACCACCTGCCAGGACAAAAAGTCTTGATTATAGAAAAGAAAGATGTTCAGCGTCTGTTTTCAGACACCGCATATTGATCTGGGGGAATTTGGATTTTTGTCTTTTAATTTTAAAACGGGAGTTACTGGATTGCCTTAGAATCAAGAATATGTCATGATAAAACATTAAATAGGAGTTCATTCACTTGGGACACATTCCTCCATTTTACACACATAGCAACAAAATTGTCTTTGGCTTCTGTCTCGTAGCTCAGAGACAGCAGTCCAGGTCCCAGAGATAATTTAGATATAAGCTACAAAATGACAGATTTTGTTATTACTTTCTGTGTAGGCTTTACTTATTTTGGAGCTCATCAAAGTTTGAACAGTATATTCCTAATGACAGTTTAAAAAAAAAAGAGATTACCCTACCTGTGGGCTGACAGCTATAAACATGTCACAAAAGTCTGGAGTAGTTCATGTGCTTGGCAGAACATCTAACCAAAGCCTCCTGGCCTTACTGCCACATGCAAATATTTGATTAATTGCTTGAAGGGAGAGGTGCAACTTCAAATGTTTTATGAGCAAAGTTTTGCACAATATGTTATAGAATAAAGAAACCCGAATCGTTATTTATTTGCCAGAGGTGGTTGCCAGAAATCAGGAAATGTTAGGACGCGGCTGAGTGTCAACACAAAGCTTTGGTTAATAGCTTTGGACACCTGCATTACTCACAGACAGAATAGTGCAGTTTGGGCATGTTTAAGCTGTTGCCTGGCTAGTTGTGTTTGTTTTTAATGTAATAAATCCAGTCTTTATCTCAAATCACTGTTTAAAACATGTGTATTTCTGTAGTGCCTCTAATGTATAAAATATCTTTTAAACTTGGCATCTCAAGGTTTGATCTAACGTAGCTGTTGTTAAAGATCAACGCGGGCAACTATAACGAGGGTACATTGACAGAGAATGCAGAAAATAAAGTCTTTTTTCACAATTGCCAACTGACTTTCCATGACACACAACCAGGATTCTGGCCAAGAGTTAGTTCTGTTTCCATGTGAGAGCAACCTGAAAAGCTTCGATCAAATTCTGATCTCGGCCTGGTTATATTCCAAACCTCAAAAAGCACAGTAGAACTCAATTTAGGGTCAAGTTTGAGAGCTAAGTGTAATTCAAATATCTCACTTGATTTTAATCTGGCTTCAGTGACAACTTCAGTACAAAGAAGCAACAATCCCATGTTGTTCCCAGCACACAGATCCACAAACACTTCAAACTAAGAAAGTAACCTTTTTTTTTTATTATTCATTCAATATAAAGTAATTTCGTTTGAGATTTAAAAAGGATCAGGTTTACGTGTTTATGCTGGATGCTCTTTGTTACCTACGTCTTCCTCCTGTTGGATTTAAGTGGATCAGACCACAAGCAAAGGCCAGACAGAGGCCATCTCCCCGAGGTCTGGACGAGGAAGCCCAGCAACCCGCCAACAATAATTGTGGGTAATTGCCAATTTGCTCAACTTCCTATATCTGCTGATTACCACTTGATTATCCAGTCCTGAAAAGCACTGCCAGTCTTGAGAAGAATTGCCCGGATTTTACATTATTGCTCAAAGAAGTGACAAAGTCAAAGAACTTAATGCATTTTAATTTTCCTCTCAAGTTGTTTCCTTTTCTCGAAATCACAACGAACCTCTGACAGAATGGAAATTCTTCTGAAACTCCCCTATACGACACATGTCAGCATGCATTACATCAGACAAAAGATCACACGGAGCATTTCTGAGAAATCTCAAAAACATCATCTGTACGAGTGCGAGCTACAAGGCCGGAGCGTGGGCCGTTGTGTCAGCACCGTAATCAACTGTCAAAAGTAAAATACAGAGCTCGTGTGGAAAATTAAAAGGCTTGCCGCGTAGCCTGGCAACTCTGGGAAATACTGTTTCTGATGGAGTGATGGATCTGATATCTATTAGTTTCAGCTGTGGACCGGAGCTGTTTACAATCCAGTGGCATGATCCAGAGGCGAGTGGGTGGTCTCCGAAACACTCCGCAGCGCTCTGTTTCATCACAACATCCTCTCAGATCTCAATGCTGGCTGTTAACTTACTGGAAGTAGTACGCTAAGTTGCAGGGAAATTATACCGTGTGGACGCCGTTGAGAAAGAAGCTCCACTTGTCAAGATGGGGTGATTACGCATTCAGAAATGTCGGTGTGGGCGTCGCGTTATGCGCCCCATGTGTTTGCGGGGACGTAAACAACCCAGCCAGAGGCTGTGATGTCATCTGTGTGACTGATCCCATAGTCATAACAGGTGATCTCCAACATCGTTTGGGGGGGGGGGGGGGGGGGGGGGGATGGAGACAAACACAGACCCACTCATGAGACCAGATATCTGTGGAAGCAAGACTGACACCTCTTTGGATGCACCACAAACCATAATGTAGAGAGAAAAAATAATGAAACAGCGTCCGCAGTGGGCAGAGGATTCCAGAGGTGTCATGTTGTGTGATTAGAATAGCCCTGGAATGGCTCGTGGGTTCACTTTGCGGTGGTGTCATTACTCTGCTCGGTAAGTGGGCATGCGGGGTAATGATACACATGCTGCTCCCGGTGGAGTCAGAATGACGGCAGCAAATGTCTATTTGTCCTGAACAACATCTACCTGTCCACAGCTGCCTCGGCTAATTTGATTTCTTTTTCAGGAGGAAGGCAACCATTTTTAAATTTGAAAGTCAAGCGGTGTTCATAGGGAGGTTTTTAGATTTTCGACCCTTTAAACTAAGTTAAAAAGACACAGATATAGTGAGGCTGTTTGGATTGAACAAGGGCAAAGACCTACAGATGTCACTTTAATTGTGTTTTCCATGTCAATAAGCACCAAAGTGGGCAGGAACTCAAATCCGTCCATGGAAACCTACCAAACCTCTCTGAAGTCAGGTCTCCAGGTCTGATGACAAAATCGGACTTCTATCCTCGCGTGGCATGACCGGCATCAAATCCCCTCGGCAACCTAACGCAATCATCACGCCTGATCTAACACATGCAAAACATTAGGAGACTTTTCTGACAAAGATTGTTTTGTTGGGTGGGTTTAATCTGTGGGCACAGCAACAGCCCCTCTTTGGCATTGTTTTTTTCCCCGTTCGAACTAGCAAAACATCTAACTCCATTCCCAGTGTAATAAAAGGGTACTTGGACAGGAATATAAACATCTCCCTAAAGTCGAACCAGATGGGGCTGCATGGTCGTGCTCAGGACTCGGAGCAGGGAGTTAGAGAAAAACAAGCGAGGTACTATAACACAGGAAAGTGAGTCAGTACTTCAAAACGTTCATTCCTCAGCGGCGTTGCACTTATTCCCCCTGACCTCTCGCTTCAGATCCAGAGCAGAGGGATATCCCTGAGGAGACAGCGGAGGAAAGCTGCTCAGCCTGGATTTGATTCTCTGCTCTCTATTGCATGACGCCTTGAGAGGCCATTTTCAGTCGAATAGGCCACTGCACGCACGGGAGAGGGGGTCTGACCACCTCTAGTGTCCAGCACCGGCTGTCTGCTGGTGTCTGAGCCCCCACCACACACCACAGCAGGAGAAAAGTGTTTAGTTTTGGGTTCCAATGTTGAGCTTATTCTTTATCGTTATTACCACAGGGGGTTGAAAAAAATTCAAATTTTGAATAAATACGGAACAACGAGCTCTTATTCTTGCTTTAATATTTCATACAGAAAAAAAGACACATTTGGACAAATCATAAAACTTAGTGGCATTTTTAAAATGGCAGTACAAAAATACAAAAATATGTTGACACATTTATCATTCAAATTTCACAGTAGATACTCAGGTAGGTACACAACTGACAGCTATTTACAGAGGAATCATTGTAAAGTTTCAGTATAACAGGACTAATAGGACTACTCAAGGAATTCAACCATCTGCTTTTAGTTTAGGGGATTTATTTGGATCACTTGACCGTTTTCGTGGTTATGCGCAGGTTTACCAGTGTCATTAGCAGATTGACTCAGCTCTGAGAGCATTATAATCAGGTATGTTCAATTGGTCCAAACCTTGTGCCATTCCCAGACTAATTTAATTTTCCTTTAAGCCAGACGACGCTAATTACATTTGTCTGCGGGCAGAGTTCTTAAAAAAAAGGAAAAGAAAGTCCAGATCAAAACAAACCAGCAAAACAGCATCACAACAAACCTGCATGGCTGACAAAAATGCACATACAAAACAAAGCCAAGCGTTTAACAGAGGAGGTATTATACTGGCTTGGGGTTGAACCAACACTCTGCTGGGGCTCCTACTTACACAAGTGAATTATACATTTTTGCAATCAGTGGGAGGCCAAGAGTTTGGACTAGGAGCCACAGTAAAAATATGTGTGTGTGTGTTTGTGAGCGTGTGTGTGAAACAAGACATTATGGGTTTGTTTATGCTGAATCACTCCTAATCCACTCTAACTATGTACATACAGTAGAACTATAGTAATTCGGTTTATGTTTGCGGGGAATTGAAAGCACACTGGCAGACTACAAAGTGGTAACTACTGTCGTAACAAATAAGCATTGCTTTCCATCAAAATGAGGGAAAATGGTATATTTGCCTGGAATGGGAATGTGTGAAAAGCTGTTAAGAATCCAAAGCCAGTGGCGGTATTGTACATATGCAACTAACAGAAACAATAAATATATGTTTTGCTCGGTTTTCCCAAGGATATATGAGTTTGTTATTGGGAAGAAAACATAAATAGAGCTTGATACCTTCTCCAATAAATAGCATCGGTATTCTATTTACAATATGCACACATCTCCCAAAGAGCTCGCATCAACACAAATGCATTTGTCTGCCTCCACTTCCCAAACTTGATCGTGGTGAGCACAAATGGCGCCGTTGAGGCTAGTGAAGCTGGTGCGCGTCTTCTTTCAGAGGGTGTTTCAAATCTAATGTACCGTCCCTGTGCACGAGGAGGAGTGATTGTCAACATGAAGAGGTCATCATCGGAGGCTAGTGGTGGGGGGGGATCCGTTTACACCGCGTTCTCCTCGCTGTCCTCGAATCTGTGCGACTTCCGGGGTGGACCTGCGAGAGAGACAGGGGTAAACGGGTGAGACGTCACGGGACCGGACCGGGCGTGACCGGAGGGGGTTTCTGGAGTCCGCAGTTGGCCTTACTGTTGCAGTTGCCGTAGTGACGGACTCCTATGGAGCGGCCCAGGAAGCAGGTGGCCCGGCGCAGGTGGCAGGCGCTGGGGTAGGTGATGTCGTCGTTGCCGCAGATGGGCTGCTCGGCCGGCTTGGGGATGGGGCAGGGCGTGGTGCGGCACATGACGCAGTGGGCGCTGTTGGTCTGGTCGGTCACGCACGTGTGGGTCCCCGGACACACCACGTTGGAGCAGGACTCTGCAAGAGGAACCACCGGTCACCACCCGAAACCCCACGCAGCTCCCCCGGGGGAAACGTGATGGAGAGCCTGGGCTCACTTTTGCACTCTCCCTGGTACATGACCTCCAGGTCCGGGTGCCCCATGCAGCGGGCCATCAGCAGCGCGCACTCGTCTCGGTAGGACTTGCCGTCGCTCCCGCACACCGGGTGCCTCCTGGAGAGGTGGGAGCAGTCCGGGGAGCACACGCACTGCGGCCTGCCCAGCTTCATCTTGCAAACCTTCCCCGGGCCGCATTTCACCTCCTCACATGTCTCTGCGAAAAGCACAGACAGAGAAGTCGTGTGTGTGTGTGTGTGTGTGTGTGTGTGTGTGTGAGGACAGTTTGGGTGTAATCAGACCGTGTTAACAGGTCGGCAGACTGTGGGGGTCACTTGCCGGGATTTTCATTTAAAACAAGCTCGAAATCCGGGGTTTTTTTTTCCCAGGCCATAAGACAATTATCACCCCGCGCAATATTTACAACAATCACATCTCTTTATTGACTGCTACACACAGAGGCGTCTGGCCCGGTGGAATGCTGAGGCTGACGTGTTTTCATAACAGATCTATGTGTATGGCTGCACGCAAAACTGGGCTAAGCTCCTGCAGGGGCACAGAGGGGGCTCTGAGGTAGACGGGGTTCAAAAAGCTGTCAGAAAAAGTTCACAAGCTGACAAATGAGGAAGCCCCGGGCTTTGCTAACACCTCGTAATGCCAAATCACAGGGGGGGGGGGTGTACAGTGCAGTGTTAGCCGGCCTGGTCCCGGACCTCTCTGAGTCTGTGGAGGTGATACCGAACCAACTCAGAGACCTGAGAACTCCAGGAACAATAAGAATCTGTTTCTTGCCATTTTTTAAACCAAGTTCTTAGGCGTTGAGGTTTGAAAAGAAGAAGTAGGTGATGATGTTGGCGTCTGTGTGTGAGCTGGCAGGTTTTTGTTTATGTGGCATTAGCGATATGAATGTATTCCTCCCACAGTGTGATCCCCCAGACAGCATGCGGTGGGAATTCCAGACTGAAGGAATGCATTTTCTTATTTGTCTTGAGGAGGACAACAGAGCTCCTTCTTATCTTTGAAAGACGTCTTGTGTTGCCGGAAGGTGAGGCAAAAAGGAGCAAACGGAGGAAGCCTTCCCAGTCATCAGGGTCAGGGTCATTTGCATCTATGTCAGCCAGACATTTGTCAGGCTGTTTGTTTGCAGTCAGTTTTCCTATTTTCAACCAATCTAAATACACTCCTCGTCTCTGCTTCTCACTGATGAGCTGCGTGACTAATGAAAAGCATGGGCTGAGGTGGGGTGTATTTTTCCATGAAAATTGCCCGTGGCTGGATTTTTTACTGGAACTTATCAATGCGGAGGGGTTCACATTGATCCCACTGGGCCGGAGCCGCTTATGCAAACAGGACTTATCTGCATATGAACCTGAATGAACCTGGCTGAGACCCTGGAGGAGGAAGCTGCTCGGGGCAGCCGGAGTCATGTGGAATTCTTCTCCTTCATCCACGTCTGCACTTTGTTAGAAAGCTACAGCGGGAACCCGTTGCATGGACCCCGTGACTTACCGCTAACTAGGTTGAAAAGTACTGTAACTATCCAAGAAATTACACGGTTATGTGGTACAAACAGCTATTTTATCAGCTACAGGATCCAGAACTATTGAATCTTTTCTTTGAGTTTTTTTCGTATCAAATCAAATATCTCCGTGCTTACCTCAAATCAGCAGCCTTACAGTAGCCCCCTCTGTTCAGGGCAGTTCGAGACGGACTTTAATATTTGCTGTGTATTCTGTGTGGCAGATTCAAGGCTTCACCGTTGGTTTGTTTACCTTTGCACGGTTTGCAGGAGACAATACCGAGGAAGCCCAGCAGGCTGACCTCATTCATGGGCAGACTGGTGTTGGACCACGCCGTGTCCAGGCGGCCCCCGGCGCAGCACTCCTCTCTGGTCACTCCTCTCATCAGCACCATGTCGCAACGCTGGTCTTGACTTCGCTGCAGCCAGCACATCCCGGCTGGAGATAGTGCCGTAAAATGTTCATTTACACACACACACACACGAAAACTGTAAAAGACAGGCTGACTGAGCCCCATACACACTGGGCTAATTTCTAATGATTTTCGGATGTCTTGTTAAGTTTTTGGGCTGCTCCAAAAAGTGAATTTGTAACACTTTTGCCCTTTTTGCACATTAGTATTTTAAGCAGAGAGTAATAATATAAGAATAATATCAGAAAGCGCATGTAGTTACATTGCCCCAATTCACAAAAATGCTTCTTTAGAAGATTTGAGATAAAAAACAACAACAACCAAGTGTGATAAACTCTGAATTAAGGAAGAATTTGCAATTGCTTCTAGAAGTTACTTCTATAATTTTTTTAAAATATGTTTCAAAAATACAAAAAAAAGAGTCCACTCACCGCTGGCTGGATTCTTCCCAATCTGACAGAGAGTGAGGATAACCCCCAAAACAGAGATCAAAAGGCTCATTGTGTATCCTACAAGTTAGTACCAGACCTCTACTCAAAAGCAAAGAAACACGAGAAGATCTGATGTTGTTCTGACGGAGCCGATCACTCTGAACCAACTGTGCAAGTAGCCTTCCCTCATGTGAATGGATGTGTTGTGGATAAGTGATGTCGTTCCCTCTCTGTATAAATATTTAGCCCAGATGGAATTATGCTGCTGGGATGGGCGATCCTCTCAGCCAGTAATAAGCCAGGGCAGGACACAGTTTGAGTCTGACTCAATTTCCAGAGTCGGGAAATGATCCATGCCCTGCAGCTCCAGACGCTGGGCACGTATATGACCTCACACAACTTCAATTTTTTTTTCAAAAACAAATTTAAATTCTAATTGAGATCTTCGGAAGCTTAGATGTCTTTTTAAAGTTTTTTTTGTTAACTTTTTTTCCCCACAAAAAGTCACATTTTCTTTTGCACCACTGCTGATTTATTTAATCCCCTTTAGCCATGGTAAAATAAACCGTTGCCTCAAACCTCTTTGTATGACAGGTTTCACCTGGTAGATGACTTTTCTAATGTTTCAGGCTGGATCTCTTCATCTGTCTCTTCCTCCCCGAGGAATTAACTCATGTCACATCCAAACAGCTTGATTATTATTGAGTTTTCTGCCCAACAGCTGCTTTGTACATGTTCAGAGAGAGAAAAATGAAAGGAATAAAAATCATTTAAAAAAAATCATTCTTCATATCTCGTTGTCGTGTTCCTGCACAGTATCATTATAAAACGTCTAAAAAGATTAATTCAAAATGGATAATCTCCTGAATGTGGGGGAAGAATTGAAGGGTAGAGGTTAATTTATGAAGCAACGATGTTCCTTCCTTTGTTAAGCAAAATCTAGATCCTAAAACTATATCTATGATGACAACACTTAAATAGGTAAAATGCCACTAACTGAAGGGCATGTCTGTTAGATAAACTGAATAAAGAGGGACTGTAGACTGATCTGGATAAGGATCAGACCTGAACATCTGCACTGCCGTCCTCTCCTCCTGCACTCATTCACCCTCTGACTCTGAGAGTTATGCACTAATGACAAAGTTATGTGAGCCTATCCATCTGTCTGTCACAGCCTTTTTTATGTTCCCTTTTGATTTTTTTTTTTTTCGTCGAGGGGTGGTGAGGAGGAGGGGGTTGAAGGTAGCACATGCTTTATTATTTGAGTCTTTTTCAATGATCTTGGCGTCTTCAGCAGAGATCCCAGGGGTGTGGAAGGAATGCTGCCTGAACTTGGAGGGGAAGAGAGCGGCGGGCGAGAGCTGTGGGTGGCTTTGCAGATCCATTCAGCCCCTCATATGGTTTAGATCATCTCTGCCAGGCCATACGAATTAATGCGGCGCGGTCATGACTCCGGAGCACCTACTTATTGTGGCCTTTATTTGGGCGCTTTCGGCTGCTGTAAATTGTTTTCAGTGTTTTGGTGCTTTATCATGTGGCAGGCCTCCGTAAGGTGGCGTGAAAATGAACAAAAACAAAAGCAGATGTTGTGTAATTTATTATAAAGGGCGACTCTTAGATTGGGCAGGTGTGGAGCTCAGTATAACAGGCTGCTTTATTCAGTTCTACACACTTACAGGCTAGGAACACTATCGCCATCTAGTGGAGGAGGTGGGCATACGCGACATGGTGTCTTAAAATATCACCCAAACAAATTTTATTTGGAATTTATTATTTCAAAAATCTTTTTTTTGTTGCTACATAAAGAACGAAAATAGCCACCACTCTTGAGTAATTGTTGAAATGGTTATTTCCTGCTGCTTCCTGTCCTGCTGGTCGCCACTGTCTACTTTGTTAAGCCATGATTGGCCATAATTGCTCTTCAATGGCTCCAGATCAGACTCCAAAGCAGAGTCAGCGTTCTCTATCAGACTCTGAAGGATCTAAACTTCCTCAGGAAGACAAATCTGCTCTGTCCCTGCCTTTATGGTATCAGTTTCACCTGCAACTTTGATCTAGTTTGGTTTCCTACCCAGATTGAGTTAATATACTAATCTCTAATATATGGATAATTGTTTTCGACCTGCTCATTCAGCTCGATCCCTTTACTACTCTCAACTCTAAACTCCAGCACTTGATTTGAACTTGTTTTGGTTATTCAACTGAACTCATTCCACCATATTTGTCTCTCGGGAGCATAACTCAGCCATTTGACATTTAGCAGTGACTGTGTTTTTTAACTGGTGAGAAAACAAATCTCCCAACAAATCAAATCAACCTGTTGATTTAGCTGTTTTTAACCCAGATAATCGAGTGCCATCAGCTGACATCAAATTAACTGAATTTGGTGGCTGAAGGTTTCTTCAGACTGGCTATCGACGTTGCAGAGTTAGCTTTAGTTAACCTGTAATTAAGTCAGATTCATATGGGGTTAAACTGATGCCTGCAATGGTTACAAATACTAACCTGCTTCTTACTTGTTTCGAGTTGATCCTTTTTATAGTCACCTAAACCAATAAGTGGCTCGTTGGTCTAGGAGTATGATTCTTGCTCAGGGTGCGAGAGGTCCTGGGTTCAAATCCCGGACGAGCCCTTATAAGCTGGATAAATGCCATCTCTTCTTGAATTTCCCCTTGGGTATCAAGAAACTATCTATCATGATTATGTTATATAGTTACTGAAGGCAGTTTTTTCTGCACACAGCTAATATAGAGGAGCCTGAAACTCCTGAGGGTTCCTGCTGCGGGGCCTCACCCTTCTGCACCCTCCTGGGGTCATTCTTACCCCGGATTAAGTGAAACCGGGGCATGAACGGCGTAAAAGGGCAAAATGAAAGCTGCATTAGACAGAAATGACCAGATGAGGGTGCCCCTCGCACATTTCTCAACTCTCCACTGTATCCAAACAACATTTTGGACTTCAGTGCAGTTTTAGAACTTTTTCTAGTTGAAGCCATACCTAAACAATGACGGTCACAGTTTCTGTCCAGTCTGATCTAACGTGGCCACAATGTGACCTTTAGAAAAGAAAAAAAATCTACCCAAGCTTTGGTTCATGTTTTTTTCCTCATCTCTTTGGCCCTTAAACTGCCTCTGTCGTGGATTTCTTCATCATTTTCAAGCACACTCCATCCAAACATTTTTCGGCCGAGAGCACAATCGACTGATTAGAGTAACTGTCAAGACGCTTGATTGGGAAGGCCCCTTGGTCTGTTTTTCTTCTCAAGTCAGTGGTGGAAAACATAACCGGCCCGCTTTTGAGCACTCTCCGGCGTGCCCAAAGTCGTGCACGCCCCCCAGGAGGAGGCTCACCGGTTGGTAATGGCTCTCTCTGCCAGAGGCCGGCTGAAAGCAGCTGCATCGTCTATCCACTCAATTTACTCCTAATGCCTGTTACTGATTGAACCAGAAGCGATGGCAGGAAAAGTAACGAGGGCGGATAGAGTCACCTCCTCTGTCACTGCGCACATAACTCCCCCCCCCCCCCCCCCCCACCTCTCCCGGCTTCCTTCCTGTGTTTAGTTTTGCCCGTGTGAAGTCCCTCCAGCAGTTCATTAATGGGGAAGGTTAATGTCGGTGCACGCACCGCTCATAAAAGCAGCACGCTCTCCCTCTTCACCTTTCTCCTTCTCTATTGCCTCACAGTCAACCCCCCCCCATCTCCCCATAGTTATCACTCAATCAAGGATGCACGAGTGCTTGTAAAAAAACTCTGAAAGTGTACATTTCTTTCCTTTTTTTTTTTACAGAACTTAAGTAAGAAATTGTCATCAGATGTGATGAAAAGACTGAATAAAAAGCAAAAATGTGGAGTCACAGCTGTGCTGATAGTGCAGAATGTTAGATAATATAAAGGCAATACCAGAATTACCTGTGTCATATTGTGATTGGGTGCTTTGAGTGAAGGATGGAGGTTTTATGGATGGAGGTTAGATGGTCTTTCGGTATGGAAAATGTCAACTGCTAATTTTCTCAACAGTGATAAATGGTGAAGGGCCGTTCTGTGTGGGTTGTGCACCAAATGTTTAATTTTTTTCCGGGAAAAATACAGAGTGCTTGCTTTATAAATCCATTATGACTGCAGGCTCCCTGCTTTCGACAAAAGTGCAATTTCTTTTTTAAAGTTGTTTATGTATTTGCAAAGTGCACCTGGCGGAGAAATCTGCTGCCGATAAGGGAACGACCGAACAGAGCTTCTGAACTTCATTGGAAGTATATACATTGGTCAACTTGTTATTTAGTGGTTGATTTGGTCAGCAACAGGCTGCCACCGTGGCTGGTGCAATGCAAAGCAGTTTGGATGGAGGCGAAATGTTGTTTTAACACAAGATCACAACCCCCCAGAAAATCTATTTATCCTTCCAAACACTCATAACTCAACGTTCCTGTCACAGATAGCTTCGTGTGACTCAAACCCCCAAAGTCTTCTGTTTTTCTTCAGATAAATTCTTTAACGTCAGATTTTACAGTACAGATTTTTTATAAAGTACATATTTGTCTAACTGTCTCGTGAAAACGACTAATTACCGAAAACCATCTGCTGTCTTCACACTTCAAGTTGCATCGTGTCACTCTGAGGAGTCACTTCTAAAACACGGTCAGGCCTCATTTAAAGCTGCCACATTTAGTAGTGTACTGATATTCATCTTGATATGAGTCACTCACTGTAGGCAGACGGTGGCTTTTTAATGTGCCGCCTATTGGACTACTGGTGTAAAGTTCCATATTCAGAAAAAGAAGAAGTCATCAAAGGGGCCAGTGTGGTTCCGGTCAACAAAACAGACAGAAAGTATCGAGAACACACAAAAAAAAGGAACTAAAGACAGAGCTGGGATTGAGACATTTGAGGTTATTTCATAGGCAGTGATTCAAACTTCTGCTCCGTTTAATGAGCGAGGGTGAGCAAAGTCTCCCTCACAAAAAAGGCTTGTGAAATCGTGTCTTCAGAGAGCAGGAGGCCTATTTCCACTCGGCTATAATATCCCGCATAATAAGCGGCTGCATAACATATTTGTTGCTGTGGAAACTTCGCCACGGCAGCGTGCCCCCCCCCCCCCCCCCCTCCTCAGCTCCCGCATACTTGAGCATGACCCTGAAGAGAGGTTCTTGATACAACTCATCACGATGCATAAGCAAGTAATCATTCTCCCGTTTGCCTCTGAAGCAGCAATTACGCCGGCCCTCATAACAGCTGGAGAGCGGGGGAAATTGGAATGGAGATGACATTTTAGCTCCAAAATGGCCATGCCTTTTGTGAATTGGTTTGTATTTGCTCCTCTTTGCAAAGAGGCGCCTCTATTTCTTTCTCCTTTTTTCGTGGAGCCTCTGTTGTGTTGAAGCCAGGCGGATTGTTTGGGGCTGTTGTGTTCATGCATTTGCAGACACAAAAGAGCTAACCACTCCTGTGTCTCCCCTTTTGGGACGGAGCAGAAATATATCTCGTGATTTGGCCGGGACATTTTCTTTGCAGGTTTTGTTCCGTTACAGAAAAACAAAGGACCTGCTCCCCTTTTTTTTTCCCCGAGGACACAACGTGTGTGTCCAACGGCCGGGGATGCTCCAGGGCCTTCTCACTCTGGACTTTTCAACTTCCAACTTGCCAGCCTGCGTCTAGAAAAAAGCCGGCCCCTCAAAGACTCTGCACACGAGCGGCAGTTGCCGTGGCAACAAATGACTCGAAGCGTATCGGTTGCCAACGCGGTGTCGAGAGCTGTCAGAGACGGATAAATAAATCGAGAGCGAGTGAGGAGGCTTTCATCCTCGCTTTTTTCAAAAAACTTCGGCGCCGAGCGGCGTCTCGGAAACTCCGAAATGAGTCAGTCATGAAAACAAACACGTCCATGAGCCAAGTGTGCACTCACTGATACGACAATTGATCGTTGTCATTGTCAAAATGACTATGTTTTACAGCCCTTGGCCTTCACAGCTGTAAACCCCCCTCCTCTTATTTTCAGTTTGGTTGCAGAATAACAAGCAATCTGACAGACTGATCAATGAGTTTTTTCTTTGCCCACAGCTCTGGTCGTCAACAGACATGAATTATTCCACACAATGAAATCAATTTGTCTGCCATATTTAGAAGCCGCTTCCGCAGAGAGCCCGGAAGAGCGGGAGATGGTGCGCGGGAATAAATAGCTGCTGAAAAAAAACAGTGACTGGCGTATAAATATTTAAACAAGCGAAAGGGCAGATCAGTCTTTAGAATTAATTACCCTGCTCAGGGTAAATAGGAACGTTAGGGCCCACTTCATGAGCAAAGGCATCATGCTGGAGTCGATGCAGCGTTTCTGATTGGCTGCAAACACGACTCACCTTTTAAAGCGGAACGTGTTGACTGGGGCACTGTGGGAGTACATTTAGGGGAAATGTCACCTGAAGTAATATGAAAATGCAACTTGAAACTCTGAAAAAGGGGCATTTATGGCGATATCTCTGAGGCATGTCATATAATTAACTCTGACTGGTGTTTGTTGTTAAGATATGACATTTTCTCGCACAATGCGAGGAACTTATCCCCTTTAGATTTCTTTAATCACCCCTTTTGTCCAGACTGAAACATTTCTAAACAAAAGGGGATTTTTTTTGACAGCCATCCAAAACATTTTTCTATGATTCCATGATTTAAAGTGAATGAAACTGAAATTGTTACATCAAGGCTTGACCTGGAAAAAGAAAAGAAAGAACAGAAGAAGAAGACAAAGATGTTGGTAAGTCCTTAAAATACCCTCAAATGTTGATCTCATTCTTGGAGTGGTCCTAATGTGCCTCCAGCTCAATTTTTAGTCAATTCTTTTGGTCTGCAATGCCATAGATCACCCAGAACAATTTCAATACTG